ATATACAACAACCCGCGCATATGCGCGGGACATTACCTAGTTATTTCAAAAATGTAACTTACATCACTTCTTATCATATAAATAGCCATTCTCACATCCTTCTCTACCATATCTCATCTCTTCATTATTCTCTTTGTTTTTTTTTAAAGTTCTTGCATGGGGTGAAAACTCATTTAAAATATCATTGTAAGAGTTTGATTAATTATTTAGTTTAAACTTTTGTGTTCAATTTTATTTATTTTTTGTTTTTATGTATTTATATATGTCTTCATTGTTTTTTATATTTTTAAATGTAATACATATGTATAATAATATTTTATGGTTATAAGAAAATCAAGCTAAAGAAATCATCTTCGTTCTTTTACTTTGGATGTTTGTTTCTTTCTCACATATTCATGTATATTTAATTTATTTTCAAAAGTATGTAATTTTTTAACAAAATAAACTTTTTGTTATATAATTATCAAACCAATTTGTAAGACATTCTTTTAAGAATAATGATCCTTATATTTAGTTTGTGATTCAACATGTAATAATACAAAGAATATTATAATTTTTTTAAACTTTGAATTTTATATTTGATTTCCTATCTAAAAAACAATTTGATATTCCATTTTCTATCTATTATATATACTACAAGGATGAAAAATATAATTAAACCTAGAAATATAACTTAAATTAAGAGGAATATAAAAAGAGATTAAAAATAAAATTATTTCTTGAGAATTTTTAAGGTTTCACTCTCTCCTTATTGGTCCATTTAGCATTTATTTTTTAATTATAATATTTATTTTTAATTAAACCAAATATCTAACACATTTAGTCATATACTTTAATTCATACTTGAAATCCACACTTTACTATTAAATTGTAACTTAAATTATATAACCTTTCAATTGACTATTTGTTTCCTCCATTTAACCTCAGTTAACACACTATAAAATATAATTATAACTCCTCTTATTTAATTATTTTAGAATTGTAACTTAAATCATATTTTATCCTATAAATACTCATTTTTACATCCTCCTCCACCATATATGATATTCTCAATATTTTCTTTGTTTAATTTTTAATGTTCTTGCATGGGTTGAAAGCTCAACTAAGATATCATTGTAAGAGCTTGATTATATATTTGGTTAAAACTTTTGTATTCAATTATATTTCTTCTTTATTTTATGTACTTCTTCATTTTTTCATTATTTTTATACTATTAAATGTATAATACATATGCATAATAATATTTTATGGCTATAAGGAAATTACTTTATCGATGGGACAATATTTTTGACCATCGCACCATAAGAAAATCAAGCTAAATAAACCATTTTCATTGTTTTACTTTATATGTTTTTTTCTTTCTCACATATTCATGTACATTTATTTTATTTTCAAAATATGTAATTATTATAATAAAATTTTTTTTTTGTTATATTCAAACCAATTTGTAAGACATTGAAATTAATTAAAATTTTATACACAAATAAAGGTAATTTTTGTGTATATTTATAAGTTTACAGACATATTTGGATAAATTTCAACATTTTTAGTGGTTGTTTTGATAAAGTTTGAAAAAGGGGTAAATTTAAAAAGTGATATTTTTAAAGGGGTAATTTTTAAATTCTCCCAATATCATTCCTATTTTTATCATTAACAATATTATTGTTTTATCAAAAAATACTTAAAAGTACTAAAGAAAATTACTATAAAAATTGATTAATTGAACAATTAATCAACGAATATATTCAAAAGATATGGATGTATGCTTCTATTGTATGATTTACATAAATAACATGTAAAAATGTCATAAGCATTAAAATTTATTTAATCTATTTTTTATAAGTAATAAATAAATTAAAATAATTAAATAAATATACAACAACCCGCGCATATGCGCGGGACATTACCTAGTCATTTATAAAAATTAACACTAATTTTAACATCAGATATTTGTAATGATATAAATATTTAACATCAATTTGTAAATGACACAATAATTAGAATCACTTAATTCAATTGACACTAATATTTACATCAATTATTTAACTGATATAAATATTTAACATCAGTTATATTAATTGATGCAAAACTAACATCAGTTATAACAACCAATGCAAATATTATCTATAATTACATCAGTTGTTAGAGAAATGATAGGTATTATTTGCATCGACAGTTTTAAAATCATTTACTGAAGTGATGTAAAATGTTTTGGCATCAGTTAGAAGTAATACAAAAAAATAAAAATAAATGATACAAAATGCTCATTTTTTTGTAACCACTTATTTATAAACCCGACATATAATTTTGTTTAATTGTAAAATATAAACCCTAACAACTCCTTTATAAACCCAAACCGATATATAATTTTATTTTAATTGTAAAATCTAAACCCTAACCACTTATTTATAAACCCAAACCAACATATAATTTTGTTTTAATTGTAAAATATAAATCATACGCTCCATTCATAAACTCAAACCGATAAATAATTTTATTTTAATTGTAAAATCTAAACTTCAAAATAATATTTAATCATGTTTTATTAAAAAAATACAATTTTTGTTTCCTTAATCGTTTTTATTTTTCTGATTCTAATTTTAGTTTACTGTTTAAACATGGTACTAGATTTGGACCCGCACGTACGTGCGGGATTGATTTCAAAAACTAATTTTGCTATCATGTTTGCAATATATTATGTATATGTAGAGTTATATTTGTAAAAGACATTTCTTAAGAATGTTATTAGCATTCATAATCCAAACTCGTACCAGTTCAGTATTTGATTTGTTTTCAATTTAGTTTAAACAAAAGTAACGATAAGATTTGGTTTTGTTACCCGTAAAAACAACTATATTAAAAAGTTATATAGTAAAAGAAAAGAGTTTGTCTATTTTAGACCGGATAAAAACAACTAAAAATAATAAAAAATTCCTAACCCGGATGATAAAAATTCAAGCGGGTTAACACGTCTGCTATTCATACTCCACAACCGATTAAAATATGTTTAACTCACCAATATATACAGTTCGCATTCTCCACATTAGTAAATAATATATTTGCGTATATTCTGTTTGAATTCATGTATTACGCTAAATTTCCGACCCCTCTTTTATTAGGAATACAATTTAGATAATGATTTTTATTTACTGAATTACCTGTACCTTACCATATATGTTATTTCATATAGTCCATAATAGTATGTACGTATATGTCCTACTTGAGTTCCCGTTATCCCAAATTCCTTTTACCCTATATTTTCGTCGCGTATTTTACCAATAACAGTTTAGATAATGGTTTTCATTTTCTGAACTACCCGTTTTCTTCCCATACACGTTATTTCATATACCAATATATAAGATAACCTTATATTGTTCGCTTCAATGATTAAAAATTAAGTTATTATATTAAATTAACATATAGTTCTATTTTTTTCGTTTAAAAAAATTTCAGATAACCCGTAAACCCGACGTTTGACCAGTAAATTATATAATCAGTAAAGGCATGAAATTAAATTTCTTTATCCAAATTTAAATTATCAGTAAAATTTCAAATTAGATTTATTTATCCAAATTAAAATTTGTTTTGTTTTTAAATATTCTTAATGATAAGTAATTTTAACCATGAATATTTTTTTTTGATAATTATGTTATTTATATTAGTAACTTTTTAAGATTATAATATTTTATATTAGATATATATATATATATATATATATATATATATATATATATCTATTGCTTTTTGTTTTATTTGAAAGCTTTTAAATAAGCCACAAAACCGACGTTGATCCGGAAAAATATATAATTATCAGAAATAGCTTTAAAATTGAAATTATTGGTATCCAAATTATATAATCTGTTTCGTTATCCAAAGTTCTCGTTATGTATTTTCTTTGAAATAGTTTGGATACTGTTTTTTTTTTTTCCTAAATGAACTTTTTCCAGCGCTCTTTATGTAATTTCATGTCCTTGTATTTCGAACAAATAGGATTATAGAAATTTCATCTAATACATATTAAAAAAATTTTATTCTACATCAAAAAAAATTTGTATTTCACATATAAAAATTAGAATAATGTGAATCTTCTTTTCATATAAAATAATTTAAAATACAATCAATGATTAAAATATGAAATCTGAAATATGATTGCTCTATAATTTTGAATAAGAATTAAAAGTGGTTGGATTCAATTTGAGAAGATTGCTCCGTAATTTAGAATTTTACATTAGTTATTTTTGGAATTTGAAATAAGATAATAAGTATGTATTAAACTTGAAAATTTTATGAGCTATATGTCGTAATATTTAATGGGGATTTTCATACCTATATTTTCGTAATAATAAATATTTTCTTAATTTGAAGATTTTTTAGCTATTTTTTAGGATACTTGATTTTAGGGATCACTGTTTTAAAAAAAAAGAAATATTATGTTTCCTAAAATTTTGGATTTTTTTAAATTATCTTAACTATCCTTATTCTTGTTTATTGTTATAAATAAATGCATATGCTCTACACCTTTTAATTGTATATTATATGCTTACTTTATTCAAAATGTTTCCCTTTTAATAGTATAGATGATCGTGAAATCATAAGACTTTTTTTCACTCGATAAAAAAAAGTTCTGAAATTCTTCTTTCTGTAATCTGCATAAATACGCATTCTGTATGTATAATTTATAACGAGACTTTGTTTAACAACGAAACCAATATCAAATGTGTAAAGTAAGTAAAAATATATATATATAAGTAAAAACATCCAAACAGAGAAAAAAAAAAACAAAAAGTAAAAACAGCACAAGAACGTGAGAAAGGTTAAAAAAAAAACTCAAATTTTCAACGCCTGCACCTCGTGATTTGGCTGCAACCGCGGCGGTAAGGGTTAGCCTGAGCGCCGCGTTTGCAGTTGTAATAAGACGCACCGCGTCGAGAACAAGGAACATTGTTCTTCCTCATCGCACCGTAGCTTACATACTTCTTGGAAGCTAAAATGCGTCTACTGATCTCAGAATCGAGTTCAAACTCTTCTTCTTCGGCTATACAATCCGCTATTGATCCTTTGCAGTCAGAAGAGGTTCTTGTTCGGACCACAAACCCTAAAACGTCTTCGTAGCCGCCTGCTTCAACGGACACGATCACGATCATGGAAATCACAAGGACGACAAAGATTATACGAGAGTTCATCACCATTGTCTTTTTCTTACAAAACCTTCTGACTGAATCAGAGGTTTATGTATTCAACTACTTTTGTGAGTTTTGAAGCTGAAGACAGCTTTTGGTCTTTAGGCTCTTTATAAATCAAGAAAATTATTTAGAATATGAAGTTTGTTTTTGTTTTATTTACGTAAACACCATCAGTTTTTGATATTTATAAAGTTACACTTTAAAATTCGGTTTAATGATGTCGGCTTTGAATAAACTAACTCAAAACTTTGTGATGAATATAATAGCATAATTAAATATATTTTGAGCATCATAGAATCTTGACAATTGTCCACACATTCGTCAAGACATGTTACGCAATATCTGTAATTAGCAGTTTTAAATTTGTCTTATCAAATGAGAAGTATCCTATAAAATGCTACAAAAACATGTAGATATATGCAAAATACAACGGTGAGTGTTTCATCTTTCGTGCCGACAAATTGCAAATCATGGCAGAAGAACTAGTAGAATCATATATATATGGGCATCGTTTTGGTTGGTTTGTCAAAAGCCACGAAACGTTAATATATACATCTCCATACAAAAGTCAGAAAATGGTGTAAACTGGAGCCACCCTACTGTCCTACACCGACGGACGTTTTGTGAATCAACGTTTTAAAACTATTGGTCGCCTCGCCGGCCGTCCGATGATAATTCTTTAAATAAACAAAGTTGAAGACGTGTAGATCACTTCCTCCTAAAGTACACCACCACCACCACCACCTATAATAACTTATTAACTTCCCTATATAATCCTAGTTAGGCATGTCAATCGGGCTAGCCCAGCCCGGTCCGGCCCGAAACCCGTAAAGCCTTCATATACGTGAGTCCGGTCCGATCCGTCCCGAAAAATTTCCGAACCTATATTTCAAAGCCGGCCCGGCCCTAACAGGGCTACATGGCTTTTCGGGCTTTTTTGTGCTGTACTTAGCGATAAAAAATCAATTTCAAAGTTCATAATAGTATTTCAAAAACTATATTTAAAAGTCTACTATAAAAATAATGCATCAAATTTTAAATAACTTATCAATATTCAATAAAACTAACTTAATTTAAGAGAAAAAATAAAAGCCAAATAAATTATTTACACTTTAACCCAATAAAACATGGAACTAAAACACTTTAAAGTATATTATAGAGTCAAAATTTAATATATATTTTGATGATTTCAAAATCATGATACTTATATATATTTAGTTATAGCTTTGTTGACATATATAAATAAGAGTTTATAAAGATTTTAAAAGTAATAAGTAAGGCTAGTAAGTAAATATGAAAACTATAACATTAATCAAATCTTTTAATTAAACTAAAATATTAAAAAATTGAAAATATATTTGTTTAAGGGCTTTTCGGGCCAGCCCGAACCCGACCGGGCTAAGCCCAAAAAATCCTTTAGCCCGAATGGACTTAACCCAAAAAACCCGGTTTTTTCTGGACATATATATTTAAGCCTGAGCCAGATGTTTTTCAGGACCAGGCCAAACTAACCCGCAGGCTTTAGTCCTAATTGACATGCCTAACCCTAGTGTTAACATTTTTATATACCAAACAAAAAAGAGTCCAAAGTCAGCGATTTTTTCTATATATACAAATGTATTTATACTTGTAACTAGGCATGACCACGGTTACGGTTAATGCGGTTATGGTTAATTAACCACCGGTTAACGGTTATAATTTTTTAACCATAACCTTAATCATTATATATACGGTTAAGACGGTTACGGTTATATACGGTTACGGTTAAATACGGTTACGGTTATTTGATGATTATTATAATATTAATATTGGAGATAAAATTTTATGAAATATTATTTATTTTACAAGTAAAAAATATATCTGATTTCAATTATTTATAGTGAATTAGTTAAATCTGGGTATTGTATACAGTTATAATATAATTTATTTTAAAATTTTAAATATGCGGTTAACCGAGCGTTTAACCGTACGGTTAACCGACGATTAATTACGGTTAATTATGGTTACGGTTAATTAACGGTTACGGTTATTATTATTTTTTAACCGTAACTAATTTACTTTTACGGTTAACGGTTACAATTTTTAACCGTTTTATACGGTTACGGTCCGGTTACGGTTGATAAACGGTCCGGTTACGGTTAAAAATACGGTTAAGGTTAGCTTTTGGTCATGCCTACTTGTAACGTTTATATTATTAAATATTAATCATCAACTCATTGATACCTCCATTGAATATTATTCATGATATTTGTTATTGGTCTTCTTGTTTCCAGTTTATAGAATTCATTTTCACTCGAAGGAATTGTAATAACGTTACATATTTATTAGCAAAATATAGGTGTATTTCTTCGTCTTTTTCTGATTGTTTTAGTCCGCTGCAATGGCTATCTGAACAATTGTATACTGACTACGTTAATTCATCTATATAATTCTATTTTAACGAAAAATACTTGTAACATTTATATATATATGTAAACATGCATTATTGTATGGGTTATGTGTGTGTCAAATGTGTATGGGTTCGGCCACAGTTGGGATTTTGACTCTAATTGAAAAGTCCAACACACATACACATCAACGTTTGTATTTTTGAAATAAAACAAACATAAACTTTTGATATTAATTAATTAGCTTGTCTTTGTGGTTCTTTTGTATAATCGTATTGTTATATAACGTATCATTAAATACTGTATATATATGAAAGACTAACGTTAATAATGGAAGGCATTACAGAAGAGAAGCGGCGCATAACATGCGAGGTGCAACCGCTCGGGACCAATCACACAGATCACCATAAAGGACTTAGGAATCGGCGTTTGCCCAAATTGTCAACTCTCCACTTACCTAATTATACATTTCTTGTCTTTGATTCTTACATAATCTAGTGAGAAAATTATGTCTTTGTTTCTTACATAATCTAGTGTTCTTCTTAAAAGAAGAATCGTAGAGCAATCCCACTATTTATATCAGTGTATAAAAATGTTAACAAGCTATTGAGAATTTAAAAACATATATGATTTGAGTAATGGTTAAAAAATGTGATATTTGTGTCACGTTTTGATATGTTCAGAGAGAAACAATGTATAATTACGTGAAATTAGTTTATTTATTGGAATCAAAAAAGTGAGTATAACCACGATTTGATAGTTATTCACATTCAGCAATTACAGAAGAACAACATGATATTTGCTAGTTTCTGATCAGTTCAAGTTCCACTGATATCAAACCATTATAATTTATGAATGTACCATACTTTACAATATAAACGTCTTAGCTGGTTTGGTCTCTATGCCATCCGATTAAAGTGTAAGCTTTTAAGGCATCATAAAACTAAAATTAGTGTGTAATATATAAACATGATTTGTTTAGATTTATAACCAGAAAGTGCGATTTCTTATTCAATTTTTTCTTGGTCTTGTAAAACGGTCATAGACATAAACCTTTTACCGACACAAATTTGACTAAGGGAAGAAAAGAAAGATTACCAAAAGAATCTTGTTTACTCCACCTTTAAGAAAGTGGCAAAAGGGAACAAACTGTACCAGTTTTGTCAAAAGAACGAGAACAGCAACACTTGAATTCCAATGCTTCATTTTCGTTCTCTAGATATATACATTGAATCGCCGCAAAGATGCATTCGTCGATTCTCATGATCTGATTAGTTGTGTTGCGATGTTAATACGATGCAAATCCCTTTTCCGGCGACGGCGGAATTCCGATTTACTTTTGTCCTAGTTTCACGGTGTAATCGAAGGCCCGACCCATTAAAAAATTATATAAGTATAATGGCCTTTTAACAAAAAAATAACAACACTTGAGTTCATTTCTACGGATGAATTATTTTATCGGTCTCCTAAAAATCTAACCAATAAAAATAGGGAATTTTGTTTGCTATGCCATTTTTAAAACTCAAATTTGTTAAAGTGCCATTAACAAAAACTTCTTTCAAAACGTGCCACAAAGAGGAAAGCTCGGACGATTTTGCCCTCGCAGAAAAAGACAAAACAAAACGATAGACAAAATTAAAATAGAAAAAGAAATCTCGTTCACAAGATCTTGTCCACTACATCTGATCCGCCATAACTAGTCGACCAAAATTGGTTCGCCAAATCTTGTCCATCTACAGAAAAATGTATTGTCCATAGTGTAATAACCGCATCACTTGTTTCATCGTCTGGCTGGTCCGCCGAATCAGGTCATTAGAACTGGTCCGCCGGTTTTTGTCACATAGGACAAGTCTATCTTAACTAGTTTTTGTCCGCCAAAAAATGATTCATCGGATCTGGTTAAAGTTCGTAGAAACTGACTTTGGTTCGCCTGAACTCGTCCACCAGATCTGCTCTATCAGAACTCGTCTTTCTGGTTGATCGAAACTGGTCCGCTGAATCTGGTTATAGTTCATCAGAACTGACTGTGGTCTGCCAGAACTCGTTTGTTGGAGTTATAGTCTGTCGAAACTGGTCCGTCGAATCTGGTCTGCCAAAACTGGTTATAATCATCGGATATGGTCCGCCGGATCTGGTCAGTCGGATCTGGACTGTTGGAGTTCGTCCGTCGAAGTTCGTCAGCCGTATTTGGTCCGCCGGAGTTCGTCCGTCAGATCTACTATGGTCCGCCGGATCTGGTCTGTTGGATTTGGTCCATCGAATCTAGACTGTCAGAGTTCGTCTGCCGGAGTTTGTCCGTCGGATCTGGTTCACTAGAAGTGTTTAATGTTGGAAGAAGAAAAAGAAGAATGAAGAAGAGAGAGATTAAAAAAAAAAAAAGTCACAACATAGAGCATCCAATTAGGACAGGGGTACAATGGTCTTTTGACAAAGACATTGTGGCAGGCGGGAGAAGATGTTTCTTATAATGGCACTGCATAAAACTTTTGTTACTGTAGAGGACATAGCCTACAATTTTCTCATAAAAATAGAGTAACATGTCACATAATAGTGTACTATTGTATTTAAAAATAAATCAAAATTAAAATTAATAAAACAAAATATACTTTGTAAACAAGATGAAATTAGATGCTCTTCGTATGCCAATCTCAACTTTCAAGTTTAATTTCTCCATTTCTAGATTCCACCATAACAACACTGTGCTTGACCTTTAAATTCGGACCAACAAAACAACGACAGTACCACAAAACTCATACATGACAATAACAATAAAATACGACAGCCCGTTAACCTCAGTGGGATCAAGCTAGTTCGGTCCAGAGTTTTGGGTACATGTTGGCATCTAATATGGGCTTCACACAAGCCAACAAAGGATTAGCCATAAACAAGTTTTTCAGCAAAAAAATTTCCCGACAAAAAAAACTTTCGAGAAAATTTTGTCAAAAATTTTGTTTTGTTTGCGGGAAAAAATTAATTTTTCATTTTGTTGATGATATTTTTGTAATGGAAAAGGCATTTGTATTTAATTACATTTTTTTGTTTAGTGGAATTTCCATTTGTGAAAGTCCGTTTTAATAAACGAACGTAAATAGGTTCGTTTATTTATGTCCGATAAATTTTATATTTGACGCACGGATATTAAATGGGCTTAAATTTTTGTGAATAGCTGTTTATGTCCATTTTCCAACTAAAATATGGACACTGGTGTTTGTTCATAATTATCTTACACAACTTCGAAAGTCTAAACCAAAAGTAGGCGAAGCTAATTGAGTCATAACAGGCTATTTTTAACGGGCTATTTTTATGGAAGCTAATAACATGGGCCTCCAAAGCCCATAAGAAAAACTTAGGGTTTTTGTTTTACCCTAAAGTATAAACTCTGTGTCTCCTTCATCGTTTCTCCCCCGTTGCCGCACTTGCTTTTGCTTCTCCTCAGAGGTAAACTACTCCGCCCTTTTCACTTCATCATCTCCTTCTTCATCTTCGCATCTCCGTTTTTGTTACTATGCCACTGTATTCTCGTTTTCGTGATCTATGATGATTAGGGTAGAACCTTGAATAGGTTTGATAGCGAATATGTAGTTTTGGCAAACCCTAGAACTCTAGCTATAGTTTTTGTATCGCTAGTTTTGAACTTCTATAAAATTTTGGATCGTTGTGGTTTCTTGAATCCCTTTAGATATATAATTGTCATTGTTGATCTGTTTATGTTGCTTGTGATTGAACAATGTTGATACTAAGCCTAACATAAGAGTGTTGTTGTGTTTATTATATAGTCTTTGGATATTGATTCGTCTGCTCTCCAAGCTAATCATTCAAGATGCAAAACGAGGAGGGACAAGTCACAGAGCTCTACATTCCTAGGAAATGGTAAGAGAATGTTTATTTCTTTTATGTTTTGGTATCTCTGATTCTTAGAGCTCATAAACTGAGAATATTGGTTTCTGTTTGTTTTGACTGACTTATACAGCTCTGCTACTAACCGGTTGATTACATCCAAGGATCATGCCTCTGTGCAGCTCAACATTGGTCATTTAGATGCTGATGGTGTTTACACTGGACAATTCACCACCTTTGCTCTCTGCGGTTTCGTCCGTGCTCAGGTTTGTAACAACAACACACTTTTTTTTGACATATAGACTTGGGAGTATTCTTAATTCTTATGTTCCCAATTCGTCATTGCTTGTGCTGCTGCCTCTTATGCGTAGAAGTTGAATTGTCTCGAGTTTGTTTGTGTATTGGAAGACTCTTGTTAGATTGAATCTTTTCTACTAGTTAGCTTGATGATTAAATGTTAGGTAATCCTCTTCCTAAGAGACTGGTAATTAACTAACGATGTTATCGTTCTTGATTTGCAGGGAGATGCAGACAGTGGTGTAGACAGGTTGTGGCAGAAGAAGAAGCTCGAAGCCAAACAAAACTAAAAAAAGCTTTAAGTTTGTCTTTTGTCTTTGATCAGATTCTTGTTATTTTGTTTCTTCTCTCGAAAGATTTATCTCATACTGAAGTAATGATTTTGGCTTGAGTCTTTGGAACTTCATTGCTTTTTTGTGTTCAATTTTTTTCTCTAGTACGTTAAAGTATCTCTTCTCGACCATTGTTATTTTTTGGATTTGCTCGTCTCCGAGAAAAAAAGAAAATTTGAATACGTTACGTAGAATCAGATTCTCTTTGGTCTGTTCTGTCTTAACCATTGAAGAACTTAAGGAGTGAAACATTACTATATATTAAAACTAAAACATGTAAGACCAATATAACAATTCGATTCATACTTTTTTATATTTATATTCTTTGTCATCAAAATATGCTTTCTGAATTCTGCTTGAAATAAGCATCTTCAAAATACATACACAAAAGCCATCTTTCTCTTCAAATTTTTTATCTTGCTTTTTCTCAATTATTCTTATTCCCTTTCAGTTCTTTTTAATTATAAAGATTTATTCCTCTACTAGTCCAAATATTCTCCTCAATGTTTTATTCTAAAATTTGCACTCAAAAATATGATATTCCAAAGTAGTACCTCACTTCACCATGTCACATTTTTTTCTTCTAAATTTTATTTTTAATCTATAACTAAATTGAGTTACATGACACAATGCCGTATATCTTCTCTAAGCAATTACAAAATTTGTAGAATTTTTTAATATATAATCATTTTACTACAATTTATACATTATTTTCTTACAAAATATGTCAATTTTTTTTTGGTTTTGTGAATTAGTGATGCCTTTTTTTTTTTGGAATATTATCAACTAGAAATTCGTATAATATAAGTGCACGAAAAGTTTTGTTTTTCCATGAATGTAAATTTCATAATTAATTTACAAAATATATTTATATTATAAATTAATATTTCGATAAATTAATATATTTTTTCGAGTCCAATTTAGGTTTTCGAACCAATTAGTATATTGATAAATTAATAACTCGATAAATTAACAAAATATAGCAATTTTAACAATATCAATTTATAAATGTTTTACTTAATTAAATACTAAATATATACATGTCTTTTTTATATGTAAATTTTTCATTTTGCCGAGTATCTTTTATTCAAGGTATATATATAATTTAACCTACTATTTTTTGTTTACGCAAATACCCCTCTAATAACCCAATGTTCGGCAATTTACAAGATGCCCACTTGAAACCCAATTACGTCAATTTGCTACTAATCAAACCAATCTAATCACATTACGCAACAAGAGTTTGGGTTCCCTTCACTGAGTGCCTCAAACGAATCCGACGGCTGAGATCTATACGAATAAAATTCGGGCGGTGGAGATTCGTATCCCGTGTCCACGTACTCGTAAGAATAATACGACGTCGGATGAATAGGACCAGGAGCCGCGTAATACGACGCCGTCTCGTTCCCACCGTTACTCATCCCGTGCGCCGTGTTGTAACTCACAGTGTAAGACGGCGCCGTTTGAGTCTGCTGCGTCTGATAAAACGAAGGGGGCGGCGGTCCTGGACTGTACGTTTGTTGTGGATGATGACGTGGAGGACTGTGAACCGTCGGATACGGATTCTGTTGCTGTTGATGAAAATGTGGAGGATGTCCATGTATAATGTGATGATCTGGTGGAGCAGAGTATATCACTGTCTCCGGTGGTCCATCGTTTTGCGGCGGACCACCTCCACCACCACAACCACCACCACCACTGCCGCCACCGCCACCGCCTCCTTCCATCACAACCGTCGTGTTCCCTAAGCTTTTCTTCTTCTTTTTCTTTTTCTTCTTCTTCTTCGGAGCTCCATCACCTTGAGGTTGAGGTTGGCCGTTCACAAACGTCACAACTTGTTTCACCTGATCACAGTTTCCTCCTCCTCCTCCTCCACCTCCACCACCACCACTACCACCGCCGCCGTCTCCGCCGTTGTTGTTGTTTTCGTCGTCCTCGTCGCCACTTGTTTCTTCATTTCTTGCGTTCTTCTGATAATTACAATCGTTGTTGTTATCCATTGGCGGCGTTGGCCATAGCTCGGCGTGTCTACCGGCTTTCATGATCTTCTTGATTAAAAACTCCGGCTCTACGTTTCCGATCACCGTTACTTTTTGTTGCTTCACGTCGATGTTTGTTGTATATACTCCTAATGAATAAATCATTTTAGAGACGTAACATTATTAATAAAGAAGAACGTAACACAATTAATACACATGAAAGAGATTATATAATATAGTTTATACCATCGATTTTGCTTAGTATTTTCTTGATTTTTCTTTTGCAACCTTCGCAATGGATAGAAACTCGCAAAACCCATGTCTGCAATACAACAAAGAAAAACAAGAATCTTGAGGTAAAAAGATGATAGTTATATGAATAAGAAGAATAAGAAGAAATTGATTATGTCTTTACGTTGTATCTAAGAGGTTCAGGGTAGTTATCTTCAAAAAGGACATGTCTCTGATCTTCTTGTCTTGTGTCTGGTTTGATCTCTGTTCCTAAATCCATATGGAGAGAAAGATAGAGAGGAAGACGAAGCAGAGGGAGAAAGGAATCCATGCAACTTCATGTGTAAATATAGTAGTAGTAACGAAGTCATCGCTTCTATTGGGACTCCTTTAGCTGATGATATATTCTCTAATATTTACCTTTTTCTTGGCTGATAATATTCTCTACTATTTGCCTTTTTTTTCTAAAAAAGATTACAAAAATGATATAATTTTTTTCTTTTTTTTTTGCCGGCAAAAAAAAAAATGATAATTTTTCATTTAAAAAACGCTAGACCATCCTTATTGCAAGGTTAATTGCGATGAAATAAAATTATCAATTCTGTTATTCTTTTATTTGGCCAGTATTACTATTTTCAATGAGTAAACATATATTTTATTACAAGCAAATTGTGTTGTGACATTCACATAAATCCACCACATTAACATAAATATTTTAATTATAATCATCATAACAAAATTTTGGCAGCCAAATGTTTCCTCAAATGATTTTAGTATGATTTTTTGACCATAGTATAAAAAATATTATAATAGGTTTGTCCACCCATTTAAAACGACGTCATTCAATGGCAAGTGAGCGGCAAAATCGCCAATGCTAATTGTCAATTGATGTGGTTCAGTGATTTTAATTTTGGTGCGTAGGGTTCTTTGTTTCTGATTCCACGATACGTTTCATCTTCTCCCTCGTGGATCTCCGGGTGAAATTATTGTTCAAGGTGAGTGATTCACTTGATAGGTATGTGTTGTTTAATTAGAAACAAATTTACTAGGGTGTTGGAGAATTTGGAATTTGGGATTATCCACTAGTTATGTACGAATCATTACATATTAGAATCTATTTGGTGTATGGGTCCTTTGCCTATTATTGTCTCCAATAGCCTTAAAGAAACTGTCTTTTTTGTTGCCTGAACAGTTGGGTTTCCGATGGATTTATCTTCTGATCAAGTTGTGATGAAGCTTGTTGAAATGGGTTTTGAAAAGTTGGATGCTTTGGAGGCTGTTACAGCTGTAGGTAAGTCATGTGATGCCGCTTTGGAGTATATTTTGAATGGACATCGTTCAACTGGTGGGTTTGAGCCGGCTAGTTCACTATGTTTTACAAGGAGTAACAAGACCCTTGGTAAAAGAGCTAAGCCATCTTCGTTTTCTTCGGGTTCAAAGCGTCAGTCGAGTTTGCTTGACCATTTTAGATCTCTGGACCAGAAAAAGCAAAAAGGTGACTGTTTTGGGACTGGAGTAGAGGATTCTCAGTTAGTAACGGTGTCTGATCCTTCGGAAGAGCAGAGAAAGTGTTTTGCTCCAATGTGTTTGGAGTCTAGTAGTTTTACTGAAACAGAAATACGAAATGGTTGCGCTGAGGCGTCATCAACGTGGGAGAAAAGAGTTAATTCTATACTACAAAACCGGTTTGGTATTTCATCCCTGAGAAGTTTCCAAAGAGAGGCTTTATCTACATGGATTGCTCACAAGGACTGTCTTGTCCTAGCTTCAACGGGATCTGGTAGTTTATTTCTTCGTTGCTGATGCCTTCTTCATTCTCATATGGAGTCAATAACATTCTAATTGTGGTTTCTATGTTTTCATCTTGCAGGGAAATCTCTTTGCTTTCAGATTCCTGCATTACTAACGGGAAAGATTGTTGTCGTTATTTCACCTTTGATAAGCCTGATGCATGATCAATGCCTCAAGCTATCAAGGCACAGAATCTCTGCTTGTTTTCTTGGCTCAGGCCAACTTGATAATTGCATAGAAGAGAAGGCAATGCAGGGAATGTATCAGATCATATATGTTTGCCCTGAGACAGTGGTTCGGTACACAACACATCACAACTTTCTGAAATTCTCTGAAGTGTGTTTATATTATTTCATTAAGAAAGGTCAAAACTTGATCGCAGATTGATTAAACCACTCCAGAAGCTTGCGAAGACTCATGGAATTGCTCTTTTTGCAATTGATGAAGCTCATTGCGTATCAAAGTGGGGACATGATTTTCGTCCTCACTACAGGTATGATTTTTGACAGTCAAAAACTTGTTAATATTATTGCTTTGAAGTGTTCTTCTTGGTAATCTTAAACAAACCTCCTGCTGCCGAATCGTTAGGAGATTATCCGTGTTGCGGGAAAACTTCTGTGCCAGCAATTTGGAATTCTTGGAACATGATGTACCGATAATGGCATTGACTGCAACAGCCACAGTTCACGTACAGGAAGATATTCTTGCGTCTCTTCATCTGTCAAAGGAAACAAAAACTGTGCTTACTTCATTTTTCAGGCCAAACCTACAATTTTCAGTGAGTGAGCAGTAAACTTCACTTCTTACATATTGAACTGTTTCGCATTTGTAAACAAGCATAAGATTGGCAGATCAATCTGTAATTTTTTACTCGATGCTAGTATGTGGATCATGAGTTTTGCAACATGACTCTGATATTTTACTGTCATATGCAGGTTAAACATAGTCGAACCAAGTTTGCATCTTCATATGCAAAGGATTTCCAAAGCTTAATTGACTTATACACTGAAAAGAGAAAGTTGAATGGGAAAAAGCTAGCAGTAATTTCAAGAGTGTCAGATGGGCAGAATGATTTTGGTTATATCGATGCTGAAAACATCCATGAGACAGATTACGATGAGGATGACGAGGATCAAGAAAACAATCTTGCAAAGGAAAAAAATTCAAATGGGAAAGAAATGTTAGAAGAATATCTGGAAGATGAAACCGACACTTTCCAGAGTGTTGATGATTGGGATGGTAAGCTTTTCAATTATGTTTGGAAACAGAGAGGATCATCGTGATCTAAAACTGTTGATAAAATTACAGAACCTTTGATTAGACGATTGGTTAGTGAAATTGATAATAGCATTAGTAAAATAAATATACTTGGCATCTGACCATCCCTTGGTTAAGTTGTCAGCTCCTGTGCATATAAAAGAGGCATAAAGGCTCAGCGTCACTTATTCAAAGTGAATTATATATGTATTATGCAGACAACAGAACTCAAGTCTTGGGTGATTTTCCTGTGAGTTTTTGAAATATCTTTGGTGTTGAGAAATGGTGATTTAGATTAGCTTTAATCATTGCAGTGGCTTGTGGCGAGTTCTGCGAAATGCCTCCTTGTGAAGTCCTGGATATGCCTGCCCCTTCCGAAAAGCAAACGGATTATGAAGGACTGACAATCATTTACGTTCCTACAAGAAAAGAGAGTGTCAACATTGCTAAATATCTTTGTGGGGTTGGACTGAAGGCTGCAGCATATAATGCATCGGTATGGACTGAGATATCTAACTTTTTCCTGCTTTAAGAAGCCCCCTGCACTATTTTTCTTAAGAATGAATGTTGTCGAGTGTCGACCTCTGCTAACTTGGTTGTCAAAAATTTGTATTCCAAATTAAATGCTGTTCTTTTAAAATGTTGTTATGGCTCTATGATCAGTTTGTTACGTTTCACAGTTGCCAAAAAAACATCTCAGACAAGTTCATCAGGACTTTCACGATAATAAGCTGCAGGTATATACATAAAACCTTTTCTGTTCTTATGTGTTATAGCTCAAAACTTAATGCTCTACTCTGTTCTTCAATTCACTGTTCCGTCTTCTTCTTTGTCGGAATAATATGTGGAAGATCATTATTGCTATGTTACTCCTTTTAGGTTGTTGTAGCCACAATTGCGTTTGGAATGGGAATTGACAAGAAAAATGTTCGGAAAATCATCCACTATGGTTGGCCGCAGGTCTCTTTCAGAAGCTCTTTATAAGACTTTCAAATTTAACATTTCCTTCCCTGAGATTCACGTGCTAATGCATATTTGTTGTTCTCTCGTCTACATCTCATTGAAATAATAAAACTGCAGAGCTTAGAAGCATATTACCAAGAAGCTGGCCGAGCTGGAAGAGATGGCGAATTAGCTGAGTGCGGTGAGTTGATTAATGATTTCTTTTGACTGTGTAAATTAATTCTTATTTGCATCGCTTATGTAAGTAATTATATGGGATTTACAGTGCTCTATGCTGATCTATCGAGAGCCCCAACGCTTTTGCCAAGCCGTAGGAGTAAAGAACAGACAGAGCAAGCATACAAGATGCTATCAGACTGTTTCAGGTCTCTATACTATTCATAAAAATATTTTTTTTCCTTTTCTTATGCAGATATTTTCACTTATCGTTCTATTCTCCATTATATTTATTTTCCTTTTCTTATGCAGATATGGAATGAATACTTCACAATGTCGAGCGAAAATACTAGTGGAGTACTTTGGGGAGAATTTTAGTTCCAAGAAGTGTAACATGTAAGTCATGCCCTTGTTTTTGAAAACCATAAAAGAAAACTAGCAAACAGTCAATCTTGCTAATCTATGAAACAGATGTGATGTTTGTACTAAAGGGCCTCCGGAGCAAGTAAATGTACGAGAGGAAGCTAATCTTTTGTTTCAAGTAATCAGTGCTTTTCAAGTATGTCTTTTCTCTAATCCCTTATTTGAAAGTTTGGTTGTTCGTATGAGTGATACCCAAAGGATTCCATGACACCCAATCAAATATTTCTATTTAGTACCTGGGATTTCTTCTACTAGCCTTTCTTTCTGGAACTTAAGCTGCTAGTATATTAGTTGCAGGTAGAGAATACCTCTGAGCATGCACCATATGAAGATTATGGACTTGGCAACAGCAAACAAAAGAAATTATACAACAAGCCAAATCTTCTGTTCTTTATCGGTAGAATCAGGGAACAGGTAAACTTCTATTTCAACAAATTACATGTAGTTTTATGATGTTCTTGATGATATTCATGTGATGCCTCTGGTTAGTGTAGTGTCAAAAATTCAAGGAAACAGATTTTCTTTGGTGGAAAGGTCTTGCCCGTATCATGGAAGCTAAAGGATACATCAAAGAGATGGATAACAAGGTAAAGTACAGTAGTAACCAACAAAACCCAACAGTTCTTCTTTCATTTTCATGATCGTTTTATCGATAAAGCTACAGTCACATATTCGATTATAACCATGTTACTGATCTGTGTGTTGCAGGATCGTCGAGTTGAGGTTAAATTTATAAAGCCAACAGAAAAAGGGAACAAAGAACTTGACTTCGAAGTTGAAAAACCACTCTATGTGTACCCGGAAGGCGACATGCTGCTCTCGTTGAAACAAGATCAAACATACAGCGGATTCTCTGAATGGGGAAAAGGATGGGCAGATCCAGAAATCCGACGTAAGAGGTTAGACAGAAGAGAAAGGAAGCCTCGAAGAAAAAGGAAACCCCGAAAAGAACGATCACGAGGACCTTCTTCAAAGTTGCATTCATGTAAAAGCAAAGAATAATAATCTCAACTCTCACAAGGTAATGAATCCACTTTATTATATATTCTTTCTCTTTTAACCAAACCCATTAATCCATCCATGGATCTTTATGGAAGCATAATAGTTCTATCTACAATTGCTCTTTCAGGCTCCTTCTTCTTTGCTCTCAGTCCCATCTTGAAGCAGAGACACCGCACCATCGAGAAACTTAAGCTCGTGAATGAAGCTTTGGCTACTGCGGAAGAGAATGTGGCTAGACTCCAAGAACGTCATGATGTGATACTCAAAGAGATATGTTCTTATTATCTCGTTAACACCGAGCTCCAAGAAGCTTTAGTTGCAGCTAGAACAGCCATTGATAATGCTTCTGCATTTGTCATAGAGCTCAGAAGATTACAGTTAAACATTTTAAACTCTTTTTCTTAAATCAAATTTTTTTGTACTTTACTACGCTAATTAAAAATTAATACATTCGAAATTTCACTTCTCAAATTTTTTTGTAATGTAATTAAGAATAATATTTATTGTGCTGTCAAAATTAATTGAACTTTGGAGTTAATTACTCTGGCCCCTGAGTAAACCAAAAAGATAAGATTAATTATAGGTTGACGTGTGAGAATGAATCTAACGGCTGAGAGTACTCGAGTGTTTTATTCCCACCTTCCTTTTACGACCCCCACGTGTAATGTCACGCAACGGACTCGTAACAACCGTTAGATCAAAATCCAAGAAAGATACAATCTGAACGGATAACATCAGCTACTACACGGATCGCCAACGTGGCAATACTTCGTATATACATACACGTCGTTGAGTCTCCTCATTTTACGCAAATCGTAAACCGCCACTAAACCGAAACAACAAATAAAGAAAAACACAGAGAGATCCATTTGTGAGGAATCTTCTTCTTTTGAGCTTTTCTTTTTTTTTTGTTTAACAATGGAGTCAGCAGCAGCAGCAACAGCGTCGACGAAGCCAGCGAGAGGAGCCGGAGGAAGAAAAGGTGGTGATCGGAAGAAGAGTGTTACGAAATCAGTTAAAGCTGGTCTTCAATTTCCCGTTGGTCGTATCGCTCGTTACTTGAAGAAAGGTCGTTACGCTATCCGATACGGTTCTGGTGCTCCGGTTTACCTCGCCGCTGTTCTCGAATATCTCGCCGCTGAGGTATTAAACTTAGATCTCGTTCTCTCTGATGTCGCATTCTGAACCGGTTTTTGAAAATTTATAGATCTGGTTTTTGATTTCGAGGCGAGATAGATCTAACGGTGTTGGTGTTGTGTGTTTGTTGGTGGTTTTCAGGTTCTTGAGCTAGCTGGGAACGCAGCGAGGGATAATAAGAAGAACAGGATAAACCCTAGGCATCTTTGTTTAGCGATAAGGAACGATGAAGAGTTGGGGAAATTGCTAAGTGGTGTTACGATTGCAAGCGGAGGTGTTCTTCCTCACATTAACCCAGTTCTTCTTCCTAAGAAATCTCCATCTCAAGCTGAGAAAGCTTCACCTGCTTCCAAAGCTCCTAAGAAGGCTTGATTCAAGAAAAATGATCGATGTTTGCTTTTTTTTTTTTTTGTTGGTTTACTATATTCTCGGATCTAGATGATGAAGATGAAGATGAAGAAACATCTTGTTTTTTTTTTTTTTGGTTTTAGAGGATGATTGTGTAGGTTTCTGAAATCTTTCTTCTCTTTTGTTTTTGGATTGTCCAATGTAAAAAAACCATGAGAAGATGATGATGATTATGTTTTAAGGAATTTGTAATGGAAGATAACTAATTTCTGGGTTTTTAGTAACTTGAATCATTTGTCTAATTAATTACTTCATTTCTTGAACAGATCATACAATTATGATTTGTTTAAGTTGATGATTGAAATGGTTTAGGTACATTAATTGAAGTAGATTAGATGATTGATAGTAATTAGACTCAAGAACAAATTAAACACGAGAAAATGTTTGTCTAATTTGGGCTTTAGTTGGGCCTAAACTGATTGGATCATTTGTGTTTTCTGGAAAAGAGGATTTTTGTTTCCACTTTCCCGTTTTGGCGAATGCAGATTATTTACTATATCAATAACACAAATTACACGATAACATGCTTGTTCAATTAGGCTTTAACTGGGCCTAAATTGATAGGCCCATTAGTTTATTTTCTCCTTCTGCGGATGTTTAAAGTTTAACGTCTACGAGTTTCTAGAAAAAGAGGGGTTTTGTTTCCCGTCGGGGGTTTAGAATCCAAAACAAGACGCGATTTTCGAATTTCAAAATCGAATCGAAGTGTTTTGTTACAATCTTTGGATTCGCGATGATGAATTTACTGGTTCGATTCTTCTCTCCGATTCTTCAATGAACGATTTCTTGATTGATATGGTTGAAGAATTTTTTTCACTGACTCTCGTTGTTGTTGTTGTTTCATTCTGGGGTTAGAGAAGAGCTGTATCATCTTCTTCCAAACGAAGCGAGCTTATTCGTATCGTCGCTGTTGCTACCGCTACTTCTGGAATTGTCTATGCTAATTGTAATCCAGATTTAGGTAACATTGAGCTTTTTTTTTTTACAATCATCATTGAAATTTTGTGGTGTTTGATGTGATCATAAATGTGATTCTAGGAACGCGTATATCGTTTGCTATTCCTGAATCTGTTCGGGAATCTGTGTCGTTGCCTTGGCGGATTTCACAGGGTTTGATTCATCGTCCTGATCAAAGCTTGTTTGGTTAGTACTTAGTAGCACAAAAATTCTGATATCTGAGTGTTTTATGCAATTATTTTTAACTTTGTAAGTTTGAAATTTTTATTTCTTCATATATAGGAAATTTCGCGTTTTCTTCTAGAGTTAGTCCAAAATCAGAAGCACCTATAAATGATGATGAGAAAGGAGTTTCTGTTGAAGCTTCAGATAGTTCGAAACCAAGTAATGGATACTTGGGAAGAGATACTATAGCCAATGCAGCTGCTAGAATTGGACCAGCAGTTGTCAATCTCTCGGTTCCTCAGGGTTAGCTTCTTTCTAGGATTTTATCTTTTGATTACGTTTATTTTGTTTACCTTTAGGAAATTGGTTGTAGAACTCATAGGGGTGGTTTGGTGATCTTGGGAGTTGATTTAGGTTTCCATGGTATATCTATGGGGAAAAGTATCGGTTCTGGAACGATCATTGATGCTGATGGTACGATATTGACTTGCGCTCATGTTGTAGTCGATTTTCAGAACATTCGTCAATCATCTAAAGGGAGGGTAAGCTTAATCACCAAACGTACTCTTTATGATAAACTCTGTAGATTTGTTCATATATTCTTGTCAAGGATCTTAGAATGACTTTTGTCTTTGGAATGTATGGTTTTACTATTGGAGATATAGGAAACTGGGGTTCTAGATGATACGATTGGTTTCTTATAATGATCATACAATCTCTTCTTCATGTTATCCTCAGAGAGTTAGTTTAAATATCAGAGCTCTTCTTTATTTTAAACTGTATTGGTTTTCATACAATCTTTTCAAGGATCTTAAAATGACTTTTTTTCTTTATAATATAGTATTGGAGTTATATCAAACTGTTGGAGTTATATGAAACTGGGATTGTGGTTGATAAGATTGGTTTCTACTTTCTTCTAATGATATATCTTGTTTAAATCTGTTTATAACATTTGCTAAGTTTAGAGTTGTTGAATTATAGGTTGATGTGACGTTGCAAGATGGTAGGACGTTCGAGGGTGTGGTGGTGAATGCTGATTTACAGTCCGACATTGCATTAGTGAAGATACAGTCAAAGACGCCATTGCCTACTGCTAAAATTGGTTTTTCGAGTAAGCTTCGTCCTGGGGACTGGGTAATAGCTGTGGGTTGTCCTCTTTCTCTCCAGAATACAATTACTGCTGGTATTGTCAGGTACAATTATACTTGCAAAGGCTTTATTCGTAAGTTCTTATGATCGCATCTGTTTGATTATTTTGTTTTGGTTTTTTCTTTGTCTTGGTGCTAGCTGTGTTGATCGCAAAAGCAGTGATTTGGGTTTAGGAGGCACACGTAGAGAGTATCTTCAAACAGACTGTGCGATCAATGCTGTAACTCACATCATTCTTTCTCTATGGATTTGAAACTCATTACAGATTGACTAGCAGATCTTCTGATTATTATATCCTTTTGCTATATGTGTGTTAGGGAAACTCTGGTGGGCCTCTCGTAAATTTGGATGGAGAGGTGATTGGTGTTAATATCATGAAAGTTTTAGCTGCAGATGGTCTTGGATTTTCTGTGCCAATTGACTCGGTATCCAAAATCATCGAGCATTTCAAGAAGAGTGGGTATGCTAGTAATATCAAATATATTTTCAACGAACTTAAAGCTTGTGAGGAGTTAAAATCAAACGTTACTTTTGCAGTAGAGTTATTCGCCCATGGATTGGGTTAAAAATGATCGAACTCAATAAAATGATCATTGCTCAGCTAAAAGAACGAGACCCATTGTTTCCAGATGTCGAAAAAGGCATTCTTGTTCCTACGGTGAGTACCCCATATTTGTCAATAAGATCAAACAAGTTCACTGTAAAATAAAATACCGGCTGATACAGGTGCTTGATCACTGTTTATGCAGGTGATTCCAGGCTCACCGGCTGACCGAGCTGGATTCAAACCAGGCGATGTTATTGTGAGATTTGACGGGAAGCCGGTCGAGACCATCAAAGAGGCATGTATCGTCCCTCTGTCTCTTCACTCACTTATCTTTCTTAGAATATTCATGTGTTATTGAAGTTTTATAACTGTACAGATAATAGAGATACTAGACGACAGAATCGGGAAGCGAATGCAAGTAGTTGTTGAAAGATCAAATAAAGTAAGGACCACACTCGAAGTCATTCCTGAGGAGGCTAATCCAGATATGTGAGTCGACGACGACTCCCAGGTTTTGAAATCGAACTTTTTACCATATCCAACCAAATGTATTGAACGAACTCTTGATAGTTCCATTTAATTTTCTGTAACTTTGGTTCCTTTCTCAACCTCTTTATAACAGAACTAACCACAAAAGTATTAAACTTTAGACAAAAAGAATCATGCTAGTCAAATATATATCTAATCGATAATTAATATAACTAATCAATACTTCAAAAAATTAATTGAAGTTTTGAGATATTTTCTTGTTTTAAAGGTGGTGGATACTTTGCGTTGAAGATACATATGTTATGATATCAACAGGGACTTGTACTACCAAATCGAACCTTGTCCAGTTGGTTGTGTACTTAGGCCTTTGGCCCTCAAACACTTAAGGCCAAGTGTTCGAGTCGTATTTGGTACCACAACAACCTCTCTCTTTCTCTTGCTAAAATTTCGTTGAGCTTGTGCATAATGCGAGGTAATAAAAATTACCTTTTTAAAAACAGAGTTATTTATTAACATGGGCAACATTTTTTTTAATATATTTTTCGGTTTGAGTCTACAAAATAGATTCTCCGGTTTGGTCGGCTTCGTATAATCTAAACACAAACAGAAATGGTTCAGCAACAAGGTATACAACCTTAAAGAAAAAGAAACAATACACGAAAATTTAAACAAGGGGAGAAGGAGAGAGTTCCATTATAAATTGTAATACATGATTTTTAAAATTACGAACCAAACTAACTTACCTAACATACAATATATCACCAAAACAAAACACTCACATTTGTTTCTCTCAACGGGCTTACGTTTTGTTACAAAGGATGGTAAGGGACGTAGCCCAATAAGCCCGTGACGTTGGCTACTACTTCGTTGCATTTTGACAAAAGGTTTAGCATCTGGTGGGAGATGTCTCCAGAGCTAACTGCTTGGCTCTGGCCACGGAAGTTGTTTCTTATTGGCGGCATCGGTGGTGGTTCCACATGGTCCACTGGTTTAATGGGAACATGTGGTTTTGAGTATTGTGGAGGGAGAGGAAGAATTGGTGGCAATGTAGAAGGAGGAAGCTGTTGATGATGAACAACGTTTTGAAACTTCTTACTAACAAATTCCATTGCAACAGATGATGATGAAGACGATCCACTGTTTCTATTCGAGGCTGTTGTGACTGGTTGTGGTGGCTCGGTGCTTGTTTTACTCGAGTTTTCTTCACCACCTAACATGAATTTGACTCTTACGGATCCGCGATTACTATTTCCATTGTTACTACTACTGCTCGGGTCATCGACTGGTTTCTTCAAGCAGGATTTGAGGTTGACGTTTGGCGGCGGTAAGATTGGTTGGTGAAGTGGCGGTGCTTGGTCTTGCCACTGACTCTGTGTTTCATCATCTTCCTTTGTGTTTTCTGGTTCACGAGGCTCAGCTTTAGGAGCATCCACATCGCGGAGAAAGTACTTTACGTTCACGTTTCCAAATAGAGAATTGTTTCCTGTTGCATATCGAAAAGCAGTCTGTGCATCGGCTTTGTACAGAAAGACAACACGGCAGGTCGATGATTTCCAGAAAACCCTAATGGCGGATTGATCTAACAGCCCGAAGCGACCAAACCTCGCCTTTAGCAATGCAGCTGAAGGGAGAGATGTGCCAGGTGGGAATTTCATGACCAGCATTGTGTGCTCAACCACCTTAACTGATGGAGCCGTTTTCTTCCCGGTTTGAGCTCTGGGTGCTTTCGCTTGTACCACACTGCTTTGCTCTCTTACTGGTTTTGTACTATCCTTTGTTTCTCGACTGATCTTCTTATCAGAAGCCCCTGTTTTCAACTGATTAGTTTTTTTCAGCTTCTTAGTTGCTGGGATTTCATCTTGACGATCAGAAGAGAGGCGTTTTTTTCCGGGTTTTGATGGGTCTTCGATTCTCTTCACTGTCTTGACAGGTTTTGAGGGTTTTGTGTCTCTGACATTATCGACAGTAGCATCAGAGGAAGATATTGCCAAGCTTTTTTGGTAATTAAGTGAACGGAAGCGGAGAAAAAATTTCCTAGCAGCTCCAAAAGAAGCAACTGATGAACAATAGAAAGGGTCAAGAGAGAGATCTTGCAGATGACTCAACAGCTGCGGCACATCGGCTTCCATATAAGATTGTAAATGCGCTGAACCAAGCTGGGACAGTTTCTTCGTCCCAGCTTCCCCAGAAGATATAAACTTTCTCTTCTCTGGAAGGCCAGAGTCAGGCTCTTTCTTTTTTTTCTTTTTCTTTTTTGGCTCTGACGAAGGATTCTCCAAGCCCATTTCACTTGAAGATCGTTTAGCAACTTTGACTTTCTTGATTACAGAACCTGTGGAACTTTTCCCTTCGGCTGCTGAGGCATGAGACTCAAGTAGGGGCTGGAGAGAGCTTCCAGCTGATCCTAGATCTGTTCCAGCCTCTTCTTTAGGACTCATCATAGCTTCAGATTTCCCATGCTCTGGAAGTACAGTAGTTCTTTCTTCCATTTTCTCCTTTGATTCTTCAGCTGAACCCTTTTCTTCATTACGAGAGAGCTTTGAAACTGAACATTCTTTACCAGGAATATCTGCACTTGAAGAGGCAAAATCCATGCCGACAATCCCAGACTGCTCATCTTTCACTGGCGTTTGAGCTCTTCTCTGCAGCACAAAATCCCCGTCCAAAGGTCCATCAAATCCCTGGATTTGAGAAGCTGCTGAACTTGCTTCACCTTCGCCAAATTGAACAGACTTATCACCAGCTTCATCCCTTCGTTTGAGAAGATACTTGTCTTTTTTTTTAGAGTCCTTGACCTTTGTGGGTTTTTTCGAGCTCTTCAGGTCACCAAGAGTTTCTGCTATGACCAGTGGGCCACTTAAGGGAGCTGGAAACATGAGAAATTGGAAAATCACATCAACCACCAAAAAAATAAACAATGAAGCAAATAAGGTAAACATATGCAGGACTCTCCATAGTAGAAAGAGGCGCAGATTTCTTGTGTTACGCCACGTTTTGCAAAGCAGATTTCAACATCAATGTGACTTCGTACTTCTTTCAAGCATGCTAATGTAAAGAATACAACTTTTAAGATATAAATCCAAATATCATAAACATAGATGATCTAAAAGTCACAAAACCAAGTTGTAAGTCTGCATTGATCTAATATTCACAACTCTGTAATACATATGATAGCTGTTTCAAGTCTGCATTGTAAAATACACATACAAAGCAAAGATAACACATAAATGGAATAAGACCATGATTTCAGAAAAGTGAAAATACCTCGAGGCGGTGCTCTATTATGAGGTTCATGCATACTCACTGAAGTGCGCACAGATTTTGTCCCAAAGGCCTGTGCATACGTTTCATCAAACTCCTCGAATACTGACTTGCGGAAAGCACAAACTGCTGCTTTCTTCTTCATAAACTTTAAACCGTCTGAATCAAACTCTCGAGGTGCTAAGGCCAGTTGCTTCACAAATGAAATGGTTTCCACGGGTGAAAACTTATCCCTAGACTTCTTAATCTGCTCAGCAGAGTAAACGGCTTGAAGTTCGTAATCAGGCACATCAACAGCAAAGTAATCTTCAACATTAGTAGGTCTGAAGTTAAAAGGATTCCGACATTTACAAGTTAATCCAAGAGCTGACCTTCTACTCGCCTCATCCATGGCTTCCTCCACAGCCCTCACAAAATGTTTAGAAACAGTCTGCTGCGATTTCTCCTCTAAGTTCGGTTCAAAAGGAATAAGCTCAGCAGGATCAAACCAACCATAACTACTATCCCCAAAAAACGCAACGAGAACATGGTCAATCCTCCTCATACGACGAACAGAAGGAGACGCAAAAGCTTCATTGAATATATGACCAGGCCACCAAGGATGAGACTTTACCTTTCCCCAAACCAAATCCCCAACTTCAAACCCATAACTCAATGCCCTCGAAACTCCAGAACCCATTTTCTCACTCGCAACGTAATCATCAAACTCAGATAAGAGAGATTTGTAATCAGAGACTCCTCGCTTCTCTTCCTTGAAATCCAAATCCAATTTCTTCTCATCAGCTTCGGAGCCAAGCTCACTAGATTGATCATCGGAAACATCTTCTTCTTCTTCCTCTTCTTCCTCTTTAAGTTCAGAGCTTTCATCATCCTTATCAGCTAAAACATCCTCGCTTTTATCATTTTCCTCACTCCCAATGAGACCATCTTTCTCCGATCTCTCACTCTCGGAAACCCTAGCATCATTTGTAACCGCCGAATCCAGCTCCATAGGTAATGAAGCTGCAGCATCACCATCATCATCATCAATGGCTTCGTGAACACCCCCGCTCGAATCAACACCAGAAACCGTAAGAGCTGTTGTTACATCAGGATCCTGAATCGAATCCGTTTGTTGAGAAATCTGAGCATCCTCGTTCATCACCGAAGAAGAATCAATGGAGTTACAAATCGAGAAGAACCCTAAAGCAGCAACTCTCTGGTTATGAGATAATCCGTATTTGGTTCTGCAGAGATGACAGCAAATGAAAGGAGACGGATTTAAAACGAAAAATTCTCCGAGAGAACGATGATGATGATGATGATGATGATCAATTCTACATAGAGCAATAAGGAAGATAACTATTAAATGGGCTCTGGACCCGGCCCATATAAAAGCCCGTTAATTTAAAGAGAGCAACATATTTGTAACAGTTAGGGTTTTTTTTTTTTTTTTTTTCGTGAAACGACGTCGTTTGATACAAACCTGAAACTATCGCTTCCTTCTTCTTCCTCACAAGCGCCGTCTTCAAGCTTTTATCTCTACGAATCTCACAGCTTTAATCTCGTCTTCTTTGATTTTGCTATCAGCTGATCTCTATAGGGTACGTTTCTCGTCTCGATTCATCGTTCCCTAGCTTCAAAAAGATGAATTATGAACCAGAATCATGTATTAGTAGATTGAAAGCTTCGGAAAGTTTTGCGATTTTCTCCATTTCACGTGTTGTTGGCTTCGGAAAGTTTTGAAACTAGAGTATAGTTTCTGTTTTCTTCTATATGCATGGGAACTTGATACATTGAGTTGGCGAGTTTTAATTGAAAGTTTCAGTCTTTGATTCCCTTTTGAACATATTAGGTCATGCTAGTTTGCTATTTTAATTTCTTCAGTTTAGGGTTAGCAATAAACTTCGGCTCCAAAGACTGATAATTCTTTGATGGCCTTCTTTGGCAGATTTTTTATCTGAAGTTTTGGAATCATGGAGGTCCTTGATATTGATGCCCGTGCGGCTAAGTTAGGGATTAATTGGTCTCAGGTTAATCTTGATTCCATCCAACTTCCTCCTGGAGAAAACTTTGGGATCGAGAGGTGAGATTTTCCATTAGATCTCTGGTTCTTCTAATCGCCTGCCTTGTTTTTCTTGAAATTTCATTTGAAATTTGAGGCTCCTGAATGTTTCTGTTAATCTTTAGCTTGATTGTGCAAAGCTCATTATGCTTATACTTATTGTCTAGAACGTATGAACAATGCAACTGATTCAGTATATACTTTTTTTCTGTGGTGGTTGTAGTGATGATGAAGCTGTTTACCATGATGACCAATCAGAATTTGACACTGGATTCGGTAACATTATCGTGGTTGATCACCTCCCTGTTGTTCCCAAGGAGAAGTTTGAGAAACTTGAAGGTGTTGTCAAGAAAATTTACAACCAGTTAGGTGTGATAAAGGAGAATGGACTGTGGATGCCTGTTAATCCCGATACCAAAATGACATTGGGCTACTGTTTTATTGAGTTCAATACCCCTCAGGTTATTATCTACTCTCTGCGTAATTAGCTCAATCTCTTTGTTTAGTTTGTTAATAATGTAGGCCTCATATGTTTCAATACTTTATTTCTCTTTTAAGAACTAGATTTTTCTCAAGGGTAGTATCTTTTCTAAGTTGACTTATCCAGATTTTCTAAGAGTTTGTCTTAATGCTTGGTATCTTTGAAGGAAGCACAAAATGCTAAGGAAAAGTCTCATGGCTACAAGTTGGACAAGTCTCACATCTTTGCTGTAAACATGTTCGATGATTTCGAGAGGTTGATGAATGTGAGGGAGGAGTGGGAGCCTCCTCAGGCCAGGCCCTATGTCCCTGGGGTACGTGTGGTTTTCATCATATTACTGAATTCTACAGCACTGTTTCTAATTTCCCTGTGCCTTGGAATCTTTTAATAACTTCCACTGTGTTTGCTTTTCAGGAAAATTTGCAAAAGTGGCTTACTGATGAAAAAGCTCGGGACCAGCTAGTCATTCGTTCTGGCCCTGATACTGAAGTTTTCTGGAATGATGCTAGGAAGAAGAGTCCTGAACCTGTTCATAAGCGTCCTGTAAGTTACTTACATTTTCCTGTGGATATCCCTCATTTTGTTAATTGACTGTTTAGGGCAATGTTATATGTTATCTTACCATCATATGAATTTGTGATGTTCTCCTCCTCCTATGCAGTATTGGACAGAGAGTTATGTGCAGTGGTCTCCTCTGGGTACATACCTTGTAACTCTTCACAAGCAGGGAGCAGCTGTTTGGGGTGGTGCTGATACATTCACGCGTCTCATGCGTTATCAGCATTCTATGGTTTGTCTTTGTTTTACTTGGTACTTCCCGTTTTACCTCTGTTGGCCTGAAAATTGACATCTTTTCCTGGTTCGTTTAGGTAAAATTAGTTGATTTCTCACCAGGTGAGAAATATTTGGTAACTTACCATAGCCAAGAACCAAGCAACCCGCGTGATGCAAGTGTGAGTGCATTGTTGCTTCTGTTCTGTCCAAAAATTATTTATATATCATTTTCATGGAAAGGATTCTGATTTCTATCAAACTTTCAGAAAGTAGAGATTAAGGTCTTTGATGTGAGAACCGGGAGGATGATGAGAGATTTCAAGGGTAGTGCTGATGAGTTTTCAATTGGAGGACCTGGTGGTGTTGCTGGTGCCTCTTGGCCTGTTTTCAGGTAATATCTTGAACTGCATATGTCAACGTACTCTGTTCTCTGTTCAACTTATATGCACATTTGTTGATATCTTGTAATCTTTATCTGCAGATGGGCTGGTGGAAAAGATGATAAATACTTTGCCAAGCTTAGCAAAAACACTATCTCTGTTTATGAGACTGAGACTTTCAGTCTAATAGACAAGAAATCCATGAAGGTTGATAATGTTGTGGATATCTGCTGGTCTCCTACTGATTCCATCCTTTCATTGTTTGTTCCTGAACAAGGTGGTGGAAACCAACCTGCGAAGGTATGTTTGTATTATTTCTTATGTAAACGAAAAGCCCAAATCTTCAATTTGCTTCCATTTCTCTGTCAGTTGTGTTGTATTTACATGTTGATATCTCTCTCTTCAGGTTGCTCTAGTCCAAATCCCTAGCAAGGTGGAGCTGAGGCAGAAGAATCTCTTCAGTGTGAGCGACTGCAAGATGTACTGGCAGAGTAGTGGAGAGTACCTTGCTGTCAAGGTTGATCGATACACAAAAACTAAGAAGAGCACATACTCTGGATTTGAACTTTTCCGTATCAAAGAAAGGGATATTCCCATTGAGGTTCTTGAGCTGGACAACAAGAATGACAAGATCATTGCTTTCGCTTGGGAGCCCAAGGGTCACAGGTTTGCGGTGATTCATGGTGACCAACCAAGACCAGATGTCAGTTTCTATTCAATGAAGACTGCACAAAACACTGGAAGGGTTTCAAAGCTCGGAACTTTGAAGGCCAAACAAGCCAATGCCCTCTTCTGGTCGCCCACTGGCAAGTACATCATTCTTGCTGGACTAAAAGGTTTCAATGGGCAGCTTGAATTTTTCAATGTGGATGAGCTCGAGACAATGGCTACAGCTGAACACTTCATGGCCACTGATATTGAATGGGACCCGACTGGAAGGTACTACTGTCTTTAAACCAAACCAGTCCATTGGTTGTTTCTCATTGTTCCAATTGCTGATGTTGTTTGTTCTCTTTTATTTTCAAAGGTATGTTGCAACCGCAGTGACATCAGTCCACGAGATGGAGAATGGGTTCACCATATGGTCTTTCAACGGGAATTTACTTTACCGAATTTTGAAGGATCATTTCTTCCAGGTATGTAAAAAAGATCTCGGATTCATACTAGCATAATCTATATTCCGATGTCTAAAAAAAACATTAGTGCATGGTTGTTTTACACAGTTGGCTTGGCGTCCAAGACCACCATCATTCTTGACAGCAGAGAAGGAAGAAGAGATAGCAAAGAACCTGAAGAAGTACAGCAAGAAGTACGAGGCAGAGGATCAAGACGTGTCTTTGTTGTTGAGTGAACAAGACAGGGAGAAGAGGAAGGCATTGAAGGAAGAATGGGAGAAATGGGTGGCGCAGTGGAAGTCTTTCCATGAAGAGGAGAAACTCGCGAGGCAAAGTCTTAGGGATGGTGAAGTTAGTGATGTGGAAGAAGATGAATATGAAGCCAAAGAAGTCGAGTTTGAGGATGTTATTGATGTCACTGAGGAAATTGTTCAAGAGTCGATGTAAGTTTCTGAGTCTGTGTTGTCGCCCTCTCTTATTGTTGTTCTTCAGATCTCTTAGATGTTTTTCAATCGCGTCCTCGGAAATTTCAATACAGAATTTTTGGTTCCTTGGATAATGTTTTTGTTAACCATGATTAAGTTTAAGTACACTTATTTCTTTTGTCAACGTGCAATGTTATTAATTAAGCATTTTAGAGTACAAGTACAATAAGATGATAATAAATATTGTAGAGTGGGAACAAATCAACTAGTTATGGTGATCGCTCTTACTCTCCACACATTTTAGTTGTAATGAAGTCACATCTCTAGTCGAACAGTAACATAACAACTCTGCACAAATCGTCGGAGCATACATTATATAGAATCTGAATCTTCAATGGCAATAATAAAGCTCAATCGTATGGTATTTAGACCTTATTATTTCACTATGAACCATGCCTGAGAAGGAGACATTTATATTCGTCTTATCTCTATTTTTGTTCTTTCTAAGTAAATACTGATATTGAATAAGAAATTGGGAGTGACAAATTAAGAAGTACCGGAAACAAAAAAAAAATCATGTTTTAGGCGGAGGAGTTCCAGCGAGCCAACCCCAGACGCCACCAGAGCTTTGTCGTTTGGCGTTCATGGCCGCAGCTTGTTCAGACGCAACGGCTCTTTGACGTTGGAGGAGTTCGAGTTCCTTTTGAAGTGTTTCCATTGTCTGAAGTTTTTGTCTTACCTCTGCAACTTCAACCTACATGCACTTAAACCGAATTTTGTTAGGATTTGGTCAACATCGGAGAGGAATGTTTCACCATCCCGAGATTTAAATATCGACCTGGAACTTACGATAGTCTATAAATGGGAAAGAAAAGGTGTAGATACCTCTAGTTTGAAACACCTTGATTGTTCTGCTGCAAGTTGACTTCGCACAGACTGAAGTTCCTATAGATGCAATACCAAAAATGTTGATACAAAAAAAGATTATCCAAGAAATTCTCAACTCATATATCTTGCACATTCGGTAAGAGCCAATTTTCAGTAAACCAATTACATGATTGTGTTCTGTTGGCTTTTAGTTTTTGTAAAAGGGAAAGGACAAGAGAGATTTCGTAAAGGTAACAATAGTGTTTACCTTGTACAACTCTGTATTCCGTGTATCTATCTCTGCTAACTCTTCCTTTAGTTGCAGAGTTTGTATCATCTCCTTGTTGAGTGATGCTTCCAGTTCTTCTTTCTCGGATTTAAGGATTGTGATAACGCGTTCACTTGTTCCTCCAACCTGACAGATTATAGTATCCAAAATACAAAGAAGAAAAATAAGAGATGCATTGTCAATTTGTAATTATCACACTGATGAAAATCTGACGGCAAGATACCTTTGATCTGGGGTTAACATTGTCCATGACAATTTCCCTTACTTTGCTTTCTCTGCTCAGCTCAATCTCAGACTCAATATCTCTAGTTGTGGCGTTATTAACAGCGGAAAAACTATTTGGAACAGGAGAAGCTCCCATAATTTTGGATTTCAAGCTTGATTTGTGGCTTGGTTTAAAAACATTAACCTGATTCACCAAAAAAACAGAATTAACAACCGAGTTATAAACCAAATCAGGAGAAAATGTATTTATTGGTACCTCGTTGTTGTAACTTCCATTGTATCCACCAAAAGCGACGATTACGTCTTCGCCACTGTATGAGCTCAAAACTAAACTCAATCCCTGTCATCAAAGGAACATTTTAACGAGTTAAAAGGAAATCACAAGACTATTGATTTATTCAAGGTCTTCGGAAGTTCAAATTCATGTTTGAGGAATAAAGAGTTGGAGACTTATATGAACAAAAAATTGAAGTATTTGGTGTTTTTTTAACTACCTCGCTAGCTAGAGGTACACGTCCTTGAACTGAAGTGACTACTGACCACGCAAGAGTTGACATATTTAATACAACAGTCTCAGATGCCCCTGCGGTAAAGTACCAGGAAGTATCACAATTAATCACACTGTACAAAAAAACGAAGCAACTATCAAGCTTTTCCCCCAGGAAAAGTTCCAGTATGTAACATAGAGAGTAACACATGCAGAGATCAAAACGCTGGGTATAGAAAGAGATTTTGAATGAAAAGTGTAAAAACGTACCGGTTTTGTTATCTCCACCACCAACAATATACCAATTTTCACCAATTGTCACACCAGCATGTCCAGCTCGTTGAGTAGGTGCTTCACCTTGTTGTGTATGTCTTGACCACTCCATCTATAAAATGGAACAGAATCTGTCAAAAAGCCGATAAAGAACGTTACTAAAACAAAAGAACCTTGCCATACACTTTGCAGATCGAGGACATGTAGATCATCAAAGCAAGTTGCATGTGATGCTCCACCAAAGATCAGAAGGTAACGCTCAGCGTGCGCCGCAGCAGCATGATCAGACCTTGGAGTTGGAGGAGAACCCCTGCAAGTTGACAGCACTTTAGTCTTCAACTGCTGATATTTTATTGACAACTAAGATATGAATGTAGATAGTTGGCAGCTAATTTGCAGTAATTTCCTTCACTTAATGAATTCATAATCTAATCTTCAAACAGACCTGACTTATTGAAAAGTGATTTCTTTGCATCCTGGCTTATTTATAATAAAATGCAGAAACGTCATAATATCTTACAAGACATCTATCTCATCCCAGGTCATGGTATCTAGATGAAGTATATGCAAATCGTTCAGAAGTGATTTCTTTGCATCCTGGCCACCAAATATCACCAAGCTCTTTCCCACAAGGGTTGCTGACTGACCTCCACGCGAAATCTGCTTGCGAAAGAGAGAGGGAATGATAAAGTAGTATCAATTTAAGTAGCTAAACTACATGCTCAATTTCCAATATCAGAAAGTAGAGCTATCATTTGGGTTCAAAATGCAATTTAACACCTGAATATATGACCAAGGAAGAAAGAGAGCAACTTATCATTTTTTTTCTTCCAGATGTTCAGAAATTTTTACATACTAGATTGGAATATTTCCTATATAAGGATTAGACAAATTGGGAGAAGAGAAGTTTTTACCGGTGGCTTCCCGTATGTCTTTAAGATTGACCATGAACAGCTATGCAGATCAAATTCCTTCACTGTGATTAGAAAACAGAAGAAAAACTGATATAAAAGAATTGGTATGCTTCAGTGAATAACAACTTACCTCCAATTAACCATTTCAAAAATGTTTTAACTCTTACCTATCATGGATTCTGAGGGATCCTTTGTATGACCACCAACAGATAGAAGCTTGTTTTCCCAAGGTATCTATAACAAACAAAGAAGGCCAGCATGAGGATTTCATGTGTTGATAACTGTATGTTTCCCCAAATCTGCCCATGATATTCCAAGGCTAGAAAGTGATAGAAGGAAAGAACGAACCAAAGTTAAATACTAACCAAAGAATGACCAGCACAGTGAGTTAGTTTTGCTGGAGATGAAGTTTCCTGTGATTCAGTTACAACCTTGGTTTCAACTCTTGACCAAGTCCAGTTTTTCAAATCTAGAACCTGTATTTCAAACATCATTCACAGAAGACATGCTTCCTAATATTCAGTAGACGTGTCAAAGAAAATAAGAGGAGAAGGTATGTAAAACCGAAACCAATAATTTTGATTAGGCCAATTACTGCTGTCAAAGAACGCTATAACTTCTTACATGAAGATCACCTAGATAACGCCCATTGTGGTTTCCACCATACATATACATCTTATCTTGAATAACCGCTGCTCCATGCTGCAACGAATATAATAAACAAGAGTTAGAAAAGAGAAAAGGTACACGGAAAGATCGTTTTCTTACATGTTACACAATACAGTGAAATCAAATATTACCTCGTACCGAGCTTTTGGTGGCTGACCTGATGTTCGTAATGCAGTCCACTGATTATAAACAGAAACAGTATTTGGGTCTTCCAATACAACATCTTTATCTTGGGTTTTCGTCAATCCCCCATCCTCAGTAGAATTCTTCTTTATCTCACCAAATGAAGCTCCACTCTCAAAACTAGACTCGGCCATTGTATTCTGCAACAGAGAATCAATTTAGTGACTGAGTAAGGTACATCTCTTGAGCAACAGGAAAGAAAAGCCTGAACTGAGACACAGAATGGTGACATATATACAAGGATCAAACAATTCAGACAAGGCCTTGATATCTCAGTAGCAGTTCATACACAAACTGAAATTCGAATCCTATGTATAGGTGATGAAAGTACTTAATCTGGGATCCAAAAACTCACATTGATTTGGAAATCTACAGCAGTATCTGGAACAGAGTTTGATGCCCTTGGATACCAACCAGGATCTTCTTCCTTTTTTAAAAAAGTGAGCAACAGGAAGAAATTAGCCTATGATCAGCAAATTAAGAGAAATGAGCATAAACTCCTCTGTTAGTTTACCTCTAAAATTTTCACAAAGAGACGCATTGCCTCGATGGAGGGCATTGTTCCAAGCCCCTGCCAACTAGTAAACATGGATATCTCTTTAGAAAGTTTTAATTACAAAGGAACACACTCTGTACTCATTGTCCATAAGAAATGAGGTCCTTTGATATGCCACCCAGCAATTTGCAATATGCATGCTAAAAATCAAGGTGGCTGTTTCATTTCATCATCTCTCCTTGGATAGAAATACAAGTCCTACATTTCTGCATAACCTCTAACATCTTACTTGTTGCTGCTTTAGCCCTAATTCATGACCCTTGTACTCAGAAGCTACCAAAAAATGAAACTTTTCCAAGCGAAGGATAACAAAAGCTATTGATCACAGACACAGAAATGAAACTAACCTTTTCCATTTGCTTTGCTCTACAGGATTCCACGCACTAGGTTTTGGAATACTACAAGGTCCTATAGTAGCCTGTTAACATTGACAAGGCAACCAAAAAAAAATTCAAATTCATCATCTCCGATCCCAAGTTATATAAGCAATGTTCCATTTTCTTATATCAGCATTGTCTAATGTTGTTAATCGAGATAAATCTAAAATCACCAGATCTCTTTTGGATTTTTTTGAATTGACGGACCTGCTGGTGCAACGCGTAGAGAAGCAAAGCGGTATCGCTGGAGAATTTGGAGCTGAGTTGTTTCACCGACGATTGAGATCCGTCGAGGCCGACGTACGATGCGGCGGCGTAGAATCTCTCCGGGTAAGAGAGACTAGAGCTCGCTCTCACCATGCGAGCCATTCTGTTTCGTTGATCGGGAGATTGAGAGAGAAAAGAAAAAAAAAAAAAAAAAAAAAAGGAACAGTTTCAAGTTTTTCCCAATTAATTAAAGATGCGCGACGTTTATATAAGAAGCGACATGTTGCTATTTGCAATTTTGCATGCTCCAATTTTTTCAAGTAGTAAATTACTTGTTATAGTTTAGTCCTGGCTAGGGACCACGGTTACGGGTTATTAACTATCAGTTATGGTTATAAAATTTTCTTTAACCTTTATATCTATTGTTACAACAGTTACGGTTATATATAGTTACGGTTAAATACGGTACGAGTATTTGATGATTATGATATAAATAATATTATAGGAAAATAATGTTTATTTACAATGTAAAATATATGTAATTATATGATGCAAATATTTATAGTATATTAGTTAAAGAAATGATTTTTGTTTAATCAAACACAACTATAAATATATAAATTAATGGTTATGAACCTACAAATATTTAAATTAAATTTTTGATTTGATTAATGGAAATGAGTAGTGGAGTGGATTAGAGTTACTAGTTTAGACATTTAGTCATTAAAAATATAGTTTTAATGAAATAATTTTTATTAAAGGTATAACTGTACGGTTAATTATATTGGTTAACCGGTATTATACGGTTACGGTTAATATTTTTTTTATAACCGTGACTGATTTTTTTTTATGGTTAACAGTTATAATTTTTAACCGTTTTATACGGTTACGGCTGAAAAACGGTCTGGTTACGGTTAGAAATACGGTTCAGTCTCGATTCAGTATTTGCGGTTTTTGAATTATTCGGTTTTTGAGATTATTATCTCTTCGGTATTTTATTTATTTATTTTGGTTTGGTTTCGGTTCAGTTTCAGATCTTAAACGAGAAATCAATCTAAAATCGAATTCTTTTCGGGTATTTTTTTTTTGTTTTGGTTCGGTTTTTTCACATAGGACTAGTCATAGTTCCTAGTCTCAAACTCTCAATGGGATCACTGCAAAAAAAACTCAAGTAGATGTTACTCAAAGTATTGCAAAGCGCAAATCCTTAACACGTTGGTTAGTCATGCAGAGAAAGAATACTTGAGCGTGGCTTGTGGCTGTATCTGTTGCTTTGGAGATACCTTCGGCTTTAACCTACCTTCATCGTATCTCCTCCATAATGCTACGTCAGGAACAGAACATGCTTCTATTCAGAATGAGTTTTGTAACCCACTGTTCACTTTTTATCTTACAACCAGAATGACTAATAAAAATTACAACTTTACAAGTTTCATTCACTATGATCTGTTTACAACTTCAAAGAACAGATTTTGTGGTAGTTATCTCAAAACAAACCATTGGGAAGATTGTTGTGTACACTGAAACTTAAATTAAATGGTAGTTATGTTGGGTTTAAAGATTCTTGTCAATGACATCGTCGGAACAAACAAATTTTTGTGGCCAATATTGTTAACATAAACTTCCAATACAAGAATTTTCAGATCTGTTCAAATTTACTAGTAAAAGAACAGGGGACGAAAAAACTATAAAGGGGATTTTCTCTGTTTAATAAGATTAAAACTAACCAAAGTGCCAATGGAAAATTGCACATGGCAGAACGAGAAACTCAACCTATCGGTGCACTGTTTGGTGTATCACTGGAGCTCTTATGTGACTTGTGCTTCGATCTCTTCTCCCGTTTCTTACTCCTGAGGAAATTGAAATAGAGAGGAGCGTCAACTGCAAAAGCCAAAACTATGAAATATGTAGAGTGGTTAAAAGATTCAAAGGCAGAAAGGTTGATGTACTCGTCATGTGAAGAACTATGTCCTAGGCAAGATTTTAGCTTCCGGTTGATATGCTTCATGTCCTTTTCACTTGGTTTCTTGTAGTTCTTTATCTGCAAAACCAGAGAGCATATAATCAAACTGTCTTTCAGATATGGAAGTTTCATTGTTCTGTAAAATTATGAAAGTTAATGGCATACCATATATTCAATGTTATCAAGTAACTCTGTAAGCTCTGAAATCGTGTGCTCAGAGTTTGGTTGAGAAACAATTTTCTCTAGGTACCTGCACCAAATGCAGTTTCGTTGAAAACACAGGAGCCAGTAAAAGCTTGCATATAAATAAATTAGAGGCCAGGTGATTAAATATCATGGAAAGATAATTGTCTGATGACTGTATGGTGTCAAAAGGATAATCATTGGGATGTATATAGAAGAAGAGAAATAACCTATCAAAGTCAATCACTCCAAGAGCCCCATTTGCAATACGTAAACACGCCAACGCCAACTGCAAGAACACACATCTAACAATGAGAGATAGTTCACCACTTTTGTTACATATACGCAAAAGAAACAAAACTCCTGAACAGGAAAAAGGTAGTCTTTTTCGATAAGCTAAACTACTATAGTATAAATATTTATTAATGCAGTGTTCACCTATATATCTGTAAAAGAGTAGCATATTTGAGCTTTACTGAAATATCCCAAACTATGACTTCAACTAGATTCTTCGATGTGCTATTATGTATCAATCTGATTAAAAAAAAAACATGGGAGACAAAAGAAAGTCTCATGCTACCTGGCCAGGAGGAAAGAGGAGTGGAGCATCCGTGAGCATAACTATATCAGCTTCTGCTGTTGCCGCTTTGAGCAAATTCTGCAGAGTACTTGAAATGTTATGCCAGTATGAAAAAATGACACTTAAGTAATACTGTATAGTAAATCGAGTTTGCAGTTATGATACCAAATTACACATGTTTAAAAACTTAGTAACGGTAAGGGAATATATGAAGAGATATATACCTCCAATTTTAGCATTTCATCATCTCTAACTTGAAGAAATTCCTAGCAGATAAAAAGATGAGTTCACTTTTGGAGAAAGCATGAAGTGTAACAAGAACGAAAAACTACAGTCACTGGATAAAAAATATTAAAAAGATTAAATTTCTTGTTATGGTTCACCAATTTTCTTCCCTTGAAGACAACATTCAGAATTTTGCTTACAACAACTCAATCAGAGACTCATGATGACATAAGAAAACCTACAGAAATTTAGACAGGCCAGATTTACCTCCATGTTGTTGACAAAACCTTCGATTGCACGATACGGTGCATAAACAATCAGATCAAATTCCAAACTCTGCACATAAAGTTAATATAATATGAACAAAATAATAGAGAAACAAAAACAAACTAACATCAAGGATAAATAAACATAGGGAAGTTGTAACAGATTAAATGATTCATATCATGCCTGAAGAACAGCCATCTCATACTTGAGAATTATGAGGTGATCTTGATTAATCCCCCTTCCTATTTCCTCAGCAGATACATGATTCTCCTCTATTTTACAAGCTGCATACACACAGGTTAACCTGTTCAATGAAAGGTAAAAATTAGTCTAAATTACAACATTGGACCAAAGGTCAATTGACTTAAGAGGTACACAATGCTTAACTCATTCTGATTAAAAGAAAATTAAAACTATTCTCTAATGAAAAAGTAAAGCATTTGACCATTTTGTGGAATTGAAGCATACATTATTTCTTTTGGATGATGTTGCATAACAGACCATTGAAGATAAAATCTTTTAAAGTATTGAAGGGCTGTTGCCTGCAACAGATTAGAAGGATATTCATGAATACAGAGAGCTAATAAGATGAAGGTATTTTTTTTATTATTAACTTCATCATAAACTTCTATTTCGAAGAGGCGTAATGTACCTGAATCTTGTGAGGAAATTTAAAGGCACTGCACACGTCTTGGACCTTGTCCTCATAAAATGCTCTCATGAAACGTTCTTCTTCAACATTCAAAGGCTTAAGCTTCTTATCAGCTGAGAGTAAAGCAGCAAAACATAACATAATTAAAACTTCCACTAACAAAGCTATCATGATAGCTATGAAGATACTGAACGAACCATGCATGAGAAAAAGAAGTAGTTTACCTCGATCTCCTGCATCAACTTTTTCTTTAGGATATGTTAGTGATCCACTGGCATCTACTTCAACACGGGTTGTTCCACACTAAAAATAAGACTAAGTTAAAATCTAAATTGAATACAGAAAAAAGTTCCATATCAACACACTTTCAGCACACCTTCTCCAGGATTTGCACTGCCCTCTGGTTAGCAGCTTTATATCTCTCTGCCTACAATTACGACATTACCGCTTAGTTGCAATACCATATCTACACAAGAAGTAGAGATAATGACAATAACACGCATAATTAAGTAACGAAGAGATCGAAATGGTCTTTCTAAGCCTCTAATGAATAATCAGACCCTCTAGTGTCAGTTCCATTTAGCTTCACATTAGCCCAAACAGAAGAAAAAAACACACGAAGGTAATCTATATGATGCAATCAAAGTCAAAACTCAGATTACCAGTTTCTGTGGAGTGAAAATCCACTTGGCCCGTTGTGTTGATGTCTGGAAATCCGCCATTGAGTGAGTGCCCTAACGAGCTCCAATAATTCCAAATATCTAAAAAATCTGACTTCTTTGGATCAAAATTTCACACACTGTTGATGGCAATTTACCCGTATGGAAGCAATCACCAATCAAAGAAGAGTTTTTTTTGAGAGGTCGAAACGTATAGCTAACCAAAATCGAATTTTTAGGAGAAGACTAACCAAAATCCGTAAAACCCACTACGAGATAGACAATATAAAGCTCAATCTGTGGCCAGCAATGGCGGACAAAGAAGACTCATATACAAAAAAAAACTCAATGGAAGACGAAACAGCAATAGCGGACAATGGCGGACGAAGGTAGCAATGGGTTTCAATAAGAGTAGGTTTCAATGGCGGACGAAGAACTCAGTGAAAGAAAGAGAGATGAACGATATATAGTGGCGGAACTCAATGAAATGAAATCCCAATTACGCGGATTTGGACTCGCCGGGAAAGGTTACGACTTGCGTCTGCTCTCGCTCGGGCTAGTAAGAATCGTACTAGTAACTAAGCTGTACAAAACGAAGTCGTTTCATCATAAGCAATAACCCTAAAGGGATTCCACAATGTGTGAGTGAAACTGTGAACTGTGAAGGGTTTAAGGTATTTTTTACCTTTTTGGTTTTTTTTTTTTTGGGAGTTTTGATTTTAAGGCGTATGTATTAGAATTTTTAACTATGTTAACGAAGCATATGATTTATTATAAATGGGGTAGTAAGAGACAAAACTGAGAAAGAAACAGCTCCAAAGTTACAGAATCAATGGCAAACAATTAACAAGAGCTTTTAGAGCTGTTTCAACTTATTAACTACCTAAAAAACTAAACTAACCTCTACAAAATCCAAACAATTAAATCTCATATCAACAACATCTTGGACATGTCAGGTTAATTATGACATGTTTTCATGTTCTTACAAGAGCCATGATTTGAGTCTTAATCAATCCCATGCATGTCTCAATTTCTCTGTAGATCGGCATGTTCTGTGGACACCGTGGCTGCAAGCCACTCACTGCTGTCTCCATCAGCTGAGCCACATCCGCTGGTGGGTACTGCTTCTCTGTGCACATCTGCAGATAAGAAGATATAGCACAGAGAGTTCATATCAAAACAAGTGAAAAAAACTTTCGAATGTTCTTGATTTAGATTGGACTTTCGTTGATCCAAGAAATTCCTTTTCAGTTTACCTTAATCATGAGGCAAGTTGCAACACAAGAGGTGATAAGCTCTGAAGGCATTGGCGTTTTCTTTTTCCCTGATCCGTCTTGTGATATGATACCGTTACTCGGCTCTGCTGTGTTTGAGGGATGATGATCCAAGCTGCCATTGGTATGCTGTTGATGCTTGATACCAGACACTAAAGAGTTGTCTAGTGGCTGATGTTTGCCATTTGAGCTTAAAGCTTGTTGGACCATATTTCCTGAGTCTTCATTGCTGTTGTTGTTCTTCTCCGACAATGCAGCCTAAAACCATAATATTAACAACAATTACAACCTAGAAAATAAGATTTGTATAACTTTGGTTTCTCTGTATTTAGAGACTCTGAATTCTCTAGATATATATGATAACTACCTTCATAGCTGCATCCACCATTTCTTGCGCTATCGACTTTGAACCACTGACAATTTCAATAATTTCTGGCTCCATTTCCTGGAAAGAAGAATTATGACAGGAGTATTTATGTAGCTGTTACTATTAGCAATGAGCAATCCCGATATTGATCTACTTTATTCGGCAAAAATTAGACAAAATATGTTTATACTTTGAAATTTGAAGATAGTTTCCACGGGCATAGCAGATCATTAACTTAAGCTAATTACCTGTTCATCTGAAGTACGCTGCAGTGTCAGAGGTCGTTGAATTTCAGTTCCTCTTGTTTGGCTATTGGTTTTGACAGATTGATCAGAAGTGTTGGTTGCTAACTCTTGATTATACAAAACTGGCTCGCTGATGTCATCCTGCAGAGAATTATTGAAAATGATTCAAAGTGATTAAAAGACGAATATCAAAGCTTTGAAACACGAGTCAACCACCCATCTTTGTTTACCTGTTTGGCAGGAGAATTCTTTGAAAATTTGACATTTTCAAGCACAGGAGGAGAGAACAGAAGAGATGCATCAGAGTTTGAGTGTCTGTTAAGCTGTGCTTCTTTACTTATAGACAAGCACTTATCGATTTTCTTTCTCAGACCCTCTGGCATGTATTCTAATGGATTTAAGGGCATGCAGTCAATGTCCTGTCAAAGAAATGGATTTATTAGATCATCTGAGATATGCAAAAATGGACAAAATGATATATATATCACAAAGTAGATCGTGTCAGCGGAATTGGTATAGTTTGCGATTTACCATGACTAGCTCAACTCCCAATTCATCAAACAGAACGTTGCACTTGTCATGATCCACAGTAAGAATCTTGCCATCACAAATTTCCCGCGTTTTAGGATGGATGGCAATGACTCTATTCCCGACTGATAAAGGCCGGGCCAAATCTGTATGAAGCACTTCCCTAGCACATCCACGGAGCTCTGTATAATGCCTTCTCACAGATTCACGATATTGTTGGAGTTTATCCCGCTCGTCCTGTAGGAATCTCCCAGAGAATCTCCGAGGTCTTCCGAGGGAACTGAAAAAATACAGAATGAGTAACCTTTTCAAATCTTTATATTTCCATTAACGTACACAGGAAATTTTACCAAACCTTTTAATGACACTCCATTCAAGACGAGTAAGTCTTGGAACATGACCGAGACCCACATGATTTAAATAATCAGTGAACTCTGTCTTTGCAAACCAGGGGTAGTCAATAGCACTGTAGAACCATTCAAATATGCACCATCGACGTACCAATGGATATGACAGACAAGTCGAAACTTTCTCCTGTAAAGAGAATAAGCAAATAAATACAAGATTTTGGATTCATATAAGACAAAAGAAGTTAGAGACTCTACCTGTAGTAATTCATGTTCTGACAACTTTTCGAAACTACGTGTCTTGTCATGAGTGGTTTCAGAAGATATAGCTCTTTGTTGTAAACTTTTCTTCAAACTCATCTTACGCTTGTCTGGACGTTTCTGTGGAAAAGCCACTGGATCCGCTGAACCTTGTGAAGCTGAAACTACTGCATCCGGTCCAGTTATATTCTTATCACTAGTTAAAGAAGATTCTTCCGAGGTCTTTGCAGCTTTCAGCTGATTCGCTGGACCTTCACTAGCAGGTCTTGCTTTGACCAGAGTCTTCAAGTTATCATCTTCAGCCGATTCCTGCGAAGCAATAAACAAAAATCATGAGAGGAAGCACAAGCTATATACAAAAATAAATAAAAATTACTAAAGCATAAGCTGCTTTTTGATAGAAAGAAACTTGTCAAGGATCCTAATAATTACATTGCAGATGAACAACCAGATCACAGAGTACGACTAAATCCAAACCAAAAACTGCATATATATAAATTTCAAAATACCTTAGTAAATAGAGATTTGGTCTGAATAGACTCTTCTGAAACTTCAACATCTAGCACCTGAAACTGAATGTAATTTGCATATAACTAAAAGAATCACAGGGGAACGACAAGATAAATAGGAAATTAAAGAGAAAAATATCTTTCAAACCTTTGGTTTACGTTTTCTTTTTGAAGTGCCAAGATCCCCGACGGAAACAGCATTACCATCAACGGGTTCCTGCACAGGCTTCGGTTTTCTTTTATCTGCGGCTGAAACTTCATGTAGGAGACCGTCTTCTGGTCCTACTTGTTTTGCTTTTTCTCTGTGATGGCTTGTGAACACGGTTTCCAGTGTGCTAGATTTCTCACCCACGTTGTTCGCTATTCTTTCTTCTTCCCTCCGTGCAGATGATTCTGGATCCAACACAAGAAAGTAGAAAATATAAAGCAATGTACCTTGATATGATAGGTGAAAGGTGAAAAGATTTTTCAATGGGTATCTTCTTTTAACCCGCACTATATACATCCTTAATGGCACAATCCCAGAATATAAAACCATTCGATGCTAACCTGATTCAATCAAACCACTCGGAGCCAGTGAAGCTGAAAGATCAGCCAATGCATTCAGACCTTGTATTGCATAATCATCATCATCATCAATTCCTTCTGCTTCTTCAACTCTCACAGTTTTCCCCTTCTGGGGAACCATATCCATCAACAATGCATCGTCTATATCAGCAGGTCCCTTTTTATGCCTTTTATCTCGGCTTATTCTCACCCTATTCTCAAACATGCAACTATCGGGGTGCTTGGATTGAGCTTCCTGTGCTTGTAACTGGCAAAAGCAAAGAGTAGAAATGTGTTTTTCAATGACTCATGACTACGCTGAAAAGTAATGACAATAACCTTAAACTGTTTGAACTATTAAAAAATACCCTCTTTCCAAGCCTAACTGGTGTGCTGCCACTGAGTTCTGTTCTTTTATATGGAGAGCCTCCTCCTCCCCTTCTTGATGCATCATCAACGGGATCAAGTTGTTTCTTGGCTCTTTTATTTGATGGAGTAGAATCTTCTCTACCACCCCCCTCGTATGTAATTGCTACAAGAAACCTTGGTGTACGCTTCCCAGTGGCACGTTGCCTTTTTTCTGCATAAAATAAAGTAACAAATCATTCATTCCTGAACATATTCATTTACATGTATTTGTTACGCTGACACAGAATTCCACAAGACATGGTTACCCGATAAATGCTGTGAAACTAAAGAAGTAAAATGAAAGGCAGCTTGTTGTTCATTTGCTCACTAATATAAACTGCAGAGTAGTCATATGTTCTAGCATCTTTCAAACAATAAATTTAAAAGCTGACTTGGGAAAAGTAATGATTGTACCAAAAGCTTGTGTCTGCTTCAGTAGTGAGAGGCATCCTTCTGTTGATGCAACTGAATGTGGTGGAATAGCTTCTTCCTGAAAATCAATAGCCTGAACTTTAGCACGTTTGCGCTTCTGATGTTTGGTCAGTACTCCAGAAGCATCATGGTCTTCTCCTTCACTTTCGCTCCCCTCCTACAAAAATTATCATTAGCATTTTGAAACAGGACCACATAACTTTACTAAACAGACAATCTGACCCAACCACATTACTTAATTATCTATCCTTGTTTTCACGATCACATTTATAACTAAAAATTTTCACTAATGTGATTGACTATACTGGGTATGGAAATTAGTAACTCTTCAGCTTTCCACCTAACTATTCAAGTAGGAAGTCATTGAACATTAAGTTTAAGCCGTAACAAAATAAACTACTCACCATGACGCTGTAATGATCAGTCATCATTGCAATGAGGCCAGCTACAGACGCAGTTCCCTCGGGCAAGGATAAGTATGCCTAAAAGAAAAGGTAAGCTCAAATGAATGAAAAGACAATTCATATTTAGGATAATGTAGTTTTAAGTTTAGAATGAAGCCTAATTTCAATCCCAATACTATAAACAAAACTGAACAGTGAGATAATCATGTACTCATCATACCCGATTCATAGAGAAAAGAGCTTCCACCATCTCAACAGACCGGTTATTCCGCACAACAGCAGCTACCTAAACAGAGAAAAAGTATTCTTAAAGAAGTTGAAGTCATACAAAACATTCAGAAAATACTAACATAAAACCACATCATGCAAAAAAGTTTACCTTTTTCCAGTCACCCACATGCTTCCGATAAGCATCATAGAAACGCTCAAGCTCTCCTTTGGTCCACTGAGGTCCCAACTTGTCAGTCAGTTTCTTCTTCTACAACGAGAAGAAAAAGCCATCTGATTCAGCTTTCAAGAAACCAAGATACAAACAGAGCAATAGAAGAGAGTTCCAAAGAGTGACTCTTTAAAAAACTCACTCGTTGATTGGTTTTGGATGAGCTCCCAACATTGATATCTGAAGAAGCTTCAGTGGTGAAGCGCTTGTTCACACTCTTCAACTTCTTACTGGGCGCCATAATACTGATTCCAACGAACCCGTGAACCCGATCTGACGAAGAAACAAACATCACAATCGATTAAAGAACAAAATTTTTCGCACTCTTCCCAAAACCCCAAATTTCAATTTCCATCAGTACGTCGATAGAGAGTTAGAAATTCAAAAACTTTAACTCACAAAATCGCAGTATCAATAAAGAAAACAAAGAATCTCACAAAATCGGAATTCAAAAAACGAAGAACCCAGATTCAAAATTACTCGAGATTCAAAAAATCAAACCAAAACAGAAACATAAAATTCAAAAATTCGAATCCAAAACCTCCAAGAATTTTGAAAAAAAAAAACAAAACAACTTCGATTTCTACAAAAGCCGTATCGCCGAAGAACCAGAATCCACAGATCCTAAAACCAAAATTCTCCATATAAAAAAAATCCGAATAGAGTGAAGTTCAAAAAAATCCCAAATCACTAACCTCATACAAAAACCCTAAATCAAAAACAACAGATCTAATTAAACTCACCGATTAAACACAGCTCAATAAGAATCGCCGACGAAAGCCACACAGGAACGCGACTCGGAGAAAGTAGAAGACGAAGAAGAGAAAGCTCACAAAAACCTTTACTTTCGAGATCGATGAGAGAAGAAGAGGTTTAAAAGAGATAGAGAGAAAAAAAAGGATTGAGATGAAATAGAGAGAGAGAGAAGAGAGGAGAAGAGGAGAAGAGAGGCGTTGCCGCGAAACTTGAATAAAAGGACGACTTGAGAATGAGAACTCGTTAAGCCAATAATAAGCACTTGCCTTTTTATTTCGTCATTTTTTTTTCATATCACGAAAGCTTCTGTTATACGATCTGAGACGTACACGTGGCTTTTCGTTATATCCACCGTTCGATCTCTCAGGGTTTATTTTAGGGTTTGTGGTAACGGATACATGGGATTATATTTGAAAATACCCCATTTTTTTTGCATTAAGATAAACAAAATAGAAAAATCAACTTTTCTGATTGAGAAATTTGCTTCTGCAAGTGCACATACTTTTTTTTTTTTTTTTTTTACAGATTTTTATAAAAAATAAAGTCTCAGATTTGTCTAAATTTTTCTTAACACAATTGATGTATTTATACTGAATATATGAAAATTTGAATTTAGATAGTGACACGAAATAGGAGACTAGATAAATATGTTTAGTCAAATTTATAAATAGAGGATTTATACAAAGTAAATAAGTTGGCATATATGTATATTAGATCACTCATAATTGATTTTTTTGTTGACTCATATGTATAATGGATTTACTCATAAATATTAATATATTTTATAGTGAAAACATGAAAAATAGAAATAGAAAGTATTACAAAAATTTGAACTTAGGTAGTGACACGAGTAAGAGACTAGATAAATATGTTATTCAAATTATAGATTTAGGATTTATACAATGTAAATAAGTTGTCATATATGTAATGGATCAGTCATAATTTTATATTTTTGTTGACTTTCTAACCACGCGTCGTTCTGCAGTTGGTTACTTTTATATAAATATATCTCTTTAATATATATCCAAATACGTCTAAGGTATATAATTTAATTTATTACTGTTTGATATTCTTATGAATTGACTATAAAAAAAAGAATCTAAATTGGATTTTTTTAATGCTTCAAACAGTAAAACATATTTTTTTTTTATGTTGTAAAATTTTAGGCAATGCAGATTTCTGCTGTGGATTACAAAGACATCTATCAATAGTTGTCAACCTAATAGAGAAAATAATATAAATGTTGAGACTAAACTTGCAAACCAAAACAATGCATATATGTGTATATATATCCAAATACATTAAGAATGCATATTTAATCTACAAGATTTTTGTAACCTCGCATTGTGCGGGATTTTAATTTAGTCAATATAAATTTTGGTAACTATGTTTTTGGATTTCTTAGATTTTGGTACTATGTCACTATGTTTTGGCTCATATCTTAAATATACCACTTAAGATCCTATTATTAGATTGTGAGCTTACAACTTAAAACCAAATACGTTGAGAATGCATATTTAATCTACAAAATTTTTGTAACCTCGCATTGTGCGGGATTTTAATTTAGTCAATATAAATTTTGGTAACTATGTTTTTGGATTTCTTAGATTTTGGTACTATGTCACTATGTTTTGGCTCATATCTTAAATATACCACTTAAAATCCTATTATTAGATTGTGGGTTTACAACTTAAAACAAATTGGCAATTAGTAGAGAGGCCCATATATCTTATATACTGTCAGAATCGTTATCCAGCTTCCGATGTGGGGCATTGTATCCTTAATAGCCTGCGACATCTCCCGCACTGTGTATTTGGATTACATTGTCATGGTATTTACATAAACTCACATCACTTATAATGGTACAACTACAATGGTTTTGTCTTTGATCATTCTTGATCAGCACTACGAGTATTATCTAAATCAAAAACTATACAGGCCTGCACTGGTTTCTTGATCTTATGACCAAACTCATCATCCGTTTCAGGATTTGTCTGCTTCTTTTATTATGAAAGATGGTATAAGTAAAAATTACAGAATGAATCTGATTTATTTCGTATCATCAAATCTAGCTCGAGTTTCCATCTTTTACAGTTCTATAAATGACCTTTTGTAAACAAATAAAACACACTTCTAAGTAATGTTATCATCACAGTTTAGAAGGCCTGGGGTCCAAGGCTGCGATTTCCGCATACATTTTCGATATTGCGTCTGCAAAGTAGGCTTTTGCTTGTGGTCTCTTTATCTGTTTGTGAAAGTTTAAAACACATAAAGTTTAGAGATTCAGAGGTAAGTAACAACTTTGATTGTTGTTATCAACTTCACATTGTTATTGGTTACCTTGAATGTTGGTGTCAGAAGTCCATTCTCTAAGGTGAATGGTTCTGGCACCAAAGTCACAGCCTTTGCAAACTCAAATCCTCTCAACTGTATTAGCACAAAATTTATAAATGTTGAGTTGATTGTCTTATTTTTGTGACAGGTTAGATTATTTTAAGGAAATTTTTGTTTTTACCTGAGCTTCTTTTCCGACTTCATCCATCTCGGCAAGAACAGCCTTCCGCACTCTTGGATCGTTACAGAGCTGTCCTAGATGCTCATACTGCCATCATCAAGAAAAGATTCTAACAGATTGAGATATTTTCTGTAAAACCTGCAGAAGAAACTCTATAATAACATTGACTTAGAAATAGTACCTTAATGCCTTCAGATGCAGCCCACTCTTTCATAACATCTGGGTCAACTGAAACAATAGCTACTAGAGAGGAATTGAAGCTATCACCTACAATACACATTCTGGCTTGGTTGAGAGATAACACAAGTGAAGAAGAAGCCTGTTTGGTTTGGTACAGAGCAGAGTCTTTTGCTTACCGTGTAAGAAACACTGCGAAACAAATCTACATTTGGTATAAACATTTTCGATCTTCTCTGGTGCTATGTATTCTCCTTGCGCCAACTTAAATATGTTCTTCTTCCTGTCATGAACATCGACACATTTCAACTCTTTTACTCCCAAAGAAAGAAATATCAAGATTGATTCGATTTACGAAACCTGTCTATGATCTTGAGCCGACCACCAGGCAACCACAACCCGATATCTCCTGTGTGTAGCCAGCTATCTCCATCAATAATTTCTCTCCTGCTCAAGTAAATGTGTCAAGACTCATGTCTGCTTATTTATATATAGAATCAGAGCCACTAATAATACTGGAAAATGTGTTACGTTTGTTCTTCATCTTTGTAGTAGCCTTTGAAGATGATTGGCCCTCTTACACAGATTTCACCACGTGGGTATGGTTGATCATCCGATGTGTAATTCATTTCGGGAACATCCACAAGTTTTACCTCTAATGAAGAACATTTTCAAAACACAAACCAGCCATACATATTGGATTCAAAGGTCTTTCCAAGTTAGGATTCTAGCACATTGCTTACCACACGCTGGATTAGGAGATCCGACATGGCCAGATAAAGTGTCACCTTCATCCATAGAGCTTATGACACACGAAGTCTCGGTCATACCATACCCTTCACGCACCGAACATCCAAAGCATCTGTTCATCATGATGACCAAAGACCATATGTTGATTTAGTTTCAGATGTTTAGAAAGAAATCAGTGAGAGTGGGAATCACAAAAGAAAAGTTCAGGCAGAGAAAACTGAAAAGAAAACTTACACTCTCAAGAAATCCATGACATCAGGGGACAATGGAGAAGCACCAGACCCCATAAAGCGAACCTGTCCACCAAGCTTTTCTTTTATCTTGTTGAAGACCAGTTTGTCCCAGAGTGCAGACGGATTCCGTCCTGAAGAAACCACACATGAGAAAGAAAGAAATGATGCAGAAAGCTTGAAACAGGTATACTTTGGTAACACTTTTAAATCTGTTTCTATTAGCAGACAATGAGCAGACAATACCATTTACGATCGCTTTCTTCTTTGAGTTATAGGCAACTTCGAAAAGCCTTTTTTTCATAACCCCAGATGATTTTACGGCACTTGTAATTCTGTGGAGATTTAAATTAGCACGTAGAACAACAGAATTTCAGATTAAGTAATTGAGTTACATGGGAAGCATAAGAGTGATATTTACCCATCATATATACGATTATATAAGCGAGGGACACTACAGAATATTGTTGGCCTTAACACAGCAAAATCATTCATCAGCTTCAGGACATCCTGTCCAAGAAGTATATACATTAGTCTGATTCCGTACCACGAGTTCATCTCATATGTTACAAGACATGAGCTCACATACCCCCTGATAGAAACCGATAGCAACACCACCATACACCGCCAAAATCTGATTTGCACGTTCATATATGTGCGCCAATGGGAGATATGATATGTAACTAAAGATAGAAGGTATCCGAGTTAAGGAATTTTTCTATTATAAGAATATATGTAACTATGTGTGTCACTTCTGAAAGGAAACATTCAACTCACATATCCGAAGGTAAAAATTCTACTGCCACACTGGAACCAGCGACATTTGCGATCAAGTTTTCATGAGTCAACATAGCACCCTTCGAAACAAAGAACATATGAACATATGAAATCAATTAAAGTAATTCATTCACCATTCAACAAGAAGAACTAGAAACAACTCACCTTTGGTGTTCCTGTGGTTCCACTTGTGTAGCATATTGTTGCAATGTCTTCGGGCTTTGGAGGGGAAAATGGATGTAAGCTACTTCGACCCTAAAAGATAACCAGTAGCAACATGAAGTCTTGTTCTCTAGTCACTACCAAGCAAAAGCCATTACAAACACAGAGGCATTTACAGTTGCTATAAGCCTATAACATAGTAATCATTCATAAAGCTAGTGACGAAGATAACAACACACATTCAGTTAAAACACATTGTGGAAGCTACCTGACTCAGTAGCTTTTGGTATGATACAATTTTAACTCCAGTTCCTACAGGAAGTGATGGCAAATGCTCATCTGCCCCGCCCACCACCTTACCACAATGCCAAAAATACATGTATAAGTGAAAAGTACTTCAGTATCGATATTAACTTATAGTGACATTACGCACTGGAGAAGTACATACCACAATGAGATGAATGGATGGGATTTCCGCTAGGAAGCTTAGCAACTGCATAGTATCCGACAAAAAAAAAACAACTCATGATCGAAACTGTTGCGATTTAGACTACTTGGACAGATTCTCCTAATATAATAGCTTGCACCTGTGCACACTAACAAACCAACACCCACTTACAGTATTTAAGGTTTGTGGTACACAAAATATAGCCTGAATAGTAGCATGATTCACGGCAAACTTAACAGCGTCTGGACCTGCGTAACCATAAAAAAAATATTAAGATGAGAGAAGGCAGGCTAAACCAAAAGTTAAAGAGAAAAAAATTATAACTTAGATTGGTTACCAAGTGTATCATATAAAGGAACAGAGATAAATGAATATGCTGCACAAGCATGATCAGCAATCAACCACTCTGGTCTGTTAATAAAATAGAGTCCAACACAAGCTCCCTGTTCCATTAAATGAAGACACATTTTCTTTTAAAACATCTTACCTGACTATTAAAATAAGCTGGAATATATAATTTTGATGGAGCTGCTTGCTCTAGTTCATACTGCATAGTTTTATGAACATATTCCAAGTAGAGGGAAACTTACTTGGCTAATTCCATGAAACACGAGTCCAGAACCAATGGCTTGTCGTTCAGAAGCTGTTTCTGCATAAGTCATCCAAGTGTACCTTCAAAAAATGCATATCACATAAACATCAAAAACTACCTCAAGCTCAATAGTTATATTTCCAGCACGAGAACAGTTTCAAAACTCACTCTCCAACTGTTCCATCAAGCCGAACTCGTGTACCCAGATACTTGTTATCAGGATATGTTTCAACAGCATGTCTGAGATTCCATAGAAACATTCAGTAAGGTCACAAAAACTAAGCCAAATCAATTAAAAAAACCTCAAAAGAAATAATCCATCAAACTTACACAAAATTGTCATGTAAAGTCCCGATTTCAGGATGATCCTGGAACCTGCTAATGAGCTTTGTAGGCGACTTTGCAGATCTGGCACGGCAAAAAACAGAGGATTTCATCACACTTATTACAATCATATTCTTACACTTATCAAAAACGTAACAACAGAGAAAGATGTGTTTTTTATTACCTGTATACATTCCATTTTCCAGTATCCAACTTCTCTGGAAGCACAACGCTATAGCTATCCTCTATAGAGAAAAAAGTTGAAAGCTTTCAAACTCAAGAAACAGAGAACTCAAAGTGGTTGGTATATGAGGATGAAAAGGTAATAAATTTCAGGTGATTACCGTTGAAGAAAGGTGAAACAGAGGCGGTGGCGTTGAGTAACAGAGATTTTTGATCGTCAGCCGGAGAAGAATCAAGGTGAGATCGAACGATTTCAAGACGACGTTGTGCCGGTGAAGAAAAATCCATTTTTTTTTCTTTCCTCGATGGATCTTTTTAGGAATATGATATAAACTGATCAACTAAAGAAAATGACGTAACAAATATATCAATTTGGTATGTAAAAAAATTGTGATTTTTACCAAAAAAAAATAAGATTGTGATGCTACTACGGCTATAAGTTCCCTAAGCCACATATTTTTGGAAAGAAGTTAAAATATATATACTCTGTTCTCACATACTGCTTACGTCAATATAAGGCACGCTTCTCTATGTGGATAATTTTGATCCTTATCAAAATGTCCATAGAGTTAAAAGAAGCAAAGACTCGATTCATTTCATTGCCCATGAAACCTGACTGTTTTGTTTAGCCATGCATTGACTTGTTGTGATTAATCATGGTGTGACACTGAAATAGTGAATTCTCACTTAGACAAACCTTATACACTAGTTTGCTTGGCTTAGGCAGAGTTGCTATAACTTGCACATATGATCAAATAGCTCAGTTGTTGTCAGAAGCAACAACTGGAATCTTCAAGCAAACATATAGATGAGTATGTTGTTGAAGTTCCCAGCTACGATCTCTGGACCAGAAGGAGATTCAATGAATCACAGAACTCTTTGCGAGTATGAATTATATTCATTATGATGTATTAGCATACAAAGATATACAGTATACCCTTTTGGTTACATTTCTAATTCCAACCAGTTTAAACAGTGAGGAGAGGATTACACATCTTCACATTGATTTCATAAACCTGTTAATGGATGAAAAAATTCCAGCGGCTTGACTCAAAAACGATGGCCCTTCTTCATCTGATTTCTCTTCTACGCCCCCATATATTATCTGCGAAACGAAAAACATTTCATCAATGGAATTGCAGCAAAACAAGCGACGTAACTATACTTGCACCCATGAAGTAAGAACTTGTCAACTCAATAAAAACGTAGGAATGAAATCTAGTATTCAACTAACCTCAAGATCCTCGGCATCAGGTCGACCGATGAGTTCTTTAGCGAGTAGATACCGGCCTGGTCTGTCTTTGTTATCATAGAAGACTTTCCATTTTCTAGAAAATAATAAGGATTAAACAAATGATCAGCTTGTAATTGTTAAACCGTATCTACATGGCCTTACTCAGATAAGAAAAACAAAGTCTGAGTCTTCTTACCCAGGATAACATCTGAAAACAGCACCAGCAGCTAGAGGTCTCATAGAGTAAACCGTAGTAAAAGAACTATAAGAGCCAAAATGAATACAACAGTTATTGATGTTAAGTAAAAATAACCTTGTCAAGTCTCATTAAGAATTTTTTTTTCCTTTTACCTTAGGAAGTAACGTCTTAGTTTTCTCACGTTAAACCCAACCCCGACTTCCTCGCTTATAAGACGAGGGTTCCACATAATGAGAGGCCTTGGCTTGAAAAAGAACACAAAGAAATGCCTTCTAAATGTTAGAATAGAAGGTTCTTGGTAAAGTCGAAATAACGATTGACAGAGTTAGTTACCGGGTCATCAGCAAGCCCTTTTGCAATTTTCTCAACATATTCCAGCATTTGGTAATCAGGAACAATCATGACAATGATCTCATCTTCTTTCTCCACAGGTTTCCGGTCACTTAAGCTGCATCCACAGCAAGAAACATGACTTCATATTATTCCGTTTCACAGACTGTGTTGAACTAAAACTATTAACCTCTCAGGATGAAGCAAACTTACCTAGCAAATCCAAAAACTGCATCCTTCCACCGATATTTTAGCAATGCAGCAGCTCCAGCATCTGGAAACACGGCTTTAACTCTCTACCAACAACAATTCCAAGCACCAGGAGTTATTGACTGACTCGATCAAATGTTCTATGTAGTAAAGAGGTTTCACAAACCGAGGTTTCACAAACCGTTATAGCTCACCTCACAACCTGTTTCTTTAATGAGAGTCTCCAAGAAAACCCGCGAAAGGTCCCAAAGCTCAGCTTGTGCACCTTCATCGTCTAAAAACTGCAGCTGAGGTATTAAGAGCTCCACCTGCAAGATTTTGAGAGTCATAATCTGAGAGCTGATACCAAATCTCTTTCTAAATTCCACCAAACATTACAGATTCATTCACTATCCCTTACAATAGCTCTTGTTCCTCCAGAGTTCACAAACGCAGCACCTGCTTCACCTGACTGCCTAACAGCTCCTTCCAAATCATTAGGCAAACAACTAGAAAAAAAGAGACAACCTTTAGCCTTATGTTGCCCTAATGTTCCAATAGACACACCAAAATCTTAAAGAAACAGAGTAAATTGAACAACTTTGAATCGAATTCCGCAGTTCTCATCCACAACGATCACAAAAAAAACTAAAGACAACCTAATCCACAAAACAAAAATAATGTAATCGAATAAAGAAAAACAAATGAACAAAAAAATTTACTGAACTCATCATCTTCTGGTTGGTCTTGAGCTTCTAATGGTAGTTCCTCTGAAACAGAGGAAGTAGAAGCCGATGTGGTCTGTTCAAGAGGAGACTCACCCTGAAACTTCTCGAATTTGACACATGTTCTTAGTCTCGAATTGGGAGAAGCAGAGAAGCCATAGGAGAAAGAAGACGAGACAAATTTGGTGGTGGAGAACGAACAACTATTGAGATTGCCATGGAAACAACTTGGTGGTACTGAAGAACAAGCCATGGCTACAACCTGATGTCGATAAATTCTATGAAATTGAAATAAGATTTTGTTCAAACAGCTGGAACATAGGGTTGTCTATGTTAAATTATCATATTCGGGGTCTTTTAATACAGAAACTAAAAGTTTAGGCACTGTTTCTTAATTTATGAAAAGTTTTATCCTTTTCTTCTTTGAGACGGTCCAAGCTTAACATAACCAGAGGTTGGCTATGTTAAATTATTATATTATTAGGTTTTTAATAAAGAAACTAAAAGTTTAGGGGCTGTTTCTTAATTTATGAAAAGTTTTATCCTTTTCTTCGTTGAGACGCTCCAAGCTTAACCAGAGGTTTAAAACTTCAAGTCAAAAGGTAGGATCCGTTTCAGCAACCGAATACCGGATCCGGATCCGGATCCAGATTCGGGTCCATATTCTCACGCTCCTCTTTGATGAAATAGAGACGTTACAAAGCTTCTTTAGATCCAACGGCTCTTATTCATCTAAATTCAAATTCTCCCCATTTTACCTTACACACTCGTTCTCTCTCAATCTCTCTCTCTCTCTCTCTCTCTCTCTCTCTCGCTCTCTCTTGTTCTTTCTCTCTCTCGCTCTCGCTCTCTTTGATTCAGAGTTTTTGGGATCTCTCGTTCTTTGGGTTCTTTAGCGCAAATCCGCCATGGAAGGAGGTACTATTCTATGTTTTCTGCCGTCGTACTTGTGATTATGCTTACAGATTCATGATCGATCTATGATTTTGATTCGTTTTCTTTGATGGTTTCGTTGATCATCTAGGGTTTCTTCCAGATCAGCATCAAGAAATTTGCAACGATGGTGTTTTGTCATGTGAATCGAAGGAGTTTTCTGCAAACAATCACAATTCCGACGCTGGTAAGGGTTTTTTTTTCTTCCTTGGGGTTTCTTTCTCGTCGGGAATTGTGGATTTCGTAGAGAATTTACAAGCGGAACTGAGTTTTGCTTCAATTGTGAATTGGTACTGGTTGTTATCTCAAACCCTTATTTCTGGGTTTCCTGGTTCTTTAAAGTGGTGAGAATCCGATTAGGTCTTAGGATTTCGTTTGGGATTTAGAAGAAAAGATTTGTTCTCCTTTAATTATCAACGAATTAGGTTTTGGGTCGCTAACTTATCCCGTGAATCTGAAAACTCTGGAAAAAAGGGTAGAATTAAAGTGACTCTTTGTTTGGTTTACTATAGTGTGTGTATCTTTAGATTCACTTGCATCTTTGACTCTGATATGATGACATTACTGATTTTGGCTGATACAGTGGAAGAAAATGAGGATTCTATTACAAGTGGAAGCCAAGAAGTTTCTCCTGCCAATGGACCAACACTTCCAATTTTGCAGAAAATTATCGACTTCAGTAACAAAATTAAGGTACTACTACTACTACTTCCCTTGTCCTCCTATTGAATCAACTCTATTACAACAATTCCGTGTGGATTGCGATAGTAAGTTGAGGTTGTATCAAGAGAAATATGATTTTGCTTCTGCCAGTGTTTTATGTTCACCTTTTCCATATCATGTCTTAGGTCTTGAAGGATGAACATGCTTTGGTTTCGACCCAAGTGAAAGAGATCAAGAATTGTTCCTTTGTAAAACCAGAAATTTCCAGAGCTCTCCAGCTTTTGAGTCAGTAGCTTATTGTCTTAATATACCTTATTCTCTTAGTACAAAACTTTTCTGCTTTGGTTGTAATTGATATGCGTTAACGTGTTTAATGGCAGCTACTAAGCTTGGAACTGTGGAAAAACAGTACTTGGACGAGTCATCAGAGAGGAAGCGATTATACAATGAAGTGATCGAACTCAAGGGAAATATCAGGGTCTTTTGCAGATGCAGACCTCTAAACCAAGCTGAAATAGCAAATGGTTGCGCTTCTGTAGCTGAGTTTGATCCGACACAGGAAAACGAGCTCCAGATACTTTCATCTGATTCCTCCAAGAAGCATTTTAAATTTGACCATGTCTTTAAGCCTGAAGATGGCCAAGGTAAATTGAGACGTTACCTTTGCAACTTTATTTGGCTAAACCTTTGCTCTTTGGGTCTTCTAATCTGACTGTACCTTCATTTGCAGAGGCTGTTTTTGCACAGACGAAACCTATAGTTACTTCGGTACTGGATGGGTATAACGTCTGCATATTTGCCTATGGCCAAACTGGAACTGGCAAGACATTTACAATGGAGGGAACACCAGAGAATAGAGGAGTGAACTATAGGACCTTAGAAGAACTATTTCGCTGTTCAGAAAGCAGAAGTCATCTCACGAAGTTTGAGCTATCGGTTAGCATGTTGGAGGTTTATAATGAGAAGATAAGGGACCTCCTAGTAGATAACTCAAACCAGCCCCCTAAAAAGTACGTCTTCCAATATGTTGTTCGGAAGTAGAATAAACCGTCTGACAATTTCTCTCTTTCTTGTTAAGAAAAACAAAAATAACAGTATGTGCTGTGTGGATATAGGTTGGAGGTAAAGCAATCAGCAGAAGGGACACAAGAAGTCCCAGGATTAGTCGAAGCTCAAGTTTACAATACAGATGGGGTGTGGGATCTGCTCAAGAAAGGATATTGTGTTAGATCTGTGGGTTCAACAGCTGCAAATGAGCAAAGCAGCCGCTCTCATTGGTAAGGAAAATAGATTTTAGAAACTAAAATCATGTGAAACGAAACCTTTTTCCATACTTATACCAACAAGAGAATCCTTTTCGTTCAGCTTGCTGCGAGTGACAGTGAAGGGAGAAAATTTGATAAATGGTCAGAGAACCAGAAGTCATCTTTGGTTAGTGGACTTGGCTGGCAGTGAGCGAGTAGGAAAGGTAGAAGTTGAAGGAGAAAGGCTGAAAGAATCTCAATTTATCAATAAGTCGCTTTCGGCACTTGGTGATGTTATCTCTGCCCTTGCATCCAAAACAAGCCACATTCCTTACAGGTATTTTCGATCTTCCTTGTCCTTCGTCAAGACATTTGCATGTGAGATTTCCTAGTTAATGCCCATGACATTTGTTCACTCCTTTTGTGCAACTCCAGAAACTCGAAGCTCACCCATATGCTGCAAAACTCTTTGGGTAAAGTTGCATTTTTTCCTATTTTTTCCCTATTTTGGGCACCATGAATCATAAGGCATCTTGTTTTCATCTCAATGGTGTGTCTATTTCATTGTGACTTATACAGGTGGAGATTGCAAGACATTAATGTTCGTCCAGATTAGCCCGAGTTCGGCCGATCAAGGAGAGACACTTTGCTCCTTAAACTTTGCAAGTAGAGTCCGGGGGATCGAAAGTGGACCTGCCCGGAAACAGGCGGATATGTCTGAACTCCTCAAGTCAAAACAAATGGTAACGTGATTCCTCCCATTTCAATACATTTAAGCTTTAACATATCTTAAACTGATTTTGTTTTTGTTGTCTCCTTTATAACAATAAACAGGCCGAGAAGCTGAAACAGGAGGAAAAGGAAACGAAGAAACTGCAGGACAGTGTGCAGTCACTACAGCTACGCCTCACTGCTAGAGAACACATATGCAGAGGACTTCAGGATAAGGTAGTGCCCTTTAACTAATTAATGGATTCGATAATGTTCAGTGTTATCTTCTTCTCACTAACGGTTAGAAACTAAATCATGTTTTAGGTTCGAGATCTGGAATTTCAACTAGCAGAAGAAAGAAAGACCAGAATCAAGCAGGAGACACGAGCTCTAGCAACTGCATCATCATCATCAACAACGTCTAAACATATGAGAGAGACATTACCGACAATCACTGAGAAAAAACCGCCTTTAGCTCCAACAAGAATGCGAATGCCACTCAGAAGAATCACAAACTTCATGCCCCAACAACCATCTCAGGGTCCTTCTAAGAGATTCTCAGACACAACATTAAAAGAGAACAATAACAGCCTCAGAAGACCATTCAAAGAGAACAATAACAGCCTCAGAAGATCATCAATCATGGACGTGAGTACGCTAATGAAACCAAGAAGAAGCTCCATTGCATTCAGACCAGCTCCTCCATCAGCCATGGCATCAGGTAATAAAACCGTACTGCCCAGAAGAAGAGTCTCAATTGCAACTTTAAGACCAGAACAATCATCATCATCAATGACAACTCCATCACGCCCTCCTCCTTCATTCAGAGGTGACCCAAGAAAGGCAAGATACTCAAAGCTCTTCTCTCCAGACCGCAATATGGTGACTCCGAATGCAACGAAAAGCAGCAGGTTCATGAAGAGCCCTCTCGGAGGAGGAGGCAGCTCGTGGAAGCCGAGCCATCCTACTGTAATTGCATTACAGAAGAAGACTGTGGTGTGGAGTCCACTTAAGTTCAAGAATAGAAGACCATCCCTTGTAGCGATACGACCTTCTTGTTCGTCTTCATCCGCCACTGACATGCTTCGAAGGGAACAATAGTGGTATTCGTCTCTCGATTTTTTATTCACTGTCTTCGTGAAAGTATTTGTATTCTAAACATTCAGGTCGTCTTCTGTAAAACATTGAAGTAGGATTATGTTGTTTTTTCTTTTCTCTTCAAACTGTTTTCGATTTGTTATAACTCTAAAGAGATCTTGTGAAGTGGTTTTGATTGATCTCTCATCTTTGTTTTTTTTTCCTTCGAGTATTTCAAAAGCTCAATTTCTCATGCTCTCCTTCCCTCTCTACCCTTTATGATTCAACATATAAGTGCATATATACAGTAGCAGGAGGAACCAAAGTTGTCTTTGGTGTGAGGCTTTGAGCCTTTAGTTCAAGAAGCACCAAAGCATACTTAAGTCTAGCATTAGATGCAAGTAAGTAACCATGCTCCATGAGGTAAACTCATAAGCAAGAAAAAAAATACAAAACTGTTTGCCTGAAATACATTTCTCGGTATGCTCATGAATGCTACTAATAGAAGATCTCCAGTTGGAAATTTTCTCGTTCTTTTTTCCTTACTCCCAAGTCCCAACTCATAATTGCTTTGTTGCTGATATTATAACTTGGTTTCCTGATGTAGGAAACTGGAGGAAAATAAACGAAATCCTACCAAGTGCCAACCACACAGGACATAAGATGCACTCTAAAGGCAAACATGAGGACCAAGATTACACACATCAAGGAGACAAAGTTCTATTGTTATTGAAGAAATCAACACAATGTCTATTGGCAATGTTCTCTTTTTTATATAGTCCCTAAATATGTGTTGCTACAGATCTTCTTCAACAATTACTTCAAACAATCCCCATTTCCCTTAAACTTCTAAAAACAGTACTCTGCATCAAGTTGGTTAAAACTTGGCGATGATAAACAAACTCCGGACAAGAGATTTGCCATCTCCTTCTCGTGTTTGCACCTTAAGAGATTAGATTGTTCATTCTCAACCTTCTTACGCAGAAGAGCTCTTTCTTGTGGCGTACACACGGTAAGCAGCCAGACCAACGACCACAGCAGCAGCTCCAACTGTTTACAAATCATGAGACAGATATTAGACTTCACCCAAGCATGAGTCTGAAGCTTTTTTTTGTTACGGGTTTGTTTGTTTGTGGGGAAACTCATGTTACGATTCAGGACTCAGGGAAAACAAAACATACTTGAGACGGCCATAAGAGAACGGTTGATTAGCCTGTTGTAATGTTTGCGGCTTTTTCCTGCTTCGGTCTCTGGAATACTCAAATGAGGATGTTGTGCTGCAGTTATGATTTTGCGGAATAAGTTGTTGAAATCCCCCAATTTGGAGCTGATGGATACTGGAGGCTCTATTCCCATATCTTGTGTCATCTGCAAAAAGATCTTTGCGCATAAATATGTATGTATACTATTCGCATTGACTCAAAGATCAGAACCCTACCCTGGTGGATTCTTGTATGGATATAGGAAATGAATCAAGATCGTCTTTTGCTGAAACCATGAGGCAAGGGACCTCATATCCAGTAGCCTCTCCATAAGTTGCAACATTTACAAGCAACTCAGTCGCTCTTTTCCATGACGACTCATCCGAACTGGAGAAAACAATGAACTGAATCGTTAAGCACAAACTACAAATATGGAATGAAAAGGCATATACTTCTGCATATTTCAACAAATGAAACATCAAGAAATATACCTGTCATACACGAAGACAGCTATGTCACATGCAGCCAAGGATTCCTTGGATGAGAATAGCCCTTGAACTCCATCTTCTGGAATTTCCCTCATGATAAGAGTTTTCTTTGCACCCTACTCACAGAAATTTGCAATTATCGGATTAATGACCAAAATTACATAAAAGAAACTCGAACGAAAGCAGCCTTAAAGCATGCCAATGAGTACATACAGCCAAATAACATCTTTAATCTCATGAAAAGTAGCAAGTAAAATTTTGTATTCCATAGAAAAAACTCAGCAAAGATATCTAGCTAGTTCCCGTCTCAGTTCCCAAAATAACACACAAGATTGTCATTTTTTTCAGTAGTTTGCTCAATGAAGATTTCTTAGCAAGAACTATATATATCCAAGCTACAATACATACATATTTATGAAAGCACAGACACAATGATTAAAATTGCATAAGTATACTGACTTACCCCAGACTCATCAACCATATTTACTGCATAACGCTCATCAGTAATGGATCCCTGATTATCAGCATATGACCTAGATCATAGAGAAACATAACTGTTAGTGCTTCCATGTTTGTAACATAGAATTATACTATCTTCTGTATTTTGAAAATGCAACAAGTTAGCATGACAAACCTTCCAAGAAAGCAATTCAGCAATGCAGATTTTCCAGCGTTATTAGGTCCAAAAACAAAGCATTGAAAAACTTTTCTTTCACAATGCTGCTTTTTGCGATCTAAACGTCTTCTTCGAGTAACACGAATGGCAGTTGCTGGTTCACCCGGGAATCCAATGTAAATCAAATTTTCCACACTCCGAGCCGGTTCTAATAGTGTCATTAGTGACCACTGCAAGGATAAAATTGAAAGATTAGCACACATATAGACTTTGAATTAGTTCAATGAACAAATGACCACTTGGCCCAGATAAAAAATCCACTCACAATCGCATAACCACATATAATCCAATGATAAATCGTGAATGTTACAAAAAAAATAAAGATACATAAGCGATTATTTTTGAGAGAGACAATTGTGAGACATATTAGTATCTCTATCAACAACATCAAAGAAAAATGAAACAAAGATGGCTGAGTATATGTATAATGCTTCTTTATGTTATGTAAAAGAGGTGTATTGATTACCATTGACAGGAAAGCGTCAAATGATAGACCTCCAAGGGCCGTTTTCTCCGCAGCATCCTCATAAGGTGCTTCCTTCCAAGGACTGCCATTCACAATTTAGTATGGCACGTCAATATAATGGAGTTTACAATAATCAAAATCAGACGTTCTGTGTCTTCTGGAGGTGGAAGAGGTACCTTTCCGGTGCAGTTGAAAAGAGATCCTCGATCTCCTGAGGTCTCAGATTATTGTCCTGCAAGTACAAATTCAGTCTGAGAACTATATTTGTCAACTCTACACTAAGACATTAATAAGGAAAGGAGATTTACCTGGTCGTCATCAAACAACATATACATTCCTTTCAGGAATTCGATTGCTACACTTGTCAGCTCAAAGCTCTACAAAAACAATGAAACAACCATAAGCTTCACAATACCAAGGACAGCAAGTTGATGTGAGTTGTAAGATAACCGTGTTGCAGTAATGTAGGCAACCAAAATTTTTATTTCTGACAAGGTTCCAAATCTAATATTTGGATTACTGAAGCTCCAACAAACACAATAATGAAGCAACAAAGGATATTATTTCTGCAAATTTACCTGATCAGGTGCTCGCTTGAATATTGAAGACGGAAGCAATTCTTCAGCAAGTCTTATGTCATTATTATACCCAAACTTCCTGAGTACAGTCCATGTTGTCTCAAGCCTCCCTTTCTCAATAAAAAGTGCATGTAAGAAAAGGAATCCAGTCACCGTTAGTCCTCTTTCGTTCACACCTTCTGGCAACTTTTCTTCCACAACCCTCTTAACACCTTCAATTTCAGAAGGCTGCAATGGTGCATGGAAGCACTTGACCTATTGTAAAATAATTATTAGGTACGTCATGGGGATAACATAATTACACTCCTAGCTTCTTTTAAAAATCTGGACAGGCCTCAATCATGAAGAAACAGCAAAAGAACATGAACATAAGAAGGGGAAATATAAGAACCTGAAAATCATTTAATTCAGCCTCGCTAAGAGCACCATCTCTGTCATGGTCACATAGTATAAAGATACGTTTCAATGCCCTTACACACCGGGGCTTCAGTGCCTGAGAATCTTGATCAAAGAGCGGTCCTGTTGGGTGAAGGACAGTTTTTTGTGCATAATAGAAAACTTCTTGTGCCTACAAAAAAAACATTTTTATTAGGATGATAGTTCAGACCTGAAATATACATTTGTAGTTCCCATGGAATGTTGTTTTTTGACTTAGGCATTTTCAACTCATGCTTGATAGAAATCCAACAAATCACAATAGATTCTGACTCGGTACATTTAATGTCCTTGAAATTTCTTAGTAAGAGAAGCCTAAACTACCTCAGACTAATATTTGTGCTATGTTTGAACTAAGAAAAATATATCATCTGAAGAGGAATACAGAAGTTATGAAACCTGGAGTTGCTTCAGGGCAGAACACTCGATACATGTCTCTATCTCCCGAAACTGCTGCATTATAGGTGACATCACTTGTTCGAGGCTGACCTGGTTATTGTCGTCTCTGAAGTCAAGCTTGCACCCTGCTACTATAATAGGAATTTTTACCTGTTCAAAAGATTACAACCCGGTTTTAATAAGAAACAGAAAAAGTTTACGTCACACCAAATCTTTTACATTTTCTAGCATTATGAAAAATATATGATCAATAATAAATAAGATAATGTACACCTTCTATCCACAACAAGATTGACATGACCAAGCTGAAAACAGAGAGAGGAAAACCAAACCTCTAATCGACGAAGCTCTGGAAGCCAGTATTCACTTAAACGTTCGAGAGTCTCAGGTCGATCACAGGCATATGTCAAAACTACTGCATCTGCGCGCTTCAATTCCTCAGCAACCATGTCCCTGTCTTCTGGCCTGAACCCACAAAAAAAAACATACAAAAGATACTTCAAGAACCTAAACAAAGCTGTCAAAGCATGAATATCCTACACCCTTCTTTCGGAACCCCGCAAACAGTAGCTAAACAGTTGGCACAGTGCTATCCCAAAGGCGATATATCATATGAGCTAATAGTATCTTTCCCTAATCATTCACAGTTTAAAAGCCTAAACATAAGGTCACTTCCCTCTGCCGTCACCAAAAGCCTCATTCTTTTTCTAAACTAGCATATCCTTTTCCTTCAAAATAGCCTTATCCAAAAGAGAAACTATCCAGCAATGCAGTGAACTTATATACCTGGAGGAAGTGTCAACAATGGTGACAGGTATGTTGTCAGGGAAGAATTCAACAGGTAACTTGGTATCAGGCAAAACAGGAGGGACATTGGGAGGGAAAATATCAGTAGCTGCAGCAACAATCAAGCTTGATTTCCCAGTTCCCTTATCACCAACCACAACGATTCGTACAGATTTGGGTGAACCAGGACAATCAACCGTACCAGCCGAGTATCTCGCCATCTGAAAACTGCAACACAAAAACTCGAAATCAGGAATCAAGTACAAAGATTACTGAAACTTCGCAACAAGATTATCAAAACCCAGAAACACGAGCATCAGAAAGAGAACAAGATCGTGAAGAATATGACGAATTCAGGAACCATGTAACAGCAATGGAAAGAGCAACATCAACGAAGAGCCAAGCTAACCTAAAGAACAAAGATTCCGATAAAGAAACGAGAAATAACCTAAAACTGGAGAATGAGATTGAGATTGAAGGTGAGCGAAGCCACGAAGATTAAAAACCCTTGGAAAACCCTAGATTCTTTGTTTTGGGAGAAATGTGGCGGTGACGATTTGCCGTGAAGGAGGAGAAAAAATAGTTTCTTTTTTCTTTTCTTAATTTTTGTCTGTGTTTATTCTAGTGGCATTCCCGTAATAACCAAGCATTCTTTTTTTTTTTTTTTACGTATAAGATAACTTTTTCATAAAAGGAATTTTATTTTAAAATTTTTAGTAAAATATCATTTTAAATTTGTGTTTGACCATTTATCTATATGTCTTTTAATACATATGAATTTAATTTCTATTTAAATTTGAATTTTATTCATTGGCTTGTAATCTTTCATTGACATTCACATCCTAATAAAAATAAAGAAAAATATCTATGCAATGGTGGTGATGATAGTTGTGAATTTGTTATGGCGATGATGGTGGTGTTGATGATGGTGAAGTTGGTGTTGATACAACTTAAGCAATGTATATTCATGGGAAAGATTTCACGGTTTTATAGAATCATATTGAGAACTAGATTTAAAGAAATATTATATATACGATCGACGATAAGATTTAAAGAGAACATAACAGAAAACATGGTAAAATTAAGAAAATAACATAAAATACATAAAAGTTACATGAATTTTGCATATAAATGATATTCAGAAAATAACATGATCACTTTGAAGAAATAACATGTTATATAATCGCTTTTTCAAAATATATATCATGTTATTTATAAAAATCACAATGATTTTCTAAACATGAAATTTAAGCATATATATATAGACATAACCAAAAACTAACTGTAACCCTAGTTTTGTACTGTATAAAATATTGTTTTGCACTACTTCAGTTAAATTTTTATTTGTCATACGATCTGCATTTGTGTCATTCGATTCTCATAATCTGCATTTCACCATTTGAAAATCTTTTGACTCTGATATAATTGAATTGAACATCGTCTAATTTGGTTCGGAGCCGGTTTAATATAATCAACAGTAACACCGTCTAATTTGGTCGGAGCCGGTTTATTATAATCGACATCGTCTAAAATTGGTCAAAGCCGGTTATAAACATGAAAACCACGTGGCCGGACTTTGGTATTATCACTAGATTTGACCAAACCAAAACCCAAAAGAGAAAAAGAAGTTCTCAAACGAGTGATCATGATGATGTCAACATCGCCAAAACCAAATTTGACAACACACACACACACGGCTTTGTTTAAATTCCCAAGACGGATCATATGATCCCATACCTCCTCTCTCTCGCCTTCACATCTTGAACAAGAAGAAGAAGAAGAAGAAGACATGGGTGTTGATTTGGATTTGGAATCCATCTCCGAAGCCACCTCAGGAGCCGTTGGATCTCTTCTCAGCACCACCATTCTTTACCCTCTCGATACCTGTAAATCCAAGTTCCAGGCCGAGATTCGTGTTCGTGGTCAGCAGAAATACAGGTTTCTCCTTTCTCCTTTCACCAATGATCTTTGGAACTTGAGAATTTCAAAAAGCTTGGTTCTTTGATGAATTTTGATCAAATCGGTCTTTTTAAAAATTTTAAAGTTTTGATTTTTATGTTGATCCCTTGTGTAGATCCTCGTCTAGATCGTAATTTAGAACCTGGGTTTGGTTTAGTTTTACAGAATTTTGAGTTTTGTGGAGAGTTTGTGTATTATCATCATCTAAAGCTGTTCCATGTAACTTTTGTTTCAGATACTTATCAGATGTGTTTTGGGAAGCAATTTCAACAGGGAATGTTCTCTCTCTGTATCAAGGCCTAGGGACTAAGAATTTGCAATCTTTCGTTTCTTCCTTCATCTACTTCTATAGTTATAGCTATTTCAAGAGGTTGCATTCTGAGAGAATAGGTTCCAAATCTATTGGAACAAAGGCTAATCTTCTCATTGCTGCTGCTGCTGGGGCTTGTACCTCTGTATTGACCCAAGTACGTGTCTTTTTTTTTTTTCACTCAGCTCTGCATAGAAAACTGTGATTTGTTTTAGTTTTGTGACAAGTCTGGAACTTTTTTATTCTACAAAGGCAAATCTGTTTCATTGCTATAATATGCATAGTAACTTCAAGTTCTTTGTTTTGTGTAGCCTCTAGATACAGCTTCATCAAGGATGCAAACAAGCGAGTTTGGAAAATCAAAAGGGTTGTGGAAGACCTTAACTGATGGTTCATGGGGAAATGCGTTTGATGGTCTTGGGATCTCTCTTTTGTTGACCTCGAATCCAGCTATTCAGGTACCATTGTCATTTCAAATCATCAATGTCATATTTACTGCCTTGTTATATCCAATAATGTGACTTGCTGAAATGTGAGCTTCTCTTTGTAGTATACAGTGTTTGATCAGCTGAAACAGAACATCCTGGAAAAAAGAAATGCAAAAGTCAAGAAAGATTCTTCCCCTATAGTCCTCTCTGCCTTTATGGCTTTCGTATTAGGTGCGGTCTCAAAGAGTGCTGCCACTGTCATCACATATCCAGCAATCAGGTATTAGCCTCCTGTCAATTACTCAAGTCGCAAAATTTTACAGATCCAGACTCTTTGAGGGGATATTGATGTATATGCATTCATGGGTTTTGTAGGTGTAAGGTGATGATTCAAGCAGCAGATGACTCGAAGGAAAATGAAGCAAAAAAGCCCCGAAAAAGAATCAATAAAACGATTCCCGGGGTAATATATGCTATATGGAAAAAGGAAGGGATCTTAGGGTTCTTTAAAGGCTTGCAGGCTCAGATCTTAAAGACAGTTTTGAGCTCCGCATTGCTACTAATGATCAAGGAGAAAATCACTGCAACCACATGGATATTTATTCTAGCAATAAGAACTCTGTTTGTCACAAAGGGTAGGTTGAAAAGTCCGTAAAGATTGCCGTTCAGCAAACGTCCTAAGGCCAAGCAAGAGTAAAGACTTCGGTTTGGCGGTCTGTACTGAAGGATATCGAACAGGCAAGTATTGTAGTCTTTCTCATTTCAAGAACAAATGATTGTTTAGTAATGATCTGATTGTAGGTCTGCATAAAGCTTCTTGTTGCTTCCAGATTGAGTTTCTGGACTTAGAGATTTTCTGGTTATTGCGTAGCTCTGTTTGTTCCTTCAATCGTAATAAATATGAAGATCTATGTGTAGGTTTCATGTGACAATGATATGAGCATGTCCTATGAGATATTGTCATTAGCCGTAATAGAAATGAAGATCTCTGAGTACTAATTAAGTTTTTTAACATGAACAATGCCAAACCAGAGTTAATGTAGTTGCACATACAAAATTAAGAGATGAGATCTATCTCTGCATCATAATGTCGTAGCTTGATCTACTTACAAAAAGTTAACTAAGTGAATTAAGCACACACAGCTTCAGAAGAAACTCTTCAACCTCAACAACTTATTCAGAATCTTCTTAAACTGCATAGGCTTAGATGGAAAAATCTTCGAATCCCATTTTTGTTCTACTTCCAAGGTAGTTTGATTTTCAACGAAGACATAATCAGTCATCTCTTCTCGACGCAAAAACTGATGAGACAACAGCTCAGAGGCACTACCTCTATCCTCAGGACTCCTTGCGAAACACCTTCGAATAAACTCCCTCGCATCGCAAGGCAAACTCTCGGGAATCTCTGGAGCATTACCATTGAAGAGTGCAGGAACAAGATCCGCATATCTAACATATGGCCATGGTATCTTACCTGTATACATCTCCAACACTAAACACCCTAATGACCACAAATCTATGCTTTTCTTGGCAACACCGTCGTGTAGAGACTCAGGCGACATGTAAAAAGGCGTTCCAACAAAGGGGAAATCGATGTTCCAATGCTGAGGAACTTGTCCTACTTCTAAAGAGAGTCCAAAATCAGAAATCTTCAACTCGTAAGAATCTCCACAAGGGAAGACAAGGAGATTATCTGGCTTGAGATCACAATGAACATAACCATGTCCATGAATCGAAACCAAACCTTGGAGAATCATACGCGTGAAGTCTCTAATCATCAACTCTGGTAACTTCCCATCTTTGTGTTTTTCCATGAAAGCTCTTAAACTCCCTTCGGTTGCGTACTCAAGAAGCAACTTGTAGACTTTGTTTCCTTCACAGTCGAAACCGTGTTCCAATTCATTACCAAAGAATTGTACAATTCTCGGATATCCCCTGAGTTCGGAAAGAATCTGAATCTCTTTAACGAGAGAGTCTTTCTCGTCGCAGCTTTTCACGGCGGCGTGGAAAGCAGAGCCGTCGCTTCTTGTGTATTTGACGAGATCAACAAAACTATTAGCACCTTTACCTAAAACCTTGACGAATTCTTCGTTTGATTCCATCTTAGGGTTTCGAAACAGAGTTTTTATTTTCTCTTAGGGTTTCGAAACAGAGTTAGACGAACTTTTGCAGAAACTGTGACGATGGTACTCGAGAAAACTGCAGAGAGCTATTCAATGACAAAACTTTATAGAGTTAGGGTTCATGTGTCTCTCGATTATTTTCCTTTTTTCGTTTGTGATGTTCCAACGAGAGAGAGAAAAAAAAGGAAACTTTTTAGGAATAGATCTTTGCATAGATGATTACTTAAAGCCGAAGTAACTGACCATTACCGTGAGTGAGCCAGGCCGGAGTATCCCACAAGCCCACTAACATATGGGTCGAGAACAAATAGTATAAAACAAGGAATCACTCACAAAAGAAAAAGAAAAAAAGAACGGGAAAAATGTCGAAAAAAGCCCGAACTTTCAAATTTAGGACGAAAAAAGCATAAACTTTCGAAATGTTAATTAAATCATAAAGTTTGGTTTGACTTTTCGATAAAATGCTCAAGTTTCGTTGACCGAGCCATTTTGAGCACGACGTTAACTTTCCGTTAAAAAAATAATAACGCAGTTAACTTTCCGTTAGAACCAAAACAATGTCGTTTTAGTAACCTTTTAAAACATTGTTCTTTTTTCAAAAAAATATTAACAGATCTGTAATCAGTAAGAATCGAACTCAAGGCTATTGCAAATCATAAGTTACTCATGACCATTGGGCCGCATTGACTTTTTAGCATCACACCACACAACTAATTTATATATAAATAGGAAATGAATTACAATAACAAAATATTAAATCATATATATAAAAGTAAGGTTTCACTCTCTCTTTATAATAATATTTATTTTTGACTAAACCAAAAAACACATTTAATCATATACATTAATTCATACTTTAAATCCACACTTTACTACTAAAATGTAACTAAAAATTATATAGAAAGTTAACTAAACAAATTCAAGTGTAACTCATAAATTTAAAAATTCAAAATGGGTTAACTTAAATTATTGAAATAAAATCTAATTTAACTTACAGTTTTAACTAAATCCATAATTCTATTTTATTTTAAAGAACATATATGAATTTGAATTTCAAAACCCATTAACACATTAAAATATTATCTTAAAAATAATTGAAACTCGTAAATTTTTAAATTTGAAAGGAGGTTGATTGAGTTTAAAAATGAAGTTTCAATTAAAACTTGGATTCTTATTTAATTTAGAGATCATATATATATATGTATAATTTTTTAAAAATTGTTACTTTTAATAAATATGTATCTAACGTGTATATATATAGAGCAGCTGTGTGTTTGGTACTAAAAGGTTATTGCGGGACAGTGGTTGATTGTAGGTTGCAACTACACATGGGTTGCAACTAAAAGTTACTAAACGACGTCGTTTTGGTTCTAATAGAAAGTTAATTGCGTTATTATTTTTTTAACGGAAAGTTAACGTCGTGCTCAAAATGGCCCAGTCAACGAAACTTGAGCATTTTATCGAAAAGTCAAACCAAACTTTATGATTTAATTGACATTTCGAAAGTTCATGCTTTTTTTGTCCTAAATTTGAAAGTTCGGGCTTTTTTTGACATTTTTCCCAAAAAAGAACCCTAGGCGCTGGCATCTTAGACTCAAATCATCATCTCCAAAAATACCAAATCCATAACTTGTGTGATTTGTCTTTGTTTCAGATAATGTTGGATATCCAATCTGAACCCGAAAGTTCACCAGCATCGACTAATCAGGGTTCTAAATGACAATCCGATTTGGCTGCGATTACGATTTGAGAATAAAAGCGATGTGATTAGGGAGCGATTAATTAGAATTATGAATGGAAATGTGATTATGTGATGTGATTAATCATAGAGCAATTTACAAGGATACTATCATTTTAGGTTTTGGGGCCCAAAATACCATAAATTCCAACAATTTTCATTTATAACATTTTTATTAAACAGAATGACAATATAACTTTGTTGAAACCATCACATCTTATTATTATTATTATTATCATAATCTACTGTCATTATTAGGCCTGGCAAAATACCCGGACCCGAAAATCCAACCTGAACCCGATTGGGAAAATCCGATCTGAATCAGAACCCAAAAACTAGAAATACCCGAACGGGTTCTATATCTCTAAACCCAAAAATCCGAACCCGAACAGAACCAAAACCCGAACGGATATCCGAATACACCCATAATATAAATATATAAAGTCAAAATTATCGAGTTTTTGTATATTTTGGATTGTTTAAAGTTGTAAACTCAATTATATAGGTTTTGAATTTTTTAGTAGTTTGTACAATATTTGGATACTCAAATAATTTTGAGAAATGCGGATAATCTGAACCCGAACTCGAAATATTCGATTCGAGCCCGAAATCTAGATATACCCGAACGAGTTCTATATCTCTAAACCCGAAAATCCAAAATACCCAAACCCAACCCGAACGGGTACCCGAAAGACTCATTAGTAAGGAATAAGCAAAACACATGGGAATGAATATGCAAAGCACACTGACTTCCACCTTCAAATTATTGGGAGGAGATGTATTTTGTAGCAATGTTTTAACTTTTAAGTGTTCGTTGGTGCGGATAAGAGTTTTGTTACAAGGGAAAAGCTAACGTTACAGTGGAGTTTAGACTCAAATGTGTGTGTAATTAATGAACTGAAGGTGGTAGGCGAAAACTGTAAAACAAAGTATTTAGATAGCAATTTGTAGAGAGTAATGTAACACCATTATAAAGGAAAGAAGAAAGAACATGTAAGTCGAATAAGATACATTATGTTTGTGGTATGATATAAAAAACAAAACAAACATACATAAAAATAGTTTCAGTGGTTTTATTCTATAAAAAAATGCATCAACCAATAAGAAAAACACTAAACACTAAAATATTTTTAAAACCCCTAAAAACTAAAATATAAGCAGTGAACACTGAAACTATATTAATAATAATATTTGATTACAAACAACATACACAAATTATTATTTCATAAAACAGAAACAAAAATATTTAGAAAAGAAAATAAAAACGAAAAAAAAACCGCGACATAGCGCATGTACGAACCTAGTTTTTTTTTTTTAATAAAAAAAAAACTAGATTGTAATATTATTAGCGGATACATATAATCAATAAAATTATTCAGCTTTAATCTTTATTTTTTTGGGTTCAAAAATCAAAATCAGCCTTAATCAAACAATGACAATTTCTACTAATACATTTGCCGAAGTACTTAACACTTTTTCCAACACAACATATATCACATTCTTCGTCCCCGAACCTGCACGGACTGTAGCATTGCCCATTTGCTTGGTCACTGTAATCTATTTAACAACAATAATCATTAAACCAACTTTAGCAATATAAACAAAAATTAAGAATCATTAGAACAATATTTTCACATATGCATAATGTTAAAAACATAAACTAGTACCAGGGTTGCTTTTAGAGCAATGAACAGAAGACATGACAAAGAGGATTGTAAAGACAAACACGATTAGCGTTTTCTTGCTATAAGTCATTTTCTATGATTTTTTTTTTTTTTTTATGTTTTATGTTTTGGCTCAAATGGTTATATATATATACTTAGACAAACACATGTAAAAATAGTGTTTCTTTAAAGATAAACACATGTAAAAATAGTATTTCTTTAAAGTTATAAATGAAAAAGTAATTTTGTTTTTAATCTAAATTAAAATCTATCAATTTCATTCCTTAGATTATTCTCAAAGGAACATAAATAGGTTACCAAAAAAATAAAAATAGGATGACTATTTAACCTAATTTGTTTTTAGTAATAGATTTTTTTTACCTTTTTTTTTTTTGGTATGATATTTTTTACCTAGTTGAACAATAATATAATTATATTTAAGACTAAATTTTCTTTGTCAATTCTTATTATATTTACCACTAAATATGAAAAGGCATCAGTGAAGTTTAATTCTACTAAAGATTTTTTAAAAAAAAAAATTTATAGGATTTTGTTTAAATATTTTTTATAGGTTTTGTGAGTGTTATATGACTGTCATTAACTCATGAATCCATCAAATATAAAAAAGATTTGCTCAACCCATTTAATTAGTTTCATCGATCAAATGGTTAAATAGTTTGTCTCATAAACACATCATTAGTTTGTGTTTTCTATTTTTTCATTGTAGCAAAGTTAAACTAAAAGAAATCAGACAACAAATCAAAACGTCCTGGTGAAATAACTCTCAAGTCCAAAAAAACATTCCACAAGAAAATGTATCCATTGGTTTTAAGAAAACAGAAGGAGTCGTTCGTTCATCATAATAATATCAAAAATCAAGCTTTCGATTTCTTCCCTTTGGTATCGGCAACTACGGGCTTAGCTTTGAAAGGCAAAAACGTCTCTCCTCCCATGAACGGCTGTAGAACCTCGGGGATATCGACACCACCCTCTCGCTGGTAGTTCTCGAGAATGCAGCAAATGGTCCTCTCTGTTGCAGTAAGTGTAGAATTCAGCATATGCACATACTGCTTCGTCTGCTCGTTGCTCTTTTTCTGACCGTATCTGATCTCTAGTCTCCGAGCCTGGTAGTCTGTACAATTAGAACATGACACAAGCTCTCTGTAAGTCTCCGACGAAGGAAACCAAGCTTCCAAGTCGTACTTTTTTGCAGCTGCATCGTTCAATGCTCCAGAGACGATTGACACAATTCGGTATGGAAGCTTTAGCTGCATAGAAATCACACAAGTTTGACTCATTAGAAAACTATTGAAAAAGAAACAACTGTTTCTTCACTTAAGATATCGGAATTACCGCTTGGTAAAAATCTTCAGAGTTCTTCATCATCTCATCAAGCATTTCCCATGAGGCATTGTCATTAGGACTAGTGATGCAGAACTGTTCGATTTTCTCAAACTGGTGAACACGGAAAATACCAAGTGTGTCTCTTCCATGCGAACCAGCTTCCTTTCTAAAGCAGGATGAGTAACCAGCATATCTGGACCAAAAGCATTATAATGTTGGTGGTATATCCAATACATGAAAGAAACAATAGTCTTAATGCTGCGAGTAGGTATTACTATACCTTAGGGGAAGCTCAGTAGGATGAATCCATTCATCAAGATGGTATGCACAAAGAGGCTGCTCAGCAGTTGCAATAAGGTATTTGTCATCTCCTTCACCAGTCACCTATACAAAACAACAATCTTCTCTGAATAAAACTACTCTGACAACAAAATTATTACTCAAAACGTTTTGAAATGACTAAAGACCTTGTAAAGCTCTTCATCAAACTGCGCCAATTGTGCGCACTTGGCCATAACATCCTTCCTCATGAAATAAGGAGGCTGCAATCCCGTGAATCCTCTCTTCTTCAAGAAAGTCAACCCAAAGTTGATAAGAGCTTGGTTAAGCATCAATCCATCTCCTTTTAGGTAAAAGCCTCTAGCTCCAGCGATTTCAGCACCTGAAAAGCCAAAACAGCATTACAATGAAACCCAATCCAACAAACACAGAATAAGGAGGATGCCACATTGTCAGCCAAAGCTACCTCTTTTAGTATCAGCGATACCAAGAAGCTCAACAAGATCCACATGGTTTTTCAACTTCAGACCAGGAGAAGGAACCAGCCTTTCACCCCATGTTTTAGTCACTAGATTATTAGCCTGCAAAATGAAAACACACCACAAAACTTATAGATTTCTCTCATCACCACCATGAGGACAAACTTTGAAAAAAAACCCAAATGGCACAAAACCTCGTCCTTATCAATCGGAACAGAGTCATGAATCAGGTTCCCAACTGTCTCCAATTTAGCTTTCAAAGCAGCATAAGCTTCACGAACTTCAACTTCCTTTTCAGTAGAATCTTGTTTGTTTTTCTCAGTTTTCTGAATAATCTCAGTCGCATCTTCTTTTTTCTATTCCAAACAAAACCAAAAATCAAAAATTTCTCAAACAATTCCAAATCCTTAAGTAAGAACCCACTACGGATCTAAGATAAATCGACTAACAATTTTGAGCTGCGCGACTTGCTTATTCAGCTTATTGAACTCTTTTCGAAAGCTCTCAACTTCAAATTGACCTGAAAGTTGCAAATAACATTTCATAAGGAGACCAAAACGATTGAGAGAGCGATGCTAAGAGGGGAGATCTAGATAGTTACGTTGACGCCATTCTTTGTCGAGCTTAATAATCTCATCAACGACTTCAACGCTGGCGAATCTCCGACGTTGTGATTCTCTGATGATCTCTGGATTGTTACCCTTTTCTTCTCGGAACAAATTGATATCCAACATGATTTTTTCTCTCTGTCGATCCAAAACCTCTAATGGAAACTTTTGAATCCAAGCTTTTATCAAATCTGTAAGAACAAATCCAACTTGAGATTGAAAGAGATGGAGAAGAAGAAGAAAGGGGAGTGTAGCGGCTAGGGCTTTTGAGAATTGTTTTTTTATTTTAATTATTATTTTTAGGTAAATAAGAAACGATGCCGTTTTAAAGTTATCAACCACAAAACCGATGCCGTTTTAAAAATCTCGAGTAAGACCATAGAAGACGATTCCGTTTTAAAGTTCTCGAGTAAGATCATAGAAAACGATGCCGTTTTTAACGATCTCGAGTATGACCATGGAAAACGATGCCGTTTTAACGTTTTCGACAGTAGGTCTTACCCGGACCCAAAAATCCGATATGAAACCGATCCGAAAAACTTGATCTAAATCCGAACCCAAAATCTAGAAATATCTGAACGGGTTCTATATTTCTAAAAATCCGAACCCAAACCCGAACGAATATTCGAATACACCTATAATATAAATATAGAATAATAATTTATTAATAATATATAGGTATTTGTAATAATCTAATATCAAATTATCCAGTTTTTGTATATTTTAGATTGTTTTAAAGTTATAACTCTTATTTAAATAAATTTAAGTAAATATCGGTTTTGAAAATTTTAAGTAGTTTGGACATATTTGGATATTCAAATTTTGAATTTTGAGAATTTCAGGTAACCCAAACCCAAACCCGAACCCGAACCCAAAATTTAGAAATACCCGAACGGGTTTTATATCTCTAAGGGGGTGTAATTGGATGGAGAATTTTAAGGGATTTTAATTACCCGTGGATTTTAAAGTTCAATAGCCTTTAAATACAATTAAGATGGATTTGGTCTGAAAGAGATGAAATACTTTGAAAATTGTTAGGATTGTGTTTGTACGTGTTTTTAGATGTAAAATACATTAAAATCTTAAATGAAACAAAATCCATTGAAAATTGAATAACACTTGTTTTAAAATACTTTAAAATACATCCAACAAATGTTAAATCCAATAACAGCAGATTTTATTGTGGTTTTTAAAATACATCATTAAATAACGCTAGATTTTGAAATACATCCAAATCAATTAAAATACAAGGTTGAATAACACCCTCTAAATCCAAAAACCCTACAATCCGAAATACCAGACCCAAATCCAAACCCGAACGAATACCCGAATGTTCAGGTATTCGAGTATGACCATGGAAAACGATGCCGTTTTACGTTGTCGAGTAAGACCAAGGCAACGATGTCGTTTTAACGTTCTCCAGTAAGACCAACGATGTCGTTTTAAATTTCTCGAGTAAGACAATAGAAAACGATGCCGTTTCAAAGTTCTCGAGTAAGACCCTAAAAAACGCTGACGTTTTAAAGTTCAGACTCGAACCAGACCCGCGCGGCTGGCTCCAATGCTGTCTCGTTGCGTTACGAAGACGAGATTTTGCAGCGCCGGCGTAGCCAGGCTAGTATCTACACGCGTAGATGGTTCAGATACGTCACCATTATCGAAGGAGATACTGAGAAAGACTGGTCCACGACGACGCAGCGTTCCATCTCTGATTCAGGAACGGATCGAATCTGGCCGCGCCGTCACGTTATCGGAGCTCCGGCTTATCTCTAAGCGTCTCATTAGATCTAATCGCCATGATCTCGCACTCCAGGTTTGGAAAGTTCAGATTATTTTGATAAAAGTTTCAGATTTTGTGATATTTTTTGATAAAAGTTTCAGATTTTGTTAAATTTGTGTAATCTTGGTGTATGTATAGATGATGGAGAGGATGGAGGAGAATCAGAAAGATGTTCAATTTAGTGATTATGATATTGCTCTTAGATTGGAGATGATTATTAAAACTCATGGTTTGAAGCAAGGAGAGGAGTATTTTGAGAGACTACTAGATAGTTCTGTGTCTATGAGAGTAGCGAAATCAGCTTACCTTCCTCTTCTTCGTGCTTATGTGAAGAAGAAGATGGTTAAAGAAGGAGAAGCTCTCATGGAGAAGCTGAATGGGTTGGGGTTTCTTGTTACTCCACACCCGTTTAATGAGATCATGAAGCTTTATGAAGCTAGTTATCAGTACGAGAAAGTTGTTATGGTTGTTTCGATGATGAAAGGGAATAAGATACCGAGAAATGTTCTTTCGTATAATCTTTGGATGAATGCTTGTTGTGAGGTATCTGGTGTTGCGGGTGTGGAAACGGTTTATAGGGAAATGGTTGGTGATAAGAGTGTTGAAGTTGGGTGGAGTTCGTTGTGTACTCTGGCTAATGTTTATGCTAAGGGTGGTTTTGTTGAGAAGGCTAAGTTGGTTCTTGAGAGCGCGGAAAAGATGTTGAATAGAAGCAATAGGCTTGGATATTCTTTCCTCATCACGCTTTACGCTTCTTTAGGGGATAATGATGGAGTTGTTCGTCTCTGGGAAGCTTCTAAATCGGTTTGCGGTAGGATTAGTTGTGCGAATTACATATGTGTATTGTCTTCCTTGGTGAAAATTGGTGATCTTGAAGAGGCTGAGAGAGTGTTTAGCGAGTGGGAGGCTCAATGCTTTAACTATGATGTTCGGGTCTCCAATGTTCTTTTGGGTGCGTTTGTACGTAATGGACATATCCGGAGAGCCGAGTCATTGCACACCCGTGTACTGGAGAGAGGAGGTAATCCAAACTACAAGACTTGGGAAATTTTAATGGAGGGATGGGTGAAATGTCAACATATGGACAAAGCCATCGATGCTATGCACCGAACGTTTGAACTAATGGAGAGATGTCATTGGAGACCATCGCAAAACATCGTCATGGCGATTGCCGAGTACTTTGAGAAAGAGGAGAAAATTGAAGAAGCATCTGCATATGTTAGAGATTTGCATCGTCTTGGTCTTGCAAGCTTACCGGTATATAGATTGTTGCTTAGAATGCATGAACATGCCCAGAGCCCAGCTTCTCACATCTATGAAATGATGAAGTTAGACAAAATCCGAATAGAGTAGTTAAGAAAGATTATCAAAGTGAAAGCAAAACCATTTGTTTGATGTAACAAAGGTACTGTACTACTGTATATATAATCCACAACATGTTTTGCTGAGAATAACTATTGTCATTTCATTTATCCCATCCATTGAATTCTACAATTGAAACACAACAATTTCAAAAGACAAAAAACTAAATTATCTTTGATTGTTTTCAATCATTTTCACATGGTAACAAAGCAATTTTACATTCAACACATCATTTATAAGATTAAAAAATTGACTCTTTGGATTTCTAATTGCAGCCTTGTTGAAGTACATTTCTGCAAGTTTAAGAATGGTGAGAGGGCAAATCTGATTTTCCAGTTTGATCAAAAGCAAATCTGCGCTCCGTTACCACCGATGGAGGCTGTGAAACACTGAAAACCGCTAGACTCAAGTTCCTCTACCACTTTGTCCACCACTGTCCCTGAAACCAGGTCATTTTGCAGAGATGGATTCATTATAAACCAAGAAACAAGAGCCCAAATTGAAAAAAAGGATGAGTGAAAATTCCTGAAAAAGTATACCGGTTGGTAATAGAGTGAGGACACAACCGCCGCCACCAGCTCCTGTCAGTTTGGAGACAAGCTTGTGCTTGACCGTGGTTTGGATCACAGTCTCGATCGAGCCATGGCTAACACCCATTGACTGGAGCAGACCTTGGTTCATCTCCATGAGTTCTTTTATACTCTCTTCTTTCTCTGTAACCGAGGTCTCGTCTTTAGATTGAATGATCGCAGCAAGCTCTTTGCTTATAGAATCCACGGCGTTGAACACCGAGTTCATTGCATCGGGATGTCTCACCGCTCTCTGTGACACACCAGCGACCAGAGCTTTTGTGTTGCGCCCAACTCTAGTGTTGGTGATCAGCATTCTCAGAGGCATGTTGGACTGTAACCGAATTATCTCGCCTGAGCAGAACTTGATCATGTTGCCTGCAACCACAACGAAATAGAAATGGTTTTTACTAACATCTAATTGAAATTTTTGATCCGAGGATTTGGAGTTTTACAGTTAGAACAAACCGTATGCACTGACAGTGTTGTCTATCCCTGAAGGTTTCCCATGGATGATCTTTTCACCTTCAAAAGCCCATTTATTTAGCAACTCAAGATTGGTTTCATCTAGAGATGACCAACCATTACCATGGTTTTTGTTTGAAATAGAAGAAGCGAGAAGAGCAGCTGTGAGAGCTACACATAAAGCTGCTGATGAACCGAGGCCAGATCCGTATGGAAGCTCAGAGTTAATGACGACTGTAGCTGATTTAAACCTAAAAAAAACAAGATTCGTGAAACACAACAAGATGAAGAACTCGAGGATAAAATGTCCGCAAGAACATAGAAATGCAACTACTTTTAATTATATCTACCCTATAATTCTGGTGTATAACCAGAGAAATGTGGAGATCCCAGAGGAGAGCCAGATCTTTTCCTTTGGAAGATTTTGTTCTTCAATCAAAACTGCAATTGATTTAAGGGTCTCGTCTGAGCAAGAAGACGGAGTTGAACGACACAAAGTGCTTGAATCATAAGGAATTGCTTCTTTGAGTCTGTCTAAGGACCAGGAAAACTCCAAAGAAATGTCTTTGAGCTGAAGTGTAAGCCTATCATTGTTCTCAGCTGTCAGAAAAAAACGAAATATAATGCTTCAGATTTGTTTCCACATTGGGACAAAAGAGTATCATCCCATAAAAGCAAGAGAAGAGAGAGAGTCATTTGCCACAGATCTGCCTATTGACTTTTACGAACACACATTTTCCATAGATAGAACTCACAAAATGAAATATAGCAAATATTCCATCTTAATGCAGCCTCAAGCCCTTTGATTGTATAATACTATTACTTGATGACATTAGCTTACAACATAGAAGAATATAGCATGAACGAACATTCAAAGTCTAGAACCACAAATCAGATTTGAACAAGTATAAACTCATGGGATCACTTGCAGGGTTTGGTTAGTGCTGGACCCAGTTAACTAGAGAAACAAGAAATGCTATATTCCCAAGTGGATTAGAAAAAAAGCATAGATCTTTTGCTAATCAATCTCTATATCAATTCACATATGAGTTCAATCCAATAATTACAGGTTTGGTGATCTCAAGGAACCTGATTGAAGAGGAAAGCGGATAGTAACATAAGTGTAGAGATCAATGGCTGCAGCTACAGCCGTGGATCCATGGACAACCGCGTGTTCGCCTGCGAGTATGATCTTCCCAGGAGCTCTAGCTTTCACTTCCATTTTCCTAAGTCAAACACACAAAAAGTGAGAAGCTTTTGACAGTGATCAGAACAATAACAAAGGAAACAGAGAACAAGAGAAGATCTTATATATATACTCAATTCCCAGATTCCAACAACTTATAATAATTGAACACAACCAACCACTCTGGAAATAATATAAACAATATGCTCCTCAAACGTGGATCAAAATCAAAAGGGTATTATTATAATTGGCTCATATAGATCTGCATTTACAAGAAAGACTACAAATTTATCCACAAAAATGGTAAATGTGATGAATCAGATCAAAAGCTGCTCAGATCGATCACAAGTTGGGATTTTTTTTAAAGTACAAAAAAAATAAAAACCCAATTTTTTTTTTCTTTCTTCTTCATCTCCTTCTCCTTAACTTCATTTTCTTACCTAGCGCGAAGAGAATTGAACAAAAACTATGGCAAAAGTTCAATAGACAGCAACAACGTACCTAGAAGATGGAAAATGTCTGAAACCTAGAAGATGGAAAATGTCTGAAAGCAACGAGAATCGTGTTCAATTAGGATGATGATAGTGGTTTAACATTCCCGGTTCGAACCGAAATGTAATTCGTCTCGGTTTAAACTCGGTTTATCAAGAAATTTTCCAGTTTCAATTTGAATTTTTGTCGGTTTGAGTTTGGTTCGGTATGGTATAAAGAAACAAGATCCCATACGCATAAGCCAACGGCTATTTCTTTCGTCTCTAAACCAAACTATGATAATTGGGGGATGAGACGAAGGAACAAGAAGACCAGGAATTGCGGTTAAATGACTCTTGTTCATCTGACATCGCATCTCAATGGGTTTCATTTGCTTAATCCATTACAAAGTCCGAGACTTTTGTCGCTGTCTCGAGTCTCTGTATCGATTTCACATCGAACCCAGTTGCAAAGTTTGGTTCTTTGTGCAAAGAAGAGGAACAAAGGAGTTGGGTACAGAAGAATCATCACGAGGTTTCTCTTCAATTCACTCTCTTTACTCTCCCCTGATCTTTTACCTCAGCCGTTGGATCTCGTCATTGCTGATTTGGGCGGCGTAGATGGAGGAGGAGGAGGAAGAGGAGGAGGAGGGTTAGGGTTTTGGAGAGGATGGGGAAGGTTTGATGGATGGAGAAGGAAACGTAACAGAGTACCAATTTTGGTTTTTGTTTGTGTGGTTCTATGGGTTTATGGTTTCTGTAGAGTCTCTGGGATAGAGGTTAAGAGTGAACTGGTTTTGAAGGTTTTAGGGGTTTGTTTATTTGGTGTTACTATGGTGAAAGAGTTGAAGAGAGAGGCTAGATTTTTGGTGTTTGGGTTTCTTCTTTGTTTCATTGCTTCATTGGTTCTTGGATTCAAGAGAGAGAGTTTTGTCAAATTAGCTTCGAGAGTTAGATCTTGTTCTTCAGTTCTTTGTAATAAGAGAAGTCGTAGAAGAGTGTATAAATAGAGAGGAAGAAACTATTGATCTTGTTGTTTCCTCCTTATCTTTCAATTGAGATTTTTTTTCTTAAGTGTGCTTAATAGTGCTGATTTTGTTACCATTGAACAAAATCAGAGAAGGTTATGATGAAGCAGTTTAAAAACTCAAGTCATATAGAAAGCTTTGTTCCTCTAAGCTTTAAAAGAATGGTGCCATGGAAGGAAACTCCATGGTTTGAAAATGATCAGAACTCAAAGTCATATAGAACACTTTGTTCCTCTATGCTGAACTCGTACCTATCTTCACGACTTGACAACAGACCAAGTTGTTAGCACTTGCTTGTTTTGTTTGTACATGTTCTAATGAGTATAAGGGGATGGTTGATTTCGCGGTTAATGAATGCAATCAAGACGATTGGGTATATGCAGTGTAATGGTGATATGAAGCTAATCAAAGAGTACATAAATTGTTGGCTTATAGTTCATTCCAAAACAATGTTCTCAACTTAATGACAGTATACAGTAGCTAAACATCTGAAACAGAACTCTCTTCTTTCCTAGTTTAAGAGATTTTTGTTAACCTTAGATGATGCAGGAGACTCTTCATCATCATCTGTACGTATTGGGTAACCGATAACCAGACATAACTATTTTGTCAGCAAACATCTTGCCCGTCTTGGGCATTACATGCCAGTGCAGAGTCAAGTTGAAGTCCTTTCCTCGGAGGTTGTGTCCCTAGAAAGATCCCAGTCACAAAAATCAGATACTTTCGTGAAGAAGTACATGGAAGACTGGTGTTTCGAGAGAGGTATATAGAAAGTGCTTCATGTACCTGATCTATAAAACGGTACTTGTTTGAAATTTGTATCCAGAACTTGGCATGCTCTTTCTCGGGTATTATGGCATCCCATAAAGAAACCTGAGAAAAATGTCAAACATTCATGGTAAATCAACAAAAAGGGTCCCAATCAAATTTACAGGCATGAAGAAGGTATCAACACTAAAACCACATAAACCTTGAACTTGTTCTTATACCTCGACAAGAGCAGTAGGCTATATAAAGTGTTTGGATCAAAGTAGATTTATACCTGGTTCAGGGCATTCTTCGAGGTTTCATACTCTGCTGCTACAAAAGCAAATACCTGCAAATGTTTTCGTTAGTGTTGGTTTTGAGCTTATCTGACTATACAGAATGAGGTATACAACAAGACAGTATGTAACACTGAGAATACTTCAGCTTATAGCAATGGAGATGGATTAGTGTAGATTCGAACACTATACCTGCTTTGTGTTCCAAGTAAATAGTGACTGCAAGTCTGCTGTTATGTTCAGTGTCAAGCTGACCTGAAACACACATAAAATGCTAAGCAATTCGAAAAAATGCAACAGATAAAGAGCAGCCTAACAACTCAAAAGTTAAGACAAAATCCACTAGTGTATGTATAAGCTAGAGAATATAAATATATCAAGTCTGGGGTATATTAACCAACCTCAACAATCTGAGTTCAATGACTTTCAAGAGTAGGCTAATGTAAAATCTTTATATTTTACGAAAATGTCTAAAGTAACAGTCACATCTGAACCAATGAATACTATGGCTGTCAAATTCAATGAATACTAAAGCTTAAGATGGCTATCAATAAAATCCCATAACAAAAAGTGCAAAGTTAGAGGTCAAGACCTTAACTTAACCCATTAACCACAAGAATTCAGTATACCAGAACTTCAAGTTTGGAATCTTCTGATGAAATAATAATCTATGTACCCACTTAGAATGCCCAGATAAACATAACTCAGAACACTGAACACAATGAAGCATATATATGAGAAGGCACAAACCAAGCAACTCTAGCTAATAGAAGATAAAAAAACCTAAGTAGAGGCAAGACCATGAAACCTCACCTCATCATTTCCATGGGGTTGCTTCTGAAACCAATTGATATTCAAAATCTGCAAAACCACAGCAAAACTCAGTGAACACAAAAATTCCCCAAAAGAGCTAAACCATTACAATTTTACAACCACAAATGCCAGAATCCAACAAAAACTAGGGATCCAAAACAACTTGAAACTACAACGCGTACACATAGATCCATGATACAATAAGAGATCTCTTCAATTAGAATCATACATACACATTTACCTGGATCTGAGCAGAGGGAGTTTGGTTACTGAAGTTATCAGAGAAGGAAGCAATCGCACAGATGAAAGCTAAAATCGTAACGGCGAATGTGAGCAGAGCATTGGCTCTGTAACCAAAAGAATGCATCCTCTTTCAACCAAATCACTCGAATTCGATCTTCCCCAAAACCTTGGCTCTGCTCCGAGGAAGAAGATGAAGGTTAAAATTTTTATTTTTTTTTGTCTTTTCCCCTTATTAGAGTTTATTAATTTTTCTTTTATATTTATTTGTTTATTTTCCTTTACGCTGTGTATAATGTGATTGGCCGAGACACGTCGAGTATATACAATTGTGATTTAATCATATGAACCGACATTCCAGTTTACAATAGCACCGGTTTAGAAAATAATTTATCGGTTATTTATGTTTTAACCGATGGTTTACTGCAGAGACGATCTTTTTAACTAAAATATTTATATTTTAAGTTTCCACCAAAAAAACATTGTTTATATTTTAAGTTAACCCCTAACAGATTTTGTGTTTAGTCAAACCGTAAGAAAAATATAATCATATTTATGTGAATTCAAACCTCTTCAGATCATATTTATATAAAATATAATAATATTTTAAACCTTTTTAGAGTAATATATGTTATATTTCAAATATTTAAATTGTAACATATGCAAAAATTAGTACTTTTACTATATGTAATAATATAAATTAGAGTATACTTTGAAAGTGATTGTTCTGAACTCATTGATATGCTTAACGGAAAACTTCATTGTACTTCAATCAAAGAGATTGTTTTAGATATTATTTATTAGACAATTTTTTCACTGAAATTTTCTTTGTATTTGCAAACAGAACTTGTAATGAAGCTGCCCATAAATTAGCTAAATTTGGCTGTTTAGATAGAATTTCCCTTTGTAATAGTGTTTGTCCACCAAGCTGGCTTCAACATCAATTGTATTTTGACATGATTAATTCTTAATAAAATCCTCTTTTTTTGAAAAATAAAACAATATTATATAAATATATGGGTGAATTAGCTCAATATTCATTTTCAATAAAACAATGAAGAATATAGCACACTAATAGATAAAATTAAGTAAATAACTATTAGGTAGTATAAAAAGACCAAAAAGGACATAACACAAGAAAGCACATATTGTTGAGGAGGTGCTCAGTGGGTAACGTGTAGTTCTTTAAAGTTTTACTAATAACTAATTACTATATAGAACGTTTCATTACTATATAGAAATGTACCAAAATGTCCATTTTAATTTTTGATGGTTTAGTGAGAGTGATGGATGGTTGTCAAAGTGGTGGTGGTCGGAGATGGCGATTGGAGTGATGCCGGTGGTCGGAGGTGGTGGTGGTTGGTGGTCGAAAATGGTGGTGGCAGGTGGTCGTGGTGGCCGACGGTCAGAGATGGTGGTGGCCGTTGGTGGAGGTTGTGGTGCCCGGTGGCCAGCGGTGGTGGTGACCGGTGGCCGCAGGTGATGGTGACGGGTGGCCGGCGGTGGTGGTGGTGGTGGATGGTTGTCAAAGTGGTGGTGGTCGGAGATGGTGATTGGAGTGATGCCGATGGTCGGAGGTGGTGGTGGTTGGTGGTCGGAAATGGTGGTGGCAGGTGGTCGTGGTGACCGGCGGTCAGAGATGGTGGTGGCCGTTGGTGGAGGTTGTGGTGCCCGGTGGCCAGCGGTGGTGGTGACCGGTGGCCGCGGGTGATGGTGACGGGTGGCCGGCGGTGGTGGTGGTGGTGAACGGTGGCCGGCGGTGGTGGGGACCGGTGGCCGGCGGTGGTGGTGACCGGTGGTTGGAGATAGCGACGGTGTCTGGCAATGGTGGTATAGATAGGAGGTGATAGAGGTTGTTGGAGGTGAGGTGGTGGTTGGAGGTGGAGTGGTGGTGATAAGAAGGTTTTTGATATTAATATTGTAAGTAGTATATATATATATATATATATGAATAAAAAAAAATTCATTGTTTGACAAAATATATATATGAATAAAAAATAAATAATAAATAAAAGAAGAAGAAGACAAAAAAGCCAAAAACTGTCACTAATACATATAATACATAGTATATGATAGTTTGATGGTTAGAGTGGTTACACAATGAATTATAATTTTTTTGTTGGTTATACACTGCAATTCCCCTAAATATATTTGATAGATATACGATTTATTAGGAAAGATTTTAGGTAATTTTGTTGATATAATAAATATTTGTTTCCCATTTTCTATTTTTTTTGTGTTTTAATTTTTAAAAAATCATTTTTCTTTATTTATTTATTTATTCAAATGGCAAGGTTTTAATTATGAAAATTTTACAAAATAAAAATTTATTAACCAAAATGAAAAAATAACACTGGATTTTTTACGAGTTTATATGTCGGTTTTGGTTTATAATTTAGATTTTACAATTAAAATTTTATATATATATATGTATATATGTTGATTTGAGTTTCTAAACAAATACTAAGATTTATTTTTTACAGGTAAACGAGATTATATATCGGTTTAGATTTATAAAGAGGATTATAGTTTAGATTTTATAATTAAACGAAGATTAGAGGATTAGAGTTTGGATTAGAGTTTATATTTTACAATCTTATAATTTTACAATTACATCATACTCATGCTTTATAAACTCAAACTAACAAATAATCTCATTTAATTATAAAATTTAAACCCTAATTCTCTTTTATAAACACAGAACAATATATAACCCCATTTAATTTTACAATCTAAATTTGAATTCTCTTTTATAAATCCAACCCGATATATAATTTGCTTTAATTGTAAGAACTAAAATCATACTCCTATGGGGTAAACCCATGAATTTTAAAATTGTATTGAATTTTTAAAAAAAAAATGGAAAAAGTAAAAGAAATCATAGTTTTGGAAAATTTCAAATTCAATGCTACTATCAAGAAAATGTCATTTTTACATTAATTTGTCCATCCTATTGTATCATATAAACTATGGTTTTCAAAGCTAGTCATTACATAACAAGATCAAGACAAGTGACAAGTTATTGATATGAGATTACTGCATGTGTTAAAGTTAATCATTAAAAAAACTAAAACGTACATAATTGTGACACAAGTCAAGCTATTGATATGAGTTTACTATACATGTTAAAAAAATTCCAAAAAAATTAGGTGAAATTTCAAAAATACTCATTTTCAAATACCGCTTTTCAAAAATATCCCACTTTCAAATTACATCAAAACCCACTAAAATTTTGAAATTTATCAAAATATGTGTGTAAGGTTATATAAATATACACAAGTTACATTTATATGTGTGTAAAATTTTTTATTTTTTATAAACAGTATAAATACCTTTTTAAAAACTTTTAAAAACCTTGTAAAACTCCTTTAAAACATTTGAAAACCTTATAATTATTTCGATCAAGCCTCCAAGTAGTAGTTATTATCTAAATGTACCTTATAAACCATATATAAATTTATAAATTTTCAAAATTTCTCAAAACTCTAACATGATTAAGACAAATCGTTAACATGTCTGATTATGATACCAGTAAAAGAAATTTAAAAGCTATAGTTAATCTTATATATCTATATTAGTAAAACAGAAGTACAAAATAGAATGCGGGTCGGGTCAAGAGTAAAAAATAAACCCAATTTTAACAATTGGATACTTCAAAATTGGATATTAAAATGGGTTTGGATACATACATTGGATACTTTCCATATTTAATTTTAGGATTATATTATTTCCATAACTAATTTTAGGATTTCCTAATATTTATCTAACTAATTTAATATAATACATTAAAAAAATTATTATTCTTCTTTCATTTTTATTTGATCTTTTTTTTTGAATTTCTGATATTATACTAAATAATAATAAAAATTCAAATTTTTTAACTTTTTCTTGCATACTGCAATTTAAATTTTTCAAAACGGACATATAATACTCAATTACACTCGGTTAAATATTTTGGACAATGATTTAAAATCATTATAAGTATGACCAATATTAAAACTATTGTTACATAAGCATATTTAAAATATTTGTTTTGAGACATAGATGTAAATTTGGAGACATGATTTTTATTGATAAAATATTATATATCAAACTACGTAAATTTTAGATAGTCCACGGGTAGTTAGTTAAAATCACAATTATAATGGTAAAGCGAGTTATGAATAATGTTTTTACGATATGAATTCTGTTACGGGTTGGTTCTTCAAAAAATATATTGTAAGTGTGTAATTTTTACGTCTATTCCTACTTATATTACAAAAATGTTCAAATTGAACAATTTTCGATAAATATTCTTCCGTGCTGTTAAATTTTCACCCTTTTTTTAGTTATATCAAAACTCAATATATTATTATTTACTCGCTATTTTTTCTTGATTATTTTATTTAATCTTATTATACAAATATATGATTCACTGTAATCGACTACAGTGTAATAAAATTAAAATGTAATATAATTTAATCCGTTAAATTTTTTTTTTGGTAAAAGGTTAAATAAATTATTTTTTAAAAAACCATTAAACATTATAAATAAGTAATTATTTCTCCCGCGATGTAGCGCGGGTCCAAACCTAGTAACTCTTAAAATTACACAAATACTATGTATATATTAATAAATAAAATAAATTTTCTACTTAAAAATGGACTGTTCACTTAAGGGGGTGTATTGAAAATGAAATTTTAAGAGATTTGAGTTTTTTTTAGTTTTTAAATGATTTTGATAATTATATGGAAATTCATATGATTTTTGTAAAATCCATTCAAATCTCACCTAAAACCATAGGATTTGGATTTCTGTATTTAAAACTAAGGAAAAACTCAAAAAATTAAATCATTAAAAATCAAATCCACAGATTTTTTTCAATAATAGTGGATTTTAATGTGGATTTTGAAATCATTAGTTCAATAACAGTGGACTACATAAGACTTTTTTAAAATTCTTCTTTGAATAACACTGGATTTGTAAGTTTTACACAAATCTCTTAAAATTCCACTTTCAATACACCCCCCTTAATAAAATAAGAAATTTAAAATTATTACCGTCTATTTATATATATAAGACATGAAATAAAGTCCAAAACTTAATTAGGACATTAAAACATGAACACCAATGGGAAAAAAAAATCCGTGAAAACCTTAAAATAATAGAAGTGATCTTTGATACGACCTCAAGTAGATCATCTTTTTAAAATGAAATGGACGATATCAAGCTCAATCTTTGAACAACAATGGCGGAATTGAGACAAAGATCTTTGGCTTCACAACAAAGAGAAAGCACCAGAATCAAAGAGCAAGTGACCAGAAATCGATGATGTCAAGCTCAAAATCAAACAAAAATCGAGTGCCTTGATTTCAGGATCGATGTCGGAATCACGAAGAACTCACTAATTTTATGTCTATGGGAGAAGAAAGGAGAAATCAGATTTAATGTTTTGATGGAAGTAGGAAACGATTTTATGTAGTTGATAGGAGTTTAGAAAAAGAAACATGATGGGTACCCATAGTCTTATTAAGATAAACCTGAACGAGACTCTAATACTTTGGGTACCAGCCCATTTAAAACCCACGTTTTTTAACGAAAAAACGGGTCTGAAAACCTATAAAAATATAGGTTTTGGGTACCCATCAATTTTTATCCATTTTTAACTTGGCTAAAAAGATTAATAGGCTTGATTATTTAGTTTATCCTCTAAGCCCAACATTCTTTTTTTTCCATTTGTATTTAGTGTCTCTCTCATTCTTGTAAACATCATCTAAAAAGTTTAACAACAAAAACAATTTTTAAAACTTCTCTCTTCATCCTTTTTTACTTCTATTAACGGCCCTATACTACCCTCTCTTCTAATTGAGTTATATTTGTTTTCATTCGATTTTTTTACTAAACGACAAAATAATTATTCTACTAAATCTTCCAAATTCGCTGCCTCCATGATTTTTTTTTGACGATTTTCATCAATTCTTATGATTTTGTTTTTAATACTATTGCAAAGTATAAAAATCGGATGTTCCATCATAAAAGTCAAAAACCCCTAACAACATATAAATGTTGAGTTATCAACCAAAACTTGATGTTCCTAATGGGCATATGACCTTTATGATACCTCATATAAAGTAACGATTGTGGATTGTTGGGTTTTGAATCTACAGTGGAAGAAATTGTAAAGTTTATGCACATTTGATAAACAATTACGAGACAATTACATTTATGTTTGTATATCGATACTTTTATCATTAGCTTCAAGATTGTTAAACATTTCAATGACACGTTTGAGCCAAATCACACGTTTGAGCCAAATCACAACTTTTGGTAATTTTTATGAATAATGGTTTCTAGAAAAATATTATTTAAATGTGGAAGCTTCCTTTGTCACACTATTCAAATTGTTGAACAAGTAATCATCTTTGGATCCTTTTATAAGTTGCTATGACTTAGTCGTGGTCTATCTAAATAATGAAGTAACTATGCTCTTTATATTTTAATGTATTATGATTCCATTTCCAACTTCTAAGTTACATGTATAATTTTTTTTCTCAAACTCATATAATTAAGAGTACCTCGTACTCCAAGGTTCAAATGAATTTAATATTTTTTTTTTGACGTTCAAATGATTAATATATAAAGATAATATTATCTAAATTTTATAATTGCTATCCATATCTTCTTTTCTATACAAGCTTCATACATTATTACAATTTTTTTATTTTATTTTTTCCGACAAAAATTCTTTTAGAAAAAATTGAAACAAACCGTTATATTCCCAATTATAAAAGAAAATAATCATTGTAAAAATAATGGTGTAGTCTATTCTTGGTCTTGGTCGACGACTAAGACTTTTTATTTTCTTTCTTTTTTTTAAAGAAGAAGAAAAATAGAAGACCAATCTCCACTTCGTTTCTTTGTTTGACTTTTCGAAATTTAATATTTTGTATTGAAGAAAAGTATTAAAATTAAAATAAAACAATCTCCTACTTTCGTGGGATTGAAAAATTTAAATATCTTACAACAAAAAGACAAACAAAAATCAAAGAATTGCGTAAACTCTAAAATCTAAAATGCGTGTTTATGAACAATAAAACACACAAGTAAAACCAACTAAACCGGTAATCTAACAGAACCGCTAGCCGAATCAACCGTACCGGTATACTGAACCGACGATGTCCCTTCACCATCTTTATTGACTCCAACTCTCGGCGAAGGAACCGGCGTCGTATTCCTCCACAAAAACGACGGGTTTCTTAGAAAAGCCCACCGGTCAGCTCGTACCGAATCACCGGTCGGACTTGTCACATCATTTGTTTTAATGCTACCGGTACCACCTAATCTAATCGAACCATCATCCCGGTTCCGCCACAGAAACGACGGCGTTTTGCTAAACAACCACCGGTCCGATTTCGCTCTCGACTTATCAACCGGTTTACTCGTCGTGCTTCCTCCTCTCGGTAAAACAAATAAACTATTCGACCGGTTTAATTTCCAATTCGCCATGATCTTCTTCCTCAAATCTTCCGGTATTCTAAGCGTAAACCGGTCGGTACTACTCTCCACGGAATGCCCCGTCGTATGCGACCTCGGGAATTTAACACGTGGATGTTCAACCACCGGTTCAGATATCGCCGCCTCAAGATCAACTTCAAGAACCGGTTCGACCGGTTCAGCTGTTGTCTGTATCGTCTCCTCTTCAGCGAGATTAGTCCGACAAACAGGACAAGTCACGTGACCTTGTAACCACGCGCCGATACACTGAGGATGAAACACGTGATCACATTTAGGCAACAAACGCAGCGTTTCGTCGTCTTCAAACTCGTTTAAACAAATCGCACACTCCAACGCGCCTTTACCGATCTTCTGAGTCTTCACCTCCGAGTAAACAAACGTAGGAAACGTCTCGATCATCTCCGCGTCTAACCCACGCGCCACCGTCGCGTTTGTAACTCTCCTCCTCGCTCCTCCCGTCGTTGTAGTAACGCTACCGCTGTCTACTGCACCGGTACAGTGACGTATGTAAACAGTGAAGAAACCCATGAAGAAGAGAGCTGCGATAACGATGACCACGACTACAGCCATGGCTGGACTTAAACTGCCGCTGTAAGCATACGGGTCAGTACTTCTCGGGTCGGGTTGATCCGACTGAGCTGTTGCTAGAGATAGTAGTAGAGACAAGAGAAGAACTTGTAAGGTATCCATTTTTTTCTTTTGGAATCTCAAAAAGTTGTTTTATTTTTTTGGGTTTAATGAGAGAAGAGAGAAGTTTATATATTATAGAGAGAAGTTTTATTATATTTGAGAAGTAGGAAGAAGTCGTGGAGAAGAAGCGAGGAAGAAAGGTTAGGGGAGATGTCATAAGCAAATGTGTCACTTACTGAATGCCACGTGGATTTATTAGAATTTTCTAATGGTGAATGTCAAAATAGGTGATTATGAGAATTGAGAAGAGGTTGACATGGTCCAAGACTCTTCTTTGATCTATTATGGTAATTATGTATGAAAGGTATCTTTTAATTCTAGTTTTGTTATATAAAGTTTGAATTTTGGAAGTTGCTAACTCTAATGATTATGACAAGTGTTGAATTTACCGATAAGATTTTGATATGTGTAAAAATCTGCAACTACGATAGATTTTAGATATTTTATTATAATAAATATGAGAAATTTAAGTACTTATATAAAATGGTGCATACATATTTTTTTATTCTTAAATTAAATTATGTTAAATTATGGAATCAATAATTAAATTAAACAATATTAGCTAATAAAGAGAAGGTATATTAGTTTTCATATACTATGAAAATAAATTATATAAAAAAGGATTAAAATTATAAATAATTGTAACTATGTTAGAAAAAGAATATAGATAAAAAAAGTTGTGCTATAAACAAGTAAAACATACGCAGAGATTAACGATAAAAATATGTAAATGTAAACAAAAAAATATATAATATATAGAACAAGATCATAAATTTAAATAAATTGTGTGTATTGTGGAAAAAAGATAAATTGTGTATAACCATTCAATATACAAATTATAGAAATTGGTTATGTCTCCTTCAATCCGTAGTGCTACCGCTTGCGCACCTTCCACAGTCCACACCGTGTTCTGGTTCTGGCGCATAATTCTTTCTACAACCAAACAAAGTGTATAGTTGAAAACTCATAACATATATATGTAATCACTTATCAGTGGATAGTATATGATGTATTAACCTTGAAGTGTTGGTTTTGGAAATCACAAAATGACTTGCAAAGAAAAACAAAAGAGTACTATTATTGATAATACCTCTTATATTTGAAGTTGTGGTGTCATGAATCATGAAGATGATCAATGGGTTTAAGACTTAAGATAATTCTTCAATCTAAAAAGACTTGGATATTTAGTTTTGTACAGTTGAAGTTTGACAGCAGAAAGGTTTTTAAAAGTCACTCACTAAACTGTCCATAAGATTTTCAAATAGGATAATAGTATAGAGTATATCTTATATTTTGATATTTAATCCTTATAGAGTATGTAAATTAAATCACTGGAAAAATGAAAGTTAGATGATGCTGAGTATTGACATGTCTTTCTTCGGATTTTGGATTTTTTTCTTAATACTTATTCGATCTATTTTTAATAAACAAAATATGCAATGATTGAATAAATCATAAGCAAATTATAAAGAAAACATAAGCAAATGATACCTAAAAATGTAAAAAAGCTAAAAAGCTAATTATAATTTTTGTTGTGAAACCTTGATTAGATCATTCATAGTGTATATAATTTACCAAAATATTATATAATTACATTTGTAACTCTATATCAAATCTTGTGAGACTTGTATATTATTATCTAAATTTTTGTTTCTCATAGTTAGAATTTTATATAGTAAGATTTTTCATTTACATAAAAAACAATTTATGGCGATTGATTTAACATGTTCTCGATCATGTCAACTATTAACTTTGAGAAACCAAACTTTATATGATATATAAGATGGCCATTTTCATTTGTATATGGACTATTTCACCTGCAAATTTAATTCAGTTTTATTAGAGATGTTTTTCTTTTAAATTTTTGTATAAATTATATTAAGTACAAAACTTTGTTACCTTTTTCTACTTTATACTAAAGTTGATTTGCTTTTAGTTTTAATCAATTTATGTGAATTGTCTCACAAGGGAAGACCATGATTTTTTATTTTTTGGTTTTAGTCATAAATTTTATGCAATTAAAAACCAATCCTAATCTAAATAAATGATTAAGCTATTGAAAAGTGAAAGGAAAAAGAACACACATTATGAGACATAATATGTAAATGTTTTTGAGCTAGTTAAAAAATTTACAATACAAAATAAATTCAAGAAAATATAGAGGAAATACCATGAATTAGAAACAAAAATACATGAATAATCAGAACATTCTATTTACTAATCTTAGCCATCATTGATATAGTCATAGAAGACTTTGACATTCAAATCCATCTAGAAAGTCTCAGCCATCATAGGTCTATCGTGATCACTAACTCAAATTAGCTTTTTTATATTATATTTCTATGACTTTTTTCTTATATAAATAAATCTAAGAAAATAAAAGTTTGGTAACAATTTTTTTCAAATTTTCATATCAACCAATACCAAAATCTTGTGGAATTACACTATTATATAATCATTATACTCTCAAAAGCAAACCAAATTCATATCATCTACAATTTGAATTAGCAAAAGTAATGTCACTTAACATTATGAACTAATGTTATCAAATCTTGATCCAAACTTGTTTAATGCTTAAAAACAAATGATTTTACATTATTATGGTTTTGTTTAAGGGTTGTTTATTGTGGGGGAAAGAAATGTCAAACGACAAAGGCTGAATTGACTTGGACTCGTGACCAAACTGTTATTACAATGAGACTAGCACACACCACACAAGTATGAGCTAAAAAACAGCACGCACTTTCTATTCGTAAATTTGAAACACCACGGCTTTCTTTTGAACCCTCCAAAGAAAAGACTTTTTGAGGTCCTTTATCTGAAATGTATTGTAGGTTCGTCTTGTTAAACGTTCTTGTTAGAGTTTAAAAACCAAAGTTTTGGCCAAGCTAGTGATTCAAATCCTAAGAATTTAGATGAACACATTTTTAACCAACGTAGTTTATACCTTTTGTGTTATACAATCAAACGCATGGGTTCAAGGTTCTTGGTAAGTCGGTATTGGGACGCCTGAATCATCAGTTAGTTTCTTGTAAGCATTTTGCAATCTTCTTGTTACCGGTCCTACTTTTCCTTCACCGATCACACGCCCGTCGATTTTCACAACCTAAAAACCAATAAACTCGATAAATAAGCGATACAAAACCAACAAGAAAGTGTTTCATATTACTTAAAAACATGAGAGAAACATGAGAGTTTCTGTTATTTTGTATATGTTTTGGAATCAAAACATTCACTGAATGTTAAGGAGGAATTATGGTATGTACCGGGCTGAGTTCTCCCATAGTCCCTGTAGTCCATACCTGGCAAAGTATGATATCAATGAACATAATTAGTTGCTGGTCACTTAAAAGTTCTAAGATTGAGGAAACGAAGAGGAAACCTCATCAGCTGTATGGAATTCCGACAAGCTGATTCTTCGTTCTTCTAAGATGAAATTCTCTTTCACCACCAGTTCCATGACCTGGACATGGAAGAGATTGGTCATGTTATAGTCACTGAGAGATGTTAGGAGAAATGAATGCGGATTTTCTTCTCTCTTACAGTAGCTCGGGTAATGCCCGGGAGACAGTAATCTGCATGAGGCGTGAGTACTCGGTCTTTCTTCACCATGAACTACATTAACAGAGTTCGTCTACAATTTTAGTTTTTAAACACTACATATATAGAGATTTAACGCTTATTTGGAGAGTAATAAAACTGTTAAATCCAAGGATCTTACAATGTTGGTTGCATTGGTTTCAGACACAAAGCCATCCTTGTCAAGCATGATTGCATCATCTACATTTGCGTTGTTGCTTTCAATCTGTATCATTATACAGAAAAAACACCTCAAAATGAAGTCCCTAAAGAACACATGATCATTCGCGCAGGGTAAAGATGGAACCTTTGCAAGTATGTTATTGAGGAGGTTATTGTGATGAATCTTGGAATCTAAATTCTGAAAAGGAAAAGAAAAAAGAGATTAAACAACAATGGACAATGTTACTCAGCTAAACAGATGAAAGAGCAATGGAAGCAATTTTATACATTGGGGGAATTGCGCCTTGTAGATGCAGTAACAAGCACAATCCCGCCATCATTGTCATATACCGGAGGCTTCCATTCGGCAAGCACTACATTATTTTGAAAACAAATACTACTCAGAAACCATATTCTATAGACTTTAGTTGTATGCTTGCAAGAGAAAAATCTGAAACTTTACCGATCAAAGTACATCCATAGCGGTTAAATGCAGGGCTCATTCCAGAAGTGACCTTAGAAAGAAGAAACAAATTCATAGCTCATTCGGGTTTAACATGGTTGAAATGAGAACTAGAAGAACTTGTTGCATAAATGTTACTTCAAACTTCGTAAAAGCGTAGTTACATACCTTTTTGCCTCGAGTTAGAGACAGTCTTATATGTGTATTGTCAAACATCCCATTGGTTATGAGAGTTGTGAAGATGGCTTCTTTTATCTGTGTTTTTTTCCATTGCAATAGCTTCATTCAAAACCCAACATTCAAAACTATGATAATGATTTTGATCTTCATCAAATGCTTACCTCCTCGCGGGTTGGGACATTGTTGAAAGCCAGAGCCTTTGCTGAATCATGCATCCTATATGCAACACTTCAGTATATTAATAAGAATGCCTTCAAAGAAGTGTTAGTATTTTTCTCTTGGTTGCTTCTTACCGGTCTAGATGTTCTTCAAGCTTGAACACTTTCCCTTTGTATATTCGAAGACCTTCCCATACAGAGTCACCACCTTGCACGACCGAGTCAAAAACAGAAACCTTAAACAAAAATAAGGAAATAGAACATCAGAGCAGAAACATACACAAGCAAACAATAATAAACAAAGATTCATGTCTGGTTCTAGCACCTTAGCCATCTCACGTGGCACAATCTCATCACCAACCCAAGCTAGAAGTTTTGCATTTTCAGGAACCGGGAGACTAGGAGGAGTTAAGGTGCTGGTCAAGAGCGATGACTTATGCTTCACGTGGCGCTTGAGAATGTTGTATAGTGGTAAACATTGCTCCAGCAAATCGTAATGCTTCATAGGGAAAGTCTGAAAGCAAAGCAAAACACATTATAGTTTGAAAATGGTATCTGAGTTTCAGAATTTTGAATTGGCAGTAACACCGGGCATTTACATGAGGGTACTTCTTTGGAGCCGAGAAACCTGTTGATTTGTGAAGAGTCTTGTACCACCATGGAGCCCATAGTCCATCTTCAGGTATAGGACCAGCCTTCCATCTTTAATAAACACACAAAAAATGTAATATGGTCATTCTTTTTCCATTAGTCATTATATCGAAGAGATCCATAGAGCATAGAGGGTCTACTTTAGCATAGAGGCTTGAAACGGGATCTCTAAGTAATCGCAAAGACTGCGTAGTGTAGTCTGAAAATAGAAGAATTATACAGACCATAAGCAACTTCTTAGAAAAGAGAATTGAGATCATTGCCAAATATTTACAGTACTGAAATGAAACCTCAGGATCTCGCTGGAGCTCATCTGCATCGACGATTGCTGGTGGTGTTCCCATCAGACAGAGATCGCTGTATATCGAAACTAACTCTCCTAACCCCAATTCAAGAAATGACAGAGGTTGTATCTTCTCATAAGAAGGCTACAAGAAGAGACAAACAAACAATAAACATGTCAAACCTGAAAGGATCAGACCCATAAACAATCAAAAAGGAAACCAATTCCAAAGAATCTCCAAGAAAACATAACACATGAAGTGATTTGAGAAGCTTACCAATATATTAAGGGGATTGCGTATTAAGATAAAGTGCTTTCCTTTACTCATTAGTTCACTTGGCAAACCAAGAAGTCGCTGTTTTGCTAAATGCTGCACAGAGAAGGGACAGAAACAAACACAAGAATCACAAAAATTTTATCCTTACAAAAACGATTTGAAGTCTCTGAATCAGAAAGAAAAGTGAGTATAATAACCTTACAAAACCTATACTTCTTCTTTCCTGGACCATAAATGATATCCTTCACCACCTTTTCTCCATCACACTCCTATTACACAAATGTGAAGATTATACTATTTTAGACTAAGCATTATTGCCTTTAATATACCTCAGAATCCTGAAATCGATTACAGTGAAATGAATTGACATACCATATTAGAGAGAAGCTCATCTCTGTAAGGCCTATCAACGCCCGTAGACTTAACAAATGCACCGTATAAAGGCTCGTCGAGCACTTCAATGTCATCTCTCTAAAGCAATTTTAAACAAAAGTCACATAACTCACACCAAACATACTTTCACAGTGATTCAAATGTTATAAAACCTCATGTTTTGAAGCCAAGAGGGAGACTTTAAAAAACAAAAAATTTGATTTTTTTATTTATTTCCCTCACTTCTATCAATCCACAGAGCTGAGACTCTACAGTTCATAAGATGGGACTCGAACAAAATTTAGATTATCAATGACACACTATTCAAAATCAGATTTTTATACTAAAGTTGTGTTCCTCGAGCAAATCTCTGAATAAAGTTAGAAAAAGAGCACCTGGGCAAAGGAGTACATGAGACTAGTGCTGAGTGATCTTGGAGCAGACCATGCGTGAATCACCTCCATTAAAGACGATCGCTTTGAAATCAAACAGACACTTTGTGATCACTCCACTCAACTTCAACTACAACTCAACTATTGTCTTGGTCAGTGTTCCTCTTTATATTACAAGAACCAGACGAGAGAATCTTTGGACTCTGTAAATTGTGAAATGGATAAAGCTTTCATTTTTCACTTTCCAAAAGAGTAACCCAATTGACCCAACCAATCAAAGATGTATTTTTTGTTTGTTCTCACTAGTTTATATTCACAAGCATCTTATCTTATGTCATGCCACATCGAAGTTGGTGAGTGATAATGTAGTTATTTGCACTTACACAGATCCTCCAATTTCTGTAAAACCATAAATCAAATAATTGGTATCTACAGTGAGATCCAGTACTGTCAGAGAACATGACTAATATATTAGAATAAGTGTGTTTATTACAGTGATAACCGCGATTTCATCCAACCAAACCTTCGAGCTGACCAACCCACTACCATCTTGGAAAGTGTTTCAAACGGACCAAGAATCTTTAATTCAATTGTAAAGAAACTAAAGTGGTTCCTGAAAGAAAGAATTACATTATCTAGGAGATATAGAGAAGAGGCGAACGCTTGAGCGGTCATATGAATGCATATACGGTAAAAGCTCGAAGCGAGGCCTAAGTTCTGCGGTCACGTCTGTGATGGAAAGGTCCATTTGGTCCACAAGTGTCAGGAACACATTGAAAGTGTCTTCATTGCGGATCACAGATGCGATATAGGCCACTGAGGGTCTACGTCCTTGTTGTGCGTCTCTGTCTTCAGTCTTGAGAGAGCCATTGTCTCTTTTGGTTGGTTTCTTTAAAAGAGCTACTAGAACCCGCAGTAGATGAGGGAGACATGACGGATTATAAATTACATCTGCACCTAGACTGATAAGAACACAAAGGTTTAGGGAGACTGACATAGGCTGTCTTATACAAAATGAATTTACGGTTTACTCACACGATATCTGGACAAAATTTGCTAAGTTCACTTTCTGATGCAGTTTCCCACGGAAGATGAATGCATTTAACTCGCTGTTAAAGGAAAAAAGAATCAGTCTTGAATCGGCTAAGTATATACTCTGAATCAGAACTCAGAAGGCACAAAGAAACTAGCTCCAACTCACTGTACTCTGAGCTTCTCCTGGTTGGTTAAGCAACTCGTCATCATAATTTAAGTGATTCCTCTCCAAATTGAGCCTCATGTTAGACAGAGTCAAAAGATCTCCGTCTGTTAGTATAACCTGCGTTAAAAAATAATGTGTCACTCAACATAGCTTTGTACATATGATGAGAAATTTGGGTAATTAATAAAAAACTAAGGATACCTTTTTGGCCTTTACATGTGCAAGGCAAATTCCGACCATGCCAACTCCAGAGCCAACCTAACAACGGCTCCATCGAATCACAAAATGAGTAAACAGATCAGAACGTAAACCGAATCAGTCAAATAATACTCCATAATGTCAAACTAACCTCAAAACATGATTTATTGGCGAATAACTCTGGAAATGACAGAACAAACTCTGACATAAACAGACTTGATGGCCAGATAGAACACCTGCTCAAATCCAGGACCCAAGGTGAGCAATATGAAAAAAGACTTATGCATTGAAATGAATCTGCGGCAGTCATATGATTGTATAGAAACTCTTACCCGGTATCTCCTTCAAGCATGTTCAATGAACATTGCAGTGGAATAACTAATTTCCTTGACATTGGACAACTTGGGTGTTTGTATGAACCTAATCCACAGATCAGTCAGCTAAACTCATCTCAATCAGGAAAATCCAAATCACAATGAACAAAAACACACAGCAAAGACAAAATTTTTACCTTCCGGGAAAAGAAAAGAGATGAATTTAGTGATCCTTATGGTTTCTTTCACCAATGTATCTTCCTAAAACACCCAACCAAACAATGTTCCCATCAATTACGAAAAAAGCAAGGAAACTTCAACAACAACAAAAACAAAAACTAGACCTTAGAAGTTGACATGTAAAGAGCATACTCCTCATACACTTCATCCAATACTTCACCATTCTCCAACTCAACTTCATTTATGAGTTTCTTCAGTAGCTTCTTCGCATATGTAGAGTTACCACTGGCAGACTACACCGATGCAAGAGTTTCACACTAAGTTACAGTACACATTACTACAACTCAAGATTCAATTTTTTCCAGAGAAAACATGATTTGACAAACACTAAAAGTCCCAAATCAATGACTTGACTACAAATTCCTAAAAATTATTATAAAGGTTCGAAATTTCACTGAGTTCTCTGGTTTTAGTACTTTTCCTAGCAGAGCAGAAGAGTTTTACTTACAGCTTTAACGCAAATTTCCCAGAAAAATCTCTGTGCACTATCAGTAATTGATCCTCCGTTACACTCTCTACACAATGTACAAACAGAATCAAAATCAAACGGCGGAGCAAATGGAAACAAAGAAGCTCACGGCGGCGCCGGCGAGTTTGAAAATGGTTTACCTAGCGAGAGAGATAACGGAGTCCACCGGTTCCATGGCGAGGAAAGCAGAGAGTACATGAAGGTACTGTGACTCCGCCTCCGCCTCCGCCGCCATGACTTCGCCGTGTCAAGCTCCGAGGATCTCTCTAGCCATATCAAAAACCTGTAGCTCCGAGGTTCCAACTTTGGGCCTGAAATGATTCAGCCCATATATTATAAAATGACTAAACAACCCTTAAAAAGACACCGAAACTTCTAAAATACCCCTCATCTTCTCTCCAAGCTTTTTGTCTTCTAAACTTCAGAGAATCTCCACACTTCTTATCCAGCCATGAAGTCTTCTTCTTCTGTCATCTTCTTCTTCCTCTTCTCATGGCCATTCTACTTCACTCTCTCTCTCTTCATCCACCAAACCCTAAACCTCAAAACCAAAACAGACCCAGAATTCTCTCTCCTTGTGCAACCTTCCGGAGAGATGTGGTGCTTAGAACAGCATCTCTCTGTTTCGTCTCCTTCATTTATCAAAACCAAGTTCCAGAGTCATTAGCCGATCCTGAGAAGTCATCTAAACCGTTAAGACTCGGCATTGCCAACACTAAGTCTTGGTTCCAGTTCTTTGGTGATGGGTTTGCCATTAGGGTTCCTCCTGATTTTGAAGACGTCAATGAGCCTGAGGTGTGTATCTTTATAACCAGTCTCTTATGAATTAGTGTAATTTCGTTTAGTCTCTTACTCAATCTGAAGACTGAAGAGTAAAAAGACTGTAAAAGCCTGTTCCTTTGGTTAAAGTTTAAAACTTTTTAGTGATCAATGTATTTCGTTGCCAAGTTTGGGTCTTAATCAATGGTTGTTCTAGTCAGTTTGGTTTAGGGGTTTAAGAGCTGTGTGTTGGAGTCTTAGCTACTAATTGAAGAATGTGTATCAAAGGAATTGAAAAACTGGTTCTTTTTGTGTGGATGAAATGATCATTTTGCTTGACAAGCGTGTGTTTACTTCATGCTTTAGGATTACTCTGCGGGATTGTCACTCTATGGGGACAAGGCAAAGCCGAAAACTTTCGCCGCCCGGTTCCAAACACCTGATGGGTATTGTTTGTATCCCTCTTCCCTTGTAGTCTAGTTGAATTTCCATTAGGAAAAGTTTTGTGACATATCATGTGGTGATGGATGCAGATCAGAAGTTTTAAGCGTAGTCATTCGTCCTTCAAATCAACTTAAGATCACTTTCTTAGAGGTTTGTACAACCAAAAGAAAAAAAGACATTTCCTTTACAAGTTTAACGTTTTACGCAATCATCAGTTGGGAAGGTTTACTTGTTTGTAAGCTCATCAAATGCTCTCTGTTTCCCATAGGCTACAGATATATCCGATTTGGGATCGTTGAAGGCAGCTGCAAGACTCTTTGTTCCAGGTTCTTAAATCATTTTACATACTAGAAAATTGCCTTTGAAATCCTCTTATTCATCTGGTCATTGTTAATTCTTAAACATGAGCAGGTGCGGCAACTATTTATGCTGCTCGTACAATCAAGGTAAAGGAGGAAGAAGGTTTAAGGCAAGTCTTCTTCGAACTATACTCTCGTCAGTTTGGGAATTTTATGTTCTTGATTGGATTTGTATTTTTCATCTGCAGAAATTACTACTTCTACGAGTTTGGTAGAGATGAAGAACGCATAGCTTTAGTAGCCGCAGTGAACAGAGGAAAGGTCTCTGCTGCAAACACATATATTGATTACCCCCTTTGACATATTCATATTTCCAGATTCATGACTCATCTGTGTTTCTTTGTTAATCTTGAAAAGGTTTATATCGTTGGAGCAGCCGCACCAGAATCCAAATGGAAAGACGATGAGTTGAAGCTTCGATCTGCTGCCATTTCTTTCACTATCCTATAATCAACATTCATATCTTCTTCTAACGGAAAACGCGAGAACGCTCTTCAGTCCATCCAGAAATTCGGAACTAAGAACAAACGAGCCAAATGTGATAACCGGGACATCGTTATGAGACGCATTTCTGCATTCACTTTCGTTATCTGTTTTAGTTTGTCCTTTTGACTGAGTTATATATTCGTTATTGTTACTTGTATAATGGACAAAACAAATCAAGATTTTTTGAAACGTGAAATTTCTAAAGTGCGATTTTCTTGTTGACGTTTGCGTTTCCCGTAATTGCGTTTTTGTGATTTTTCAGCCGTTCTGATCTTGCAAACCCTGCACATGTTTTAGCCAAATTGTAAGAAACGTGCGTTTGCGTTTCCGAAGCTTAAAGACACGTTTCTCAGTCCTAGAGAAGAGACACACCGAGATACGGTACTCCGCGATGTAGTAAATCTAACTCACCTTAAACCCTGCCGATTGAAGTCGACGAAGTCGAACTCGAAAAGCCAGAGAGATCCTCTGATGGTATTTGAGATCAATCAATGAAAGTTAGGTTTTTTCTTTGAGATTTCATCTTGGTGAATAAAAAATGGCGCTTGTGAGAAGGTTTCACACAGTTCGTTCTTTGTTGCGAACAGCTGGATCAAGAGAATCTTCACTCCCGTAAGCAAATTTCCTAACTTTGATTCTTCTTCGTTGATTTGAGTTTTAGGAAAATGCATAAAATTTAAAAAGATTCAACCTTTAGCTTCTTCATCATTGGTTTTCCAGATTTGGGAATGGAAATGACTTCTCTTTGATTCAAATTGGAAATGATTTCAGATTTGGGTGTTGGAGAAGTCATCATTCTTCACTTTTCCACGGTGATTTTCTCAGTTTCTCTATTGAATTTGAATTTGAGTTGATGCTTTTGGGGTCATGTAGTTATGTAATTGACATTTCCAGCTCCTGAAGCTCATGGGAAAAGTATGTATTCACGTTTACATGAGAGCCATAGCGTCAACACACATTTGCTTCGATCTAAGATGGTAAAACATCACCAGATGCATTCATTGGGTGTTGAAATCACTGATCTTTGTTTTTGATGATTTGTGTTGTTTCTTAGATTGCAGAGTCTTTGCCGTTTATGAATGATAAAAGGTTTGCTTCAACGCAAGTTAAGGCTCCTCCTCAACTACAGAAAACGGTGTGTTAAGTTGCTCAACCGCAATCGTTTTTTTTGTTCTTTCATTTCTGTTGTGTCTACAGTCACTTTTATAAGTATATTGTTTTCTATGGTTTTGATTGTCTAAGTATTCAGTATTTTATGAGTGCAGGGTGCTGTTAGAGTGTCTATGGTAAGTCCTGGATTTGTATATGAACCCTATGCACTCCAGGAGAAAATCTCGATTTGGCGGAGGTAAATTGGAAGATCCTGATTCTAATGCGATCAAATTCCCTTTTCTTCATGTTTTCACTGTTAATCACCATAGCAAGTTTTGAGTATAATCGACAATATAGTTGTTCTACTAGAGTTAAGTTTCTTGTCAATTGTTGTTCAGATGTTTCACAAGAAGTGGTTGGCGAAGAACAAAGGAGGATTTTGTACGCGAGGTTGAAACATCTTCACGCATTATCTAGATTGTTATATATATATTTCGCAGTTGTATTAATACACGTTAAAACTCTAAATTTCAGCTAAGAAGTGCCTATGCTATCGCTAAGTTAAGAAAGACTGGGTATTCGAAGAATACGTTCTACATAGAAGCACTAGAGTTGTACAAACAGGTATTAGTTCTACATCTTTTGGTGTTTTTTTTTTTCTTTGTTTAGTCTCATAGCAGAATGTTTTTTAACTATCTTGACTTAGCTACCCGTTTTCTTCAGATTAATATTCTGATGGCAAATGGTGACAAGAAGGAGATAAGGAAAAACGTAACCGAAAGAATGTATTCTGTAAGGTTTCCACTGAATTGATTATCAGTGTTTTTTATATTAACATTGAAGATGATATGGTCTTCTATATTGTTAACTTTTTTTTTTAACTATTAGGCATTGAAGAACGAAATTAAACAAAGAGAAGCTATCTGGGACGGTGTTTACTGGGAAATGATTGAGCCGGTTGTCAAGATCCGTACTTTACAAGCTCGACTGGCAAGTTCTTTACATAGCTTGAATATATTTTGGATACTGAGGAATTATGATCTCAAACATGAACGATCCACTAGTGGATTTTTGAAACTTACCCTATTCTTTTTATCTTTTTGACAACTTCTCAGATCGGAATTGACCGGACAGACCTTAAGAAAGCATTCATACAACTGACACTCGAGTTTCTGACAAAGCAGGTCAGTGTTATCTTAAGTCATTAGTTTGTTTCTCATGCATTGGGGAATGTAATAACTTCTTGAGATCTATTCTATCTTCAGAAATTCGAAGCATACGATGCAAAAGGCAATGTACTAGCTGGAGACAGGAAGAAAGAGGTAAAGTGAAGTTTAATCATTGATTTTCAATGATTTTTTCTGTCTAGACTACAACAAACAATACTGTGGATCGAAATAAGAATTAGACTAGTTTCAACATGAACCTCCTTTTCAAAAAACAACGTAATATTTGACCTGGGTTGGTGAAATGTTTGATTCAAGTCAAAGTACTGGTGATTGATTGGAAATCCAATCATCTTTCTTACCTACAAGCTAATTACAAGTTTGTTGCTTCTGCAGGTGCTTGTACGTGACATATGGGTCTTTGAGAAGTCTCTTTTCCATACAGGAGCTTACTGGCGGCTCTGTGGCCGGATCAAATTATAAATTTTTGCAACATTGTGGACAAAGAGTGTCAACAGTCTCAGACAAAGAATAAAACCAACATGTCCTGATCTTTGCTGAGTCAGTATTCTCCTTAACGATTGGCTTTCAATTCAATTCAAGCCTGTATGTTATCTGATTAGGTCCCTAGAAAAACTTTGCTATTCTGCGGGGTAAATCTTCGATACAAGCAAAGATCAGCAACATATGTGTTGGGTTAGTCTCTTTGTATACTTCATTGGAACCATTTCTTTTTTTCTTTGTTATTCTTTTTATTGTAGTTCAATAACAGAGACTGGTTTTGTTGCTTCTGTCACTTTCTTCTACTTTAAATGTTATAAATGGATTATTTATGATTCAAGTAAACATACAGTCTCAATCTTAAAGAAGGTCTGGGACCTTTTAGAGGATAAGGGTTCTTTTGGTTTTGTTTGCAAGCTTCCCCATTCACTTAGAAATTTCTCAATCTGTTTTTAGTTTCTTGTACATTGAATCAAGATACATTTCTTATTATTATTCTAAGCGAATAATATACTGACAGACAAAAAAAAAGAACTAGATTTTGTTTGTTTTGTTTCAAAGCCTACCCCATTTACTTAGAATTTCTCAAAAGGCTAAACTCAAATTGTACACAAACAGGTCATACAGATAAGAAGACAACTTTCAACTAGTAACCAAGTCTCTCAACTACTCACCACTACTTAGAAAGGAACAAATGTTTTAAATGTGTCCAATAAAAAGTTGTACACATCCTTCTACAGATAAAGGAGACAACTTTCAAGTTTCAACTACTATTAACCAAGAGCCTCAACCACCTCGCTCACCAATTTAGAGAAAAAAACAAAAATTTTCCAATTGATATTTTTAGAGATGATGATGGGCAACAACGAAAAAACAGAGATTTTGTTCAATAAAGAGATGATGGGTAACAAAAAAAACATAGGCTTTGTGATTTTTATAGGGATAAAAGATTTACGCCACTGTAAAGGTTCAGTTGAAATAGTGACAGCAACTTTAAAAAAAAAAAGCGTAAGGTAACAAATGATCAGTGGTTGCTCTTTATCTCTCTCATACTTTGGTTCGACTAGTACGGCCTCTGTCTTCTATCTTTATTCTTCTTCTTCTTCCTCGCTGAAACTCAATCCAACAAGAAGGTTCCTTTTTCAGAACCCTAAAAATCATTTGAGAAAGCTTGAACCTTTGAGGTCTGGGAGATCCCTGGTGATGGAATCACACAAAACCCTTTTCGATGTTGACAAGTTTGATGATGAGTTTGTTCAGAAACTTGTTTATGATGCTCTCGTTTGGTCTTCTCTTCACGGTCTCGTCGTCGGTGACAAAGCTTACCAGGTTAAAGTTCTTGTCTTTTTGATCTTTGTGTTCGATTAAATTGGAGAAAGATTCAGACTTTATGGTCTTTATGAATCTGTGTTTTAGCTTTTTCGTCTTCCTGAATTGTGTTTAGTTTCATGGGTCTTAGCTTTTGATGCTATACTTTATCTGAATCAAGCTTATATCACTTGTTATGGATGTTAAAGTTCCTGTCTTTTGATCTTTGTGTTCGATTAAATTGGAGAAAAACTCAGACTTTATGATCTTTATGAACCGTGTTTTAGCTTTTCGTCTTCCTGAATTGTGTTTAGTTTCATGGTCTTAGCTTTTGATGCCATACTTGATCTGAATCAAGCTTATACCACTTGTTATGGATATGCTTTATAGAACCGAGAGGTGAAGATCTGGTTTCTTCGTTTTGATTGGTTTTGATGAGAGTTTTGAATTGCAGAAATCAGGAAATGTTCCAGGGGTTGGAATGATGCACGCCCCAATTGCATTGTTACCGACAGCATTCCCTGAAGTCTACTGGAATCAAGCTTGTGATGTTACTCCTATTTTCAATGAGTTGATTGATCGTGTTAGCTTGGATGGCAAATTCTTACAGGATAGTCTCTCTAGGTTGGCTTTTCTTTTTAAGTCTTTATCTCAGTATTAGATTCTATATGCGTTTGAGTTGTATATCATCTAAACAAGTATGCCTTTTTATTGATTTTTGTATGTTCTAGAACGAAAAAAGCTGACATCTTTACATCTAGACTTCTTGACATTCACTCCAAGATGCTTGAAAGAAACAAGAAAGAGGTCTTTTTTATGTTATCTCTGGTTTTATGTTAATCTTGATTTTTCTGTCCTGGATCTTATTTGTTTGGCTGTGTTTGTTTTTACAGGATATTCGTCTGGGTTTACACCGGTTTGATTATATGCTTGATGAAGAAACAAATTCACTTCTTCAGATTGAGATGAACACTATCGCGTGTTCGTTTCCAGGCCATAGTCGTCTTGTTAGTGAGCTACACCAGTATGCACAGCGACAAACCATCTTCTGCATAACCTGTTGTGTTTCTTTATTTGCATTGTACATCGCAATTTTAGCTGAAAAGCTTCACTGTTTTATCTGCAGGACATTGCTTCGATCTTATGGGGATCAGCTTGGGATAGACTCTGAACGTGTACCTAAGAATGCATCCACAAGACAGTTTGCTGATGCATTGGCCAAAGCTTGGTTTGAGTACAATAACCCAAGGTTAGCCTTATCCGAGTTCTTTGGATGGATAAAAATACTAGAAATCAAATTTATATGATGTAGTTCGAAGGAATTCTGTTTTAAGCTATAATATTTCTTGGTTTCAGAGCGGTAGTCATGGTGATTGTACAGCCAGAAGAACGCAACATGTACGATCAACATTGGCTGAGCAGTACACTGAGAGAAAAATATCCTGTTTCATCTTGTTTCTTTGGCTTCCTCTGGTTGATCTTGACTTTTTATCCTATATTTTGTACCACAAAGAAAGTTGTTGGTCTTCCTTAGCTTCAGAACACGCACAATATAGTAGCCATCAGGAAGACTCTAGCAGAAGTTGAAAAGGAAGGGAGTGTACAAAAGGATGGAACCCTTATTGTGTAAGCATTTGTTTGCATTGTGGTTTTTGAGAACTTGCAGATTCATCCTGAAAGCTGTGTTAAGAGTTTTTGTTGTTGCAGTGGCGGCCAAGCAGTCGCGATTGTTTATTTTAGATCTGGCTATACTCCCAATGATCATCCGTCTGAATCAGTAAGTAGCCGTTAACTTTTCAATATCTGTGGCTCTACTCTTAGAGAATATCTGTATCAATCTTTGGGTTTTTCGTTTCATTTTGAAGGAATGGAATGCTAGGATGCTAATAGAGGAGTCTTCAGCAGTCAAATGCCCGACTATAGCTTATCATTTAACTGGCTCCAAGAAAATCCAGCAAGAACTGGCAAAACCAGGTGTTCTCGAGAGGTAAATGGATCGCCAATTACCTACTTGAGAGGCTGAAACTGAAGAGTGGTTACCAAATATCTCAAAGGCGATAAACTTTTTTAACTTAAAACATGTGAAACAGGTTTCTGGACAACAAAGAGGACATTGCTAAGCTGAGAAAATGCTTTGCTGGGCTTTGGAGCTTGGATGATCAAGAAATCGTCAAGAAGGCAATCGAAAAACCTGGATTATTCGTTATGAAGCCTCAGAGAGAAGGCGGAGGTTAGAACCCAGTTGAGTCCCCCTAACTCTTTAATATCCCCAGTCATATTCTAAGCGAATCTTCTTGGATTCTTCCAGGAAACAACATTTATGGAGATGATGTGAGGGAAAATCTTCTGAGACTGCAGAGAGAAGGAGAGGACGGAACTGCTGCGTATATCCTGATGCAGAGGATATTCCCAAAGGTCTCAAACACTTACATGATGCGAGAAGGCGCTTACCATAAAAATCAAGCTATATCAGAACTCGGTGTCTATGGTGCTTACCTCAGGTACAGAGCAGAAAAAAGAAGAATTTGGTACATGCTTCTTTCATTCCCAACTTAATTTTGTGCCATAATCTTTGATCAACTGAAATGTGTAGGAACAAAGACAAAATCATAGTAAACGAGCAGAGTGGCTATCTAATGCGCACAAAGATCTCATCATCAGATGAAGGCGGCGTCGCAGCTGGTTTTGGAGTCTTGGACAGCATTTATTTGAACTGAGACAGATCACATTCACAATCATCCTGATCAATTCTTCTTACTGGTTTGTTCCTTTTTCTTCTTGGTTGTTTCAAGATTTGTGTATTAATTCATGAACATCAATAAGACCAGGCAAAGCTCTTTACAATTCTTTCCATAGTACCACAAAACATACATTAATTGCTTATTGTATATTAATGTATGGAATAAGATGCACACTTGTCTGAGATCATGAATGGAATAAGATACGATCAATCATGGAAGTATAGGATTGTTAAGTCATGATTCTTTTATTAACACTTGTTTTAAAAGTGGTGATTTAGACTATACGAGCATGTTACATGTATATGTACTACAAGTAAATGTTATAAATCAACGAATGTCTGTGAATCCGATGCCTCTTCGTTTAGTGGGAAAGATAGCAAAGAAGAAGCTCGCCACCGTCACAACCAAAACCGCAAAATACTTGATCATAAGTATGAAATGACCACCCCAACTATGGCCGTCGTCGTCCTCCTCGGGGAGCAAACACCTGCGAAAATCCGAACTCTCTACGGCTAACGACAAGAAGACTACAACCGAGACAAAAGCATGCACGAAATCCACAAAACTCAACTTGTATCTTCGTCTCTTGTCTCCTGTTAAGTTAGATTCCGGATCATAGCCTTCATCGTCCGGATAGTCGTTGAGGATGTAGAGACCGTTCGCGGTGGCAATCCCGTAGTATATTCGGCCGTCCTCGCCTACGAAAGAGTCGGTGAAGGAGGAGAAGAAGCAAGCCGCGGCGCAGAAGGAGATGAGGGAAATGGTGAGGAGTTTATTAGCGGGTTTATTGGTGCATTCGCCGCCATTGGAGAAAGATGGTATTAGCGTTTCGAACACGAGGGCCGTTCCGGTCGGTAAGAGGTTGGCGAAGTTTCCGGCCGACGGTAGAGATCTGATGAACGACGCTTCCATTTTCCAACTTTGGTCGTCCGACGAGAGAAAAAATTTGTAAAGAGTGTTTTGTCGTATGTTCTTCTATACGTAATGCATGCATGCGTGAAGATAATTTTGATGCGTCTTTTTTATATACATTTCTTAAATGAATCGAGTTTTGTTTGGTATATTAGCTAATATGTAATTTACGTTTTGTCTTATAACTTATATAAATTTTTTTTAAAAGAAAATAACAATATTCTTTATCTTATGAAATTAGGTAGTGACTATTGAAATTGAAGATGTATATAATGTAATATCTTAGTTTTTTGGCCTATCTACTTTTGTTGGGATTGAAAAATACACAAACGATGATGACTCGTTCATGAAGCTATATCTTGCACGGAGATATGTTACATGTTCCTATGAAATTGAGTCCATGAAGCTATATCTTGCACGGTTGTTGTACCTAACTCCTCTCTCGGTGACTCGATCGGTCTTATTAGATATATGTATGTGAATATTCTATCAAGCAATTATGTTATATATACAAGATTGAGAAAAAAAAAGTTAGTATCATAATTTATAATCTTTCATTAAAGGAAGTTTGAATACTGATCAAGTCTGAATAACTTTGAGGGTTCGGCTTTTTGTCCCTGCGGGGATCATCGTCCACATTACACTAACCGTCGTATCGCTATTGCAAAGTTAACATTTAGCCCCGGCCGGGTTTGTCAAATTCAGACAATGAAATCTATTTAATTTTAATCACTTAGCCAATTTGAGACGAAAATTCAACAAGTTCTTTTACATATTCCTAAACAATGTTCATGTATATATTTAAGATGAACCTATAATTTTTCTTAGCAGAACGCCATATGATAAAATTTATCTAAGTTTGATTTATTTCAACAGACTGATGATAGATAAGCTTAGCTTGTATCTCTTCAAGTGATAATCCTTTCGTTTCCGGGACGATAAACCAAAGAAAGAGTAACGCTGCTCCCGCAATACCTCCGAATATGTAAAATGTTCCTATAAAATGTCAAATTATAAAACTCTATAAATTCAACACATAATTATACCCAAAAAAATTATGTTAATTATATATATAATTATTAACTTATAATTCATCTTGCTAGCTCCACAATTATACAAATAACATTTTATTAGTTTTTTAGTCATTTTAAATATAAAATTTACATGATTTTGATATAGAAAGTCAAGTAAATTAAATACCTTGGGTGCTCCACTCGAATAAAAAGTTGAAAGTGTAATTTACGATCGAACTACTTGAAAATGAGACCAGCGTAACGATACTTCCTGCTGTTACTTTTATATTTATTGGAAATATCTGCAAATACCAAAAAGTGTTACATTTATTACTTGATGAGTTACAAAAACATAATGTATTTTTTTTTTTAATTCCTAATATATTATTTTTTGAACCGTTCACATAAATTCATAATTATGAATGTATTATTTATTTCATAATAAACACTTTATCCAAACTACTAACCAATAACAATTCAGAAACTAAGATCTTTTCAATGAATTTATCTTAACATTTTTACAATTTTTTTAAATTAAATATGTTATAATTAATCATCCAAAATTAGAAAATCCTTTTTCTGTATGGATTTTGTTTAAAAATAAATTATCTATAACATCAATCTAGTATAAAAATTTGAGCTAATTTTATGTACCTCAGACATAATTATCCAAGGAAGACCTCCCAAACCTATTGCAAAAGATCCAATATACAGCTGCAAAATAAGAAACAAAAAAAAAAAAATCTTAGAAAAGAGCCAAAAAATAATCATGAAAAAGATTATGTACGAAAGTCAGATAAAAATGTTTTACCAAAATGCATAGTAACGTGAATGTTGGAGTCATTTCTGGTAGCAATTGCATTTTCTGCTTATACCAAATAAATATACAAACTTATTGTTGACAAAATAAGTGACATTTTTAGAATATAAACTATAAAATAAAGAGATTCTATAATCAATATGTTAGTTTATAATATATAACCTGTAACGTGAAGGCGATTCCAATAAGTATAGAAGATATGCTCATCCCAGCTGCAGAAGTCTATATATATGTCCAAATATAAATCAAAACAACTTTAATTAAATTTTTTTAATATGTTCAAATAGTGACTAAGTAATTGTGTTATAAGAAAACAAATGCAAATGTGACAGTCTTAAAGGTTTTTTGAATGCTCACCAACAAGAGAGGTCGTCTGCCCCATTTATCAACAAGAATGACACCAATCATGGACTTTGGTACCTGCCAATAGTATAAATAAATGGAAGTTTTAAACTATTAAAATGAAAAAGAAATGTGAAACTTTTTAATTAGTTTAAAAAGTATTATATTTTGAATGATTAACAAACACAAAAATTTCGATTTTCCAACATTAGTAAAATTTCTTAATTTGATTTTTGTTTTAATCTTTGATATAAAAAGTTTCTTTATAGTATAGTTTGACTGCATAATTTGGCATCATGCATCTATATACTTACCATGTAGAGGCCGAGCACCGTCGATCCAACGGCCACCGGAAAACCTGTTTTCAACCCAACATATTTTTTTAAGCTAAGTAAATATGTTTATATACAAAATCTTTTAAAGTTTTATACATAATTGCATTTGTATGCAAAATCAAAAGCAAAGTGATTAGTGGAAGAAACTACAAGTATTGTTTGAAAGCATATTATATATATATATATATATATAATTATTGTTATTGACGAAATTTTTCGATAAAAAAAAAGAATTATGAAGTACTAAGAAATTAAATCTTAAAAATTACCAGATTTTCTAAAAATGGTACTTGCATAAGAGATTACAGCAGCACTTCCTGAGAATTGCTGAACCAACATTAACCCAATTCCTACCTGAGAAATTAAATAAAAAATTGAATGATTTTGTAGAAACATATATATTTTATGTTTTGTGTAGAATCTATACTATTAATTGGGAAGGACAACTTGAAGCCAAACACCCTCCAATTTTAAAAAAAAACATTTTATGAAAATAAAACCAGTTGCCAAACAGAATTAATGACAGCAAAAAAAAACAAAAACAAAAACAAAAACAATCTATATTTATGGAAATCATAATAATATTTTACCATATAATTCGAAACAAACATTATCTGAATTATTTCACATAAAAAAAATAAAAAAAGATTAGATATAATTGTTAAGATTCATAAAGTTAAATTCACTTTCAACTTTCAAATATAAAACTACGAGTACGATACGGGGACATGTAATTTAAATTGCTAAATTTAATTTCCACTTTCCTATTTATTTCAAATATTTAGACATGAAATGATAGGTACAAGAAGATAACGTATACTTCGGATAACAAAACTACGATAAATCCATGTATTAAAAAAAATAGAAATACCTAAATCTTTAGAAAACAAAAAGGCTAAAACATGAATCTTTGAATTGAAGAAAGTAACGAGAAATAAAGATGAAACTGAAAGATCAATAAAATTAAAAATCGAACAAGGATTGTGTATGTTAGGATTACAGATAGTGCATTGTGAATGAAAATGGTGGGAGCATGTGACTTAGATTGATAATTAGATTTTTATTAGTTTGATAAAAATAAATATTTAAACGAGGAATATGGGTATCCCGTCTAAATCTTTTACCAAGTTTCTTATAATAAACATTGGCAAATGATTAAGTTTTAAAAAGAAACGATTATGAAACAGAAATTTTATGACAGATAGAAGACGGGACGGGACGGGGCGGGGTGGGACGGGACGGGTCAGGACGAGACGGAAAGGAACAGGACGGGTTTCCATTCTAAACTACACATAAAACAATTCAAACTAAAGCCAAACCCAAATCCGATTGAACATCTCTAAACAAACAGTTAGAAATATTTGGATTAGTTTAAAAAATAAACACGTAATATCACTTATCACTTTCATTTAAATAATTTTAAAATTGTAATTTTAAAATTTTATCATGTAATACAATATCTATATTTTACAACTGTATATCTATATATAGTTTATCAAATAAACTCATATAACAAAATTTTACCAAACTAGCATCTACTTAAAAAATCGTAATTTTGTAAAAATAACTCCGCACGTACGTGCGGGTCCATCACTAGTTATTTTATATTTTCACATTAAATAATATGAAAATTGAAATAGTCTTGAAAGTATTATATGTATAGTAACATATATTTCACTGTACCACGATAGTGTATCTATATTTTCTCTGGAACAAATCAGAAAAACTCGACCCTGAATCATTTTCTACCATTTTGGTTACAACCTGATGAAAATAGAAAACCAAAATTATTACTTTGTAAAGTGATGAACATATATAATTTTGAGATTAATTTATGAATTTTCAACAAAATAATTAATAAAACTCACTTGAATCTCTAAGGCTTCACGTGAAATATTAGCACCTCTCCCTCTAAGCCTAACTAGTGAGTTCTTGAGTTCTGTCTCAGTACCAACTTTTGCCTTCAAAATTTTTAAAATAGTTTTTAAGTTTTTTTTTTGTTTCTGTGTTTTATAAAATTATTTTGGAAGTTAATAAATTATGTTAGAAAACAAATTGACAAACCAGCCATCTTGGAGACTCTGGAACAAAGAATAAACCGATCACTTGAATTATGCATGGTAAAGCACCTAAACAGGAAAAAAATATGTATATCATATTTTTGTCAGTTAATTAATTTGTACACTTAGATTTTTTTTTTCCAAAATTTTAACTTCTAAATAATTATCCTGATCTAATGTAAATAAATATATCAGATTTACCTAATAGAGCCAATGTCCTCCAGTTGATAAAACTCCCAGTAAAATAAACCATGGCTGTTCCAGAGCTTTGAAGAAGCTAATTACATATAACCCAATCAACCAGTAAAATAAATTGTCAATCAATAATACTCACCAAAAAATCTAACAAATATTTATTTTAAATTGTATTTATTTTATCGATGATAAAAATATTTTTTAAACAATTTGAAAAAAAATGTGATATATGAATAATGCATATTCTATTTAATATATTTAATGAAAATATAGAATATTACCTGGTTTGAAAAGTTAAATGTACCACGAACATGTTTTGGAGAAATTTCAGCTATATAGACAGGTACCTGTTCGTTAAATTGCATGAAATTAACTTTAAAAAATATTTGAAAATACATATGATAATTCTATAATATAAAAACTTGTTAAAATGATTCCAAATATATATATATATATATATTAGTTGTAGTTAGTAAGTTAGTAATTACCACATAGCTAATTAAGCCGAGCCCTATCCCTGAGGAGATTCTTCCCAAGTCTAGCCACATCACATCCTTTTGTGTTTCCATACATAATAATAATATAAATCACTCTTTAATTGTTGGGTTTATTCATCATTAATTATAAACATAAAACTAATTAAACATTTTTTATTTTCTGACATAAAGAAAATATATTTTTTGTTTTTCATTTTTACATACCTTAGCGAAAGCTATGGAGAACCAACCAATGATGCAAAAGATATCAGAGACCCACAATGTCTTAAAATCATGAAAATTCATAAGCAACCAAAAAAAAAATTAGTATAGATTTTCTACAAAATGGTAAAATTTGATTATCCAATCTAAACTAATATATATTTTTGTTAGCAATAATAAAATATGTAATAAAAAATATGAAAGTGTGTAAAGATAAATTTAAAATTACTCTTCTTCTGCCAAGTAATATCGCCATTTTACCACTGAACAAAGCTCCTATTGCAGATCCCAATGTGTTGAATGAAGCAAACGCTGAAAACTGTTAAAATTAAATAATATAATTAACCCAAATATAAATTGCAAAAATTGGATAAATCATTTGCTAAACCAAATATATTTCTTACAGAGGATAAAAATGGAGGTGAATCACACTAACCAACCAAGTATAATCAACTTCATGGGGATATATAATGACCATACATATTTTTTCACTAGAATTGATGCTTAATTACGTGTTAATTTTAACTAAAAATTTTCACTAAAAACTTTGATAAAAATAAAATAATAAAGACAATATCAATCACAAAAACAATATCAAAAACGATATAGAGAAATAATCTCAATTTTCGAACCAATCTTTATACTGTTTGTAGTCATTTACGTGTTGTTAATCAAACTCTATTTACCCGTTAAAATCTTTTTAATCTATTAATCGCACTCTCTGTAGTTTAGTTTACGGTTGATATTATAAATAAACTTGTGACAAGATTAATTTAATAAATAATCACAGATTTAAAGAAATTTATATTAAGAGAGTGGAGAGACATACTTGCGAGATGGAAAGACCTAAGTCCTTCATAATTTCTATCTCAGCAGCTGAAGTATAAGCCATCTGTTATAAATAAAATAAAATAACCATATGTTAATAGCTCAACTGGTAAAATCTCTAACAACAAATTTTGAGGTCACCGGTTCAAATGGCACTTGAAACGAGACTATATAACATGTTTTATGAGTTTCAGAACCATATAGTAACTAAGAAAATCAGATAAAAACAGGCTTTAAAAAAATATTATATGAAAATAGATAAATACCAAACTAATGTCTTTTATATGAATTTTGTATTATCTTTGATTAAAAAAAAACAAGTATCTTAATTTCCATAAAAAAGAAAAAAGAAAAGCAAAGGTAAGATGTTGAGGAGAATGAAACTAACAGCAACACCAAAGGAGAAGGAGCCACAAACAGAGACCAAAGTGCTTAGGACAACACATGCAGTAATACGACATCCCGAATCGTCGTTTAGGTCATCGTGCTGCAAAAGCTCTTCCTCTATGCTTCTTTCTTCCTCCACCACCGTCATTAACACATGCATGTGTATACTGATACGACAAGTTTTTGTTCACGAACAGTGAAAGCTCGAGAGAGAGAGAGAATGGTTTGTTTTGTCAAAGTTTGGGCTTCGTACCAAAGGAAGCTAAGGTGTCACAATTATGTTTTTGTTTTTGTGTTTTGTGTCAGTTTGCAATATAAGGAAAGGTGTCACAATTATGTAATGTTTTAGTGTGTTTTGTGTCACTTGTCAATTTAGGGAAGGTGTCACAATAATATGTATATATATATATATATATGCATCAACCGATCACACCAATTTGACTAGGGAGACAAAGTGATTTCATGATGTGTTATGTCTAAAAGCATATTATAGGGAAACTACAATATGTAGACCCAGATAAAAAGAAAATTAAATATCTCTTTTCAATAAAATTTTATTTAGCTTCTAAATTTTCAGACAAAAATACCCCTATATATGGTAACAAATAGTTTAGCAAGATAACGTAATAAATATCAATAAATTATATTTTTTTTTATCTAACATTTATACGTCATCAGTTTTTAACTTTTACAATATGATACAAAGATCCAACACGATAATAAATGATTTATCAGAATAATTTCAAACTTACCATATAACTTATAATTTTATCGCGATACAATATCATTTATACTGTTAATAAATTATTTAGCATATTAAGTTTAACACTAAAAATTATTTAGTATGTTAAGTTTATAATGTAGTGGTTAGAGTTTAGATTTTGTAACTAAACGAAGTTATATTTTGGTTTGGGTTGACAAAATATTGGTTAGGGTTTAGATTTTATAATTAAATGAAATTATATTTTGGTTTGGGTTGACAAATAGTGGTTATGGTTAAATTTTTGTAATTAAATGAAATATAATTTCGGTTTGGGTTGACAAAGTAGTGGTTAGGGTTTAGATTTTTTAATTAACGGTTTGGGTTGAAAAAATTAGAGGTTTGGGTTGATAAATTATCGCGATAATGGATTATTTAACTTGTTCAAAAATAAGTTATCGAATGCTATTAATCACGGATGAACAGTGTTATCAAATTCTATCAATCACAAATGAATAGTGTTAGTCTTAATTTAACTGATAATATGTAAATTATCGCGATAACAAATTATTTAACATATTTAAAAATAAGTTATCGAACGCTATGAACAGTGTTACGTATCCTACTCTCTTTTGTTTGTTTTGGCTAAATCAAATCAGGGTCAGAAATGTAATTTTACGTTACTGCTGGTGAGAGAACTAATTTTTGGATTATTACATCCTTACTTTTTGTTTTCAGTTTATATAGGTACCAATTTTTAACTCACCCCATATTATATAACTAAATATAATCCATTATATAAACATTTTTCACAAACTTGAAGAAATGTATATGTTTTCCACTATTTAATAAAATTACACATTAAATTAAATATTTTAATATTAATCACAAGTGTATGAAATGGGGTTTTTTACCTAGCTTGATATGAGTTAATTATATTTTACTAAGATAATAATTACTAATTCCATAGCAAAAAGAAATATTTATGTAGATGAAAATATATCAAAATATATAATTAATGAATATATCTAAGTTTGATTTATGTCGTCGGGTTGATGAATAAGCTTAGGGTAGGTGTCACAACTATGTATTGTCTTTGTGCTTTGTGTCTGTTTTCAATTTAGGGAAGGTGTCACAATAATAATACTTTTGTTAAATTATTATGAACTCATCAATCTACACCGATTACACCAAATTTGAAGAAATGTATATGTTTTTCACTATGTAATAAAAAAACTATACATTAACTTAAATATTTTAAGATTCACTCGTGTACGACATGGATTCATACCTAATTTTATATGAGTTCACAATATTTTAATAAAATACTAATTACTAATTACATGCTTACATATTTTCATATATCAAAACATATAACTAATGAATATATCTTTGATTTATTTCGTCGGGCTTATGAATAAGTTTAGCTTGTATCTCTTCAAGTGATAATCCTTTCGTTTCTGGAACGAGCAACCAAATAAAAAGCAACGCTGCTCCTGCGATACCTCCGAATATGTAAAATGTACCTATTACAGTTATAATAGTTAATTATAGATATAAGAATATTTTCAACTTATTTATTAATTTTCTAGATTTAATCATTCTTTAGTTTATAACATAATTTAAAATCATTTAGATTAAAAAGAAGAAGTAGAAAAGAAGAAACCTTGGTTGCTCCACTCGAACAGGAAGTTAAAAGCGTAAGTGACCATCGAACTACTTGAAAATGAGACCAACGTAACGATACTTCCTGCTGTTACTTTTATATTTATTGGAAATATCTGCAAATACCAACCAAAACAATCATACATTTTAAGTTATTATGAATTTAATCATTCTTTTTACAAAACATCCAAAAATCGCAGTCGAAATCGAATTATTTGAATCTAATCTATCCGTGAATATAATTTTCTACCAGTTCATTAACCGAAATTTGTAATGAGTTTAAATAATCCGGCGCGTTATTAATATTAATACTACCAAAAAAATAATAATATTTGAAGTTGATATATATAGTTTGTGTACCTCCGACATAATAACCCAAGGGAGGCCTCCCAAGCCTATTGCATAAGTTGCAATATAAAGCTGATCACATACGAACAAAATCAATTTCAGTAACATTTTATATGTTAAACAAAAAACATAAACAATAATGTTTTCATTAAAAAGATTTTGTACAAGGAGATATAGTTTTTTTTACCATAACGCATATAAACGTTAATATTGGAGTTAGCTCCAAAAGCAATTGCATTTTCTGCTCATCATTATACCAAATAAACAAAACATTAATAAGTTCTTAGGTTAAGAATAGAATAAATAACAATAATAATGTTATTAAAGGACTTTAAAATAACCTGTAATGTGAAGGCTAACCCAAGAATCATGCATGCTAAGCTCATCCCAAACGCAGAAGTCTATGTCAAATTGGTTTTCAAATCAAAATATTTAAACAACTTTAATTATATATAATGATAGGCATTATAGTTTGTCTATACTTATAAAAGTAATTAAGACGTGTGCTCACCAACAAGAGAGGACGTCTGCCCCATTTATCGACAAGAATGAGACCAATCATGGTTTTTGGTATCTGTGGGAATATCAAAAAACTTACCATTATTCAATAATGCTTACAAGAGTTTAAGAAACCAAAATTTTGTAAGTTCTTAATTAAAAAAGTTTAGTAAACTTGGAAGTTTTGTCGGTTCTAATAGCATTTGAGAAGAGATCATATAAAATGTTTGGATTTTAATCCAAAAGAACGTTTCGATATTCAAAATCTTTTATTTATTCGAAAAAAGTCGATAAGAAAATTTGATTTTCGTATATTTTGCATTGATATGGTCAAATTAATAAATTGACAAGAAAATTTATATAAACTTACCATGAAAAGACTTAGAATCATCGTTCCAATGCCAACCGGAAATCCTGTTTTAACACAAAACAAATTATTAATAAACAAAAAAAAACATGGAAAAAACCTTTTTTTTTTTTTTGGTTTTTCAACTTGTGCTTGTTTTTCCCATTTATTATTTCACTCAGCATTTCTAAAACTTAATCTTACCAGATTTTCTAAAAATGGTACTTGCATAAGAGATTACAGCAGCACTTCCTGAGAATTGTTGTATCAACATTAGCCCGACTCCTACCTAAGATATTTAATTATAAGAAATAAAATCAATGCTCTATATATATATATATATATATATATGCAAATAAATATGGAAATAAAATTTTAAGAATTTACTGTACCACAAGAGTGTATCTATATTTTCTCTGGAACAAATCACAAAAACTCGACTTTGAATCAGTTTCCACCATTTTGGTCATAACCTGAAATCAACACAAATTCAAACTTTACATTGCTAATTTTTTTTTAATTAATGAATATATTTTATATATTTAAAATTACTTTATAGCTGAAAATAAATTAAAGTAGAACTCACTTTAATTTCTGAGGCTTCACGTGAAATATCAGCATCTCTTCCTCTTAGACGAAGCAGTGAATTTTCTAGTTCTTTATCTATACCAACTTTTGCCTTCAAAATTAATATGGTTTTAGTTCTCATTTTGTTTCTTCTCATGGCTTATAAATTTTATGTAATGGGTATAAAATAAAAATAAAAATAAAAATTTGACTAACCAGCCATCTTGGGGACTCTGGTACAAAGAATAAACCGATTACTTGAATTATGCATGGTAAAGCACCTAAAACCGTAAAAAAATATTATAGTTTTATCAGTTAATATATTTCATTTTTTTCTATTATGTATTAAAAATATCTCTCTTCCATGGTTGAGTTGATGATATCTATAGTTTTAATTACCTGAGAAAGCCAACATCCTCCAAGTCATGAAATTCCCACAAAAGTAAACCATGGCAAGTCCAGCGTTTTGAAGTAGCTAATAATTAATCAAATGAGATTAACAAATGATCAATATACTTAAAAACAAGTTTTAAAGTCGTCGGTTTGAATGGCACTTAAAAGGAGATCATATAAAATGATATGATATTTGATCCGAAAATAGGCTAACTAGTGTTTATATATATACTTTTGGTCGACACATATCCTAATACATATGAATCAAAATACACATTTTCGAAATAAAATTTCTAAACCAAAAAAATATTTACCTGATTTGAAAAGGTAAATGTACCGCGGACATGTTTTGGTGCAATCTCTGCTATATAGACAGGTACCTGTTAGGTAAAATAAGCAAAAATAAATTTACATATAAAGTTGAAAATAAACAAAAACCAAACTATTCAAGATCATGTTTAATTAAATAAAAAACCATAAGGTTGAAATTATTATTACCACATAGCTAGTCAAGCCGAAACCTATCCCTGAGGAGATTCTTCCGAAGTTCAGCAACATGACTTCCTTTTTGTGTTCCAAACATAAACACAAATCATTGTTTAAGTATAATATTTTGTGTAATTAATTATATGCTAACTATAAAGTAAATGGTTTTTTTATCTTCTACAAAACTATAGAATATTGAGATGATTAGGAAAAGTTATGTTTTAAGGTTAGAAATAATAATCAAAATACCTTAGAGAAAGCGATGGAGAGCCAACCAGTGATGCTTAGTATATCAGAGATCCACATTGTCTTTTCAAATCATGAAAAAAGTATTTTAAATTAGCATTAATTTTAAAGGTTTCAGCACAAAATGTCAATAATAGCAACTGTAATTAAAGTAGACAAATATGAAAATTATAGTCAAGAAAAGAACAAAGAAATGACAAATTTAATTATCAAATAGAATATGAAATGGTTCATTAGTTAGTTACCCCTCTTCTGCCAATGACCATAGCCATTTTACCACTGAACAGTGCACCAACTGCAGCACCTAATGTGGCTAATGAGCCAAACGCTGAAAACTGGAAAAAAAAAATATTTTAGAAATCTATTAATCCAAAAGAAAATTTGTAAAATTTTAGTATATAATTTTAGATTGGATTTTTAAGTTACTAAAACTAATACATATTGGAATTCTTCTATTTTTTTTTATTAATTTTCTGACAGAGAAAAAAAAATTGTGAAACATAAATAAAATAAAACCAAATGAAAATGAGTGAATGGTATTTCTAGTTTTTGTTGATGAGAAAGTGTGACAAGATAGTGAATATGTAATGATGGAATTGTTGATGGATACTGTTTGTATATATGTTATTATTTTTTTCGTTTCGACAACTCCATATTATCAGAATTATAGCTATATCTGGTTTATATATTAATAATTATTAGTTTCATAAACTGTAAAAATGAAGGTGAATAGATTAGCAAACAAAGTATACTTCACTGGGATCACGATTATATATATTCACAAATTTCTTATTTAGGATTGATGAATGTTTAATACAATATGAAATGATTAAAGAGAAACAACCATTAAAAGAGAGTTAAATGTACATATTTGATGCTTCCTCTGTTTTTTAGTTGTCGTTCTAGAGTTACAATTTTATTTCGTAAGAGTTGTCGTTTTAGATTTTAATGCAGATGTCCCATAAAATTTTTATTCTAAACTACATTATTTTAATGGTATAATCAATTAAAAAACTAAAAATATTGTAAAAAAAAATAGTAGAATACAAAATTTAATCATTTTTTGTCGGTGTGAAAAATCTTAAACGACAACTAATTTGAAACGGACATAGTATTGGTTTTGCATATGTCAATGTGTCTTTATCACACACACTCTCTCTGTCTCTTACACATTAATTTTTTCTTTATGGATTATTTTAAGGTTTGTTTTTATTTACAAGTACTAAAGTATTTATACTACTTTTGAATTGCGACGGCGAATAAAAAGAGAACAAAAAATGTATAAAATTTTGAAAATCTACAACTAAAAAAACTACAAATTCAACAAAAACACGACCATGTAATTAACAGCCAACATAAGTTAAGATTATAACAACTATAACAAGGTTAATTTTCTTAAATGTTAATATTTTTTTTCAATAAAAAAAAAGAATAGAAAAAGAGAGAAACATACTTGCCCAATAGAAAGATCTAAATCCTTCATAAGTCCTATCTCAGCACCTGATGTATAACCAGTCTGTTAAAAAAAAACAAAATCAATATAAAATAAATTACTTAAGAAATCAATTTTTTTTCTTTTAATATGAATTATGCATAGGATGGAGAAAAGAACTCACAGCAACACCAAAAGAGAAGGAAGCACATATGGCAACAACAGTGCTAAAGATAACACAAGTAGTAATACGACACTCCGGATCGTCGTTTTGTTCATTACTCTGCAAAAGTCCTTCTTCTACGCTTCTTTTATCTTCCATTACCACCATATCTGATAAACTTAGTTTTTGGTCCTAACAAAGAGAGAGAGAGAGAGAGATGAAGAGACTAGAGCAAAGAGATATATAGAGAGAATGATGTATTTGTCAAAGTGGGCTTTGGTATGTAATATAAGGTTGGGTGGTCAGTGGTGATATGATTATGATTCCATGTCACTCAAAATCAATTTTTTTGGTTGTTTTGGTTTTCTACTCTATTGGGTTGGATTGGATTGGAAAAAGCTAACGTGGACGTGAGACATTTTTTCCTATCTCGAGTCAAGTTTTATCTCATTTAAGTTTTAGAAAAAAAAAAAAATACAGCTATGTTTTGAATATTTTTACTCTTATCATTTTCTAAATTTAACATGTTCAAAAAAAAAAAATGATTGTATTATAGGTAAGTGAAGAAAATAACATTTTGACTTATCATACGTAAACAATTGCCCATCAAGTTGGCTCATTTGACTTAGCTTTTATGTACTTGATGACAAAAAAAAGATTTATCATACGTAAATATAGTTTAAGCTATGATATTATGATCGATGTAACCATAAAATAGACATTTTTAAAAAAAAAGATGATGTCGAGTGAAAAATGTATTCAACAAAGTTTTTTTGGTTAAATAATGTATCATGGATATTTATGTAATTAATGTAATATTAAGATTTTTATTTTATGTAATTTTATTTCCACTTATAAGATTTATGCAATTATCTAGATACTAAAAAATATTATACATGCTAATATATCTACATACATTGAATGAAAATTTTATTCCATGTTATAGTATGACATTTTTGGTAAAAAGCTATTGTAATTTTAGACCCAAAAAAAATCTCATAAAAATAAAGGAAATTTTCTTACCACTTAGGGTGAATACAGATAATTTTATCTAGAAATATTAATCAGTATTTGATCTCTATCTATCCGACTATTACAAAACCAAAGTTTCAAAATTATACACAGAAATACATCTACAATTTGAGCAAAGTTGTTGGCCTTTCAATTCTTAAAATTTAATTTTATTCAGTTTGCTCCTTAATCCCATTTTATGAAATATTAGGAGAATATATAAACCAAAGTTCAAGTCTAACTATAGAATATTAAATGTTTTGTTTGCAACAAAATATTAAATACTTGTAATCATATTAATGAATGTTGCTATTTTTTTACTTAAAAAATGTTTTATAGATATGAGATTTGTACTTAAATTTTTGAATTTAGTATTTTTTATTTTAATAAAATGTGCTTTGTATTTTGTGTTTTGTGCTAAAATGCATTTTCTTTTACAAATACTAAATCTTAAGAAAAATGGAACAAAAATAATCCATATATAATGTGTAAAATTGTATTTTTAAATCTAAAATATTTCAGGTAAATTGGCAAAGTCCTTATCTAGTAATTAACTCTAGTTTATCCCTCAATCATTGTCCAAACTGCCTATTTCTGGTTTGACTTGAGTTGCATATTTCGCGTTATGATTTCATTGACAATTTCATTTATGCAGTTGAACAAAGCTAGTTTGTACAAGCAAGTACTTAGCTGTCATTATGATTTCATGAAATTAGATAAGCAACAATGTTTTCAAAAAGGTTGGAACTAGGATTAACATATGTATTAATATATATTTTGGGATGAAAATTCAATCCTTGGATGTAAAATTTTTTAACAATTAATTTTTCTAATAAATTCAGAAAATAAATTATTCCTCTTCCACAACCCCATTTTATATGACAAGTGCCAAGTGGTGTCAATGTGAGCTGCCGACAAGATAGAGGACTCAATTGATTCTTTAATTTCATGCATGTTTTACTTTACCATATGCTAGAATTGTACTTGTCTCATGTGTCATTATATACTTTGTAGAATTCAATTTTATAACAAAATGCTCCACCTTTTATATTATTGCTGATAGGGAAGAATTTTCGACATTTTTTCTATCTTTTATTTCTCGTAATTTGAATGTTAAGGCGGATTCTTTGGCGCGATATGTTCGTACCATACCGCATCTTGTCAAGTTTGTAAACAACTGTCCTCCAAATTGGCTCGTTTGAACTGATCATGTTCTTTTGATAAAAAAAAAAAAAGAGAAAAAAATGCTCGATGAGTGTAATCAAGGAAGTCACGTAACAAAAGAGGGGCTAGCACAATCTATGTCCAACTCCAACCCACGATTTGGTCCCCCACATTAATCATTCAACTAATACATTTTTGGGGATTACTAATTGAAAAAGAGAAGATGTTTCAAGACTAATTACTACGATCATACTATAAATATTGTTGTAGAAGTTGACAAAGGTTACTAGTCAGCCTTACCACTAGATAAGCTTTCTGATACGTGATAAATGTTTTAGAACGATTATATATATATATATATATATATATATATATATATATATGTGGATTTGTTTAAAAGAAAATTAACTAAACTAAACTAAAATAATGTACTTGGAACTAGATTAGGACCCCAGATTTATTTATTTGGCATGTCCTCTTTTCTGAGAACAAAAGTACGTTATAGAAAAGAATATTACTAAGCATATTTATTTACATCTTACTATTATTAAAAGAAATACACATTTAATCATTACTAAAATTTGTGTTAAATTTCTAAAAATTACCCTCAATTACAATCAAAGAAAAACATTTTCTGAAATTAGAAAAGATATTTTATGTAAACTAGATAAAATTCAATCAATTACTTGACCCGATATGCGGGTACCTACGCGTTTGCCCAGCAACCGGTGTTCGATCCGTTTTGAAAACAATCATTGATTGTATTTTATTGATGGGCTTATCTTTTGCTCAGTTATTCAAAACTAATCACTTGTATTCAATATTGTCGACCCATGCAGGAAGTGGCTAATGGAATGGACAAACCCCCTTTAGCAGCTCTATTACAAATGCAACAACCATGTAATTTATATATAATTTACAACTATGTTAATTAGCAAAAAAAAAAGGAAACTATAAAATATATTTTTCAAATTTTGAAACATATCTTATAAAATTCAAATTTATCGCATGAAATAAAATCATGCGGTGTACCGTGAATTCAAACCTAGTTTTAGTGTTATTACATCTATAAGTTAAAAAATAAAAATAATCATCATTAAGTTTACAAACTCTAAAATCTCCCTTTTCAAAATGTTTTTAGGGTTTTGATTCAATGTCTCACGAAGTTGAAATGGGCACTCGCGACTCTTGAATTCTCTAGATGGTCCATGATTATCAATGTTAGAACCACGATGTTGATTCCATGTACTAGAAGATTTTGTATTCGTATGTGTTATTTTCAATAAATTTTTGTTAGTTTATAGGTTTTGATTTCTTTGGTAAGTTTGACTGATATGATGTGGATTCTGAAGAATAAGAAAGTCTTTTCGGATACTCAAAGTTGAAGATCAATGAAATATTAAAGAGAAGACAAAGGGACTGTGAGAAAGAGGAGAGTTCTTTTTATTATTATTGTATTTTAATCGATATTTCTCATACAAAATACATATTGTAAATGTTCTTATAAAATATTACTTTCTACACTTGTAAATTAAATTTAGAGTTTTGGAATTTTTAATTCCAAGTACAAAATTTAAAAATTAAAATTCAAAATTCAAAAATTAAAATTCAAAATTCAAATTTAAAATTGAAATTTAGATCTCTATAGAATATATAATTGTATATAAGAAAGCACTATATTAAACAAAAATATGATAGCAATTCCAAAAACCACTACGATAAGTCTTCGACCTATTATAACGGGCGATGATAGAGCGCTTCTTAAAATGCTATATTATCGTTATATACCGTTATTTAGACGATGTGAAAAGTGATTATCCTTGTAGTGCGACAGCATTAAAACCATTACAAAACATTTAGATCCAAAAGCAATAACCATTACATTATAAATATGTTCTTATCAAATCAACATTGCAATCGAATCAGCAAAGCACTTTATTCAAACCAAACATGATCATCCAACCTAGATATAATAACAACAATCATTAGTTTTTTCAAACTTGATTTGGCTTCGGACGAGCATCTTCTACCTTCTCAAAGATTTTATTCTCTACCTGCATTTGGTTCTTCTCAAAATCCATCTCCTGGTGCTCTACATGTTGTTCCTAAACGTTTTTGAAAGCCAAAGTCTCTAGCTCATCCAAAAATGGCTCATCAACCCATTTGAGACATGATTAATTATCATCTGTGAGATACATTCATATCAATTCAATAGGTTAAATAACAATGAGTAACCAAAAAAAAAAACAATTTATACAACTATCCAGAAATCTTAAGTCTTGCAGAAAAAGCACAACGATAGTAACATTGGTAAGGATTGGGATATGACTCTGAAATCTTTGCCATGATATCAACCCCGCACAAAAACATCTCTAACACACACAAAAATGTTCTTCTTCTTTTTTTTTTTATTTTTTTTTTTTTTTTTTTTTTTGTAAACACACAAAAATGTTCTTCTTTGTTGAGGATTTGATGTTCAGAGTGGAAATTTTGGATGCATTACTCATTGTTCAACTTCATTTTAATGTTTTTCAATCAAAACTTCAATGTGATTCAATTTGATTAAAACCAGAACAGATTTGAACCAGAGTTTTTTTAGGGTTCTTACATTTAAGATTTAAATTGGGGATTTTATGAACAAATACTGATATTTGGGTTACGGTTAGGTATTGACTCGACCTTAGTTTTTAATTTGTTTTCGTCAATGAGTTTCTTGGAGGGAGAGGGGAAATACATCGTCATTCCAAGATATATATAGGTTAAACAAACATAATTAACTATTTTTAAGTTGATGGACAAAACTGTTTCGTCATTAGCTCGTGGCGTGTGTTAGCCCCTCCAAAAGAGCGAAAAGTATGACCTTTTTGAGTATACTTGGGAGAGGTTTTGATTTTTTGGAGGAAAATTTATAGAAAATCTAGTCCCGACAAAAGTAGACTATGGGCCTTGGCACATAAGACCATAAAGGCCCATAAAACTATATTTATTAGTTATACATTTGTGAGTATCTTAAAAAATAAGTTAATACTATTAAATTTAAAGACACTTTCATTTTGTAATTTAAAATGTCTCTCCAAAGATACTACTCTTCCTATTTACTCATTTAATTACATCCTATTTTTTTTCTTTGTGTTTATCATTTTTATATTAGAGACACTCTCGTGGAATTATCAATAAAAAATGCTCTAACTTCCTGTAAGAGAAAATGAGTATATGAGATTTTTGATATACTTTCACTTATATTTGTTTACATGGTTCATTATTGTAAACTTTATCATATGACCTTTTGAAAGTCATTAAGAGATGAAACTTCACAATTTAGCAAAAACAAGTGTCAAACTTATTAGAAAAATCTATTTATAGTCAAATAAAATTTTACACTTAATTATTAAAATATCTCTATATATAGTATAATATAATGACACATATCAAAAAGTTAGCCTATTATATGTATACATTTAATCAATTATTGATATGTTTCCAAACCTGATTAGTTGTATGTATATATAATGTTGGATTTTCATTGGATATTTAGTAAAACTTATCTAATTTTAGTGTTTTTTTTCTTTTGATAATAAAAACTAAATATAGTTAACAATCAATAATTTTGTTTGTTCCTATGTATTATTTTATTTAACATTAGCCAAAATTTGACTAATAATAACTAAATATAGTTAAAAATTAAGAATTTTGTTTGTTCCTATGTATTATTTTATTTAACATTAGCCAAAACTTGACTAATAATAACTAAATATAGTTAAAAGTAATAATTTGGTTTGTTCCTATGTATTATTTTATTTAACATTAGCCAAAATTTAACTATTATTTTTTTCATACATGTCAGAATTTGAGTAATTGCAATTATGTCATTATGTTAATTTTTAGTGTATTGTATTAATAGAGAAGTAAACAACACTGGTTTTGAAACTGTTATATAAGAAAGTGTAACAATCATATCTTCACATAATCAAAAACTTCTCAACATCAAAGAAAAAAAAATATACAAAATTTGTCTGCTCTTCTTGTCTCTCTCTTTTCTCGCTTAGCCGTTTAAAGCTATAACAAAGCCCTGAGACTTGTAAAAGCCTCCAACTTTACAAATCTCAGCCGCCACTTTTGTTCAAATGGCAAAGAAGAAGGTGTCACGTAACTCCAATGGAGCTTCCAGTGAGGAGCAACAAAAGCAGAGCCAGAGAGATGCTTCGATGACTTACAAGAAACCGGCGGAGCTGAATGGAGAGTTTTCAACGAAGGACAATGACTCGTCGGAGGAAAAGTTTCAAAATTTGAAGACACTCAATGCGATTCTTCTCAAGCAAACGATGGAGAAGAGACAAGAGATCGAGTCTCTGTTCCAGGCGAAAGATGCGTTGGAGGCTGAGCTGACCCGTTACGGAAAGGAGAAGACTTTGCTGAAGGATGAGTTGCGTGGTTCGGGTGATGAGAAGTTGATGTTGAAGATTCAGATGGATCTGTTCATGGGTTTTGTTGAGAGTCGTGTTAGGGAAATGGGTTTTGAAGTAGATGGGTTGGTTAAGGAGAAGAGTGATGGAGAGTGTGAGATTAGGGGTTTGAAGAGAGAAGTTAATGTTTTGATGGGGAAGTTGGAGAGTGAGAGGGATGAGTTTAGTAGGGTTTGTGGTGAGAGGGATTTGATTAAGAGTGGGTTTGATTTGCAGTGTGAGGAGATGAATCGATTGAAGGAGAGTGTGGTGAAGTTAGAGATGAAAGAAGTGAGTTTGGGTGAAGAAGTTTGGAGATTGAAATCTGAGAATGGTAGATTGGTGAAGGAGAGGGAGGAGAGAGATGAGTTAATTGAGCAGGCTAATAAGGAGAGGGGTGAAATGGAGAAGGAACTTAAGGAGAAGATTAGGGAGATTGATGGATTGAAGTGTGAGATCAAAGGGGTTATGAGAGAGAAGGTGGAGATAGAGATGGTTAAGCGTGATCAAAAAGAGATGATCTTGGAGTTGGAGAAAAAGTTGGGAAATTTGAATGAGATTGTGAAGAGTTTGACAAAGGAAGAGGTGAAGTTGCGTGATCAGGTTATTGGGTTAGAGAAGAATCTTGATGAGGTTATGGAGGAAGGGAAAGTGAGGGCAGAGCAGATAAATGCATTGGTGAAAGAGAAGTCTATTAAGGAATCTGAGCTTGAGGGTGTATTGGTGGAGAACGTTTCAATTAAGAAGGAGATGGAGATGGCTCTCCTGAAATCCTCTGAAAAGGAAAAGTTGGTTGACCAATTGGTGCGCGAGAAGAATGAGCTTGTTGAGCGTATTGTTAACCAGGAGGCTGAGGTTTTTGAGCTGAGTAAACTGGCGGATGAGCAAAAGCATGTTGCATTGCAGCTGCAAAAGGAATGCGATGAGCTAACCAAGACTAGTGAGAAGCTTAGCAGCAATGTTAGCCAGCTGAAGGATGCTTTGGTGCTAGCTGAGGTTGAGAGAGACAATGCTGGGAAGGCTCTTCAGGATAAAGTTTTAGCATTGGAGAAAATGGTTGAAGCTACTGGTAAAGAGCTTGAAAAGATTAAGGCTGAGCGAGGGAGATTGATTAAAGAGAAGAAGGAATTGGAGAATCGATCTGAGTCATTGAGAAATGAGAAGGGTATCCTTCAGAAAGATATAGTAGAACTCAAAAAAGCTATGGGTGTTCTGAAAACAGAACTAGAGTATGCTAGAACCAATGCAAAAAACAGTCTAACAATGCTGAAGAGTGTGTCCACTCTAGTATGTGGATTAGAAAACAAAAAAGGCGAGAAGAAGCGTGAAAAGGGAATGGATTCTTACTCTATGGAGCTCGAAGCAATCAAGAAAGCGTTCAAGAACAAAGAAAGCATGGTTGGGGAAATGAAGAAGGAAGTTGAGAAAATGAAGCATTCGGTTCAAGATGCAGAGAAGAAGAAGAGCTTTTGGACCCTTGTATCATCTATTACTTCTCTCTTTATGGCTGCTTCTGTTGCTTATGCTGCTTCTATCAAGTGAACCACTTGAAGATGGTATTACACCTCTAAGTCCCAGAAACCTTACCGCATCCCAATTCTAAAAATTTTGTTGTTTAACTTCTAAACCATTGTGAGCATCTTATGAGATGTAAACTTTTTCTTATCCCTTTCATGTCTATCTCTTTGTCTGTGATTCTACTACTTTTCTCTCAGAACATGTAGTTGATTTTCAGAAACTCTAATAAAATTATCTGTTTCATATTCATATATTAAGCTTTTTTGGTATCATGTTTTGAGTTTAAGCATATAAATTCCACCTTCCTCCATGAGACATTTTGGTTTTACATTTAAATTATAATTACAAGACTTATACATCAAATCTTTGCCCATGATTATTACATTGCAATAACACCTATAAGTGAGTAAGAACATGAGACATGTTTAAATTTGAACGTTATGTGTTTAATGAGTTTGATTTCTGCAAATGTTTGCTTAGACATCTTCTTCTCTTATACATTAAGAGAACAAGTTACTAGAGTTACAACAACTTATATAATTATACTAAAACACAAAAAAAAAACTTATAACTAAACATATTGTTAAACAAAAAATTATATTAAAATTTGTTGTATAGAGTGATGAATTTGGATTTGATTATTGTTTACTCTAAACCTCATGAACAAAAATTGAAGTATGATCATCTTTCAGAAGCAATGGCTCAGAATCATAGACAGTACAAGGTTCCTTTAATAAAATGAGCTAAATTACTCTGAAATTTTTATCTTTAAACCTAAAATTGCTTATCTAGAACACGTGGTTGATATTTCCCTTTGCTAAAAATCCAATTTTTTGGTCTCATTTGATGAATTCTTCATCCAATTCAGTATTATTGTTGCAAATCCTAAACTGGGTCAGACTTAGTTTTCACAAAGAATCTGTTATTGCTGAATGGTTATGTTGTTACATACTAGTGTGGGACGAGTATCTCCATTTTCAAACCCACCGAAGTCTTTTGTCTTCCGTAGTTATTACAGTTACAGATGCATAGTTTGTTCATCTGAAACAGGGGTGTCCACAAGAAGACAAGCGCTTGAACTAGTTGATTCTAAGTTGTCTAGTGGAGACGAAAGAGCTGCTCTGTCCCTTGTCAAGGATCTCCAAGGAAAACCAGATGGGCTTCGATGTTTTGGTGCTGCGAGGCAGGTTTGTCTTGTCTTGTTCATATCATTGTTTCATGTCAGAAAGAGTTTTGGTTTCAGATGCAATCTGTGTATGTAATCGTCATCATGTCATTGTGACTCTTCTTCTCTGTATCTTTGATGGAACTGGTTGGTCAATGTTTAAGCTTTTGTGTCTTTAGCATCAAAGTTTGATACTTTGATAATTTTAGCTTAAAATTTGGTCCCTTGGAATGTATCATAATGTCAATGTGAATCTCCTTCTCTGTATCTTTGATGGAACTGATTGATCTATCATCTATGTATCATTAAAGGTTTATGCTTTTGTATCATTATCATCAAATGTTTATGTTAAGTTTAAAACATTGTCCCGTGGAAGGTATATCATAATGTCAATGTGAATCGCTTTCTCATGGATCTTTGATGGGAAAGATTGGTCTATGTTTCTTTTGTTCGTAAATTGTAATCATCAAGATTATGCTTTGGTAGGTTTAGCTTAAAACTTGGTTCCTTGGAGTGTATTTTAATGGCTATGTTTCATGAACTTTGATAGAATTTGATTGATCTAAAGTCTGGCTTTTGTGTCAAAATCATCAAATCCGTGATAAGGTTTTGCTTAGATCTTGGTGTCCTTGAACTGTTGTGGTGTTCTTCTAAAACTGTGATCACGTAATCAGTGAATCTCATTTCTTGTCTTTTTTTTTCCTTCTTTACCTGTGTTTTATCTAGGTGCCGCAGAGACTCTACACATTAGAAGAACTGAAACTGAATGGTATTAACGCAGCTTCACTTCTCTCGCCAACAGATACAACGCTTGGCTCCATCGAAAGAAACCTTCAGATCGCTGGTGTCTCAGGGGGAATAGTTGCTTGGCAAGCCTTTGACTTGAGTTCTCAACAGCTTTTTTATCTAACTCTTGGGTTTATGTTCCTGTGGACTTTGGACTTGGTAACTCAAAAGATGACTTGATATTAAAAAAAAATACACACAAATATAGTCTCTTAACGATGCAATTGTGTTGTTATAGGTCTCATATAGTGGTGGAATCGGGAGTTTGGTTCTTGATACAGTCGGTCATACATTCAGTCAACGATACCACAACAGAATTGTTCAGGTAAGCTTGAGGCCCAACGATTACTCACTCTGATACAAATCTGTTTTATGAACTAGATGTGAACATTTTAACCTTATCATCTTTATTGAAGTTATCGCGAACTAAGGATCCTCTATAACGCAGCACGAAGCAGGTCATTTCTTGGTGGCCTACTTGGTCGGGATTCTACCACGCGGATACACACTCTCAAGCCTCGAAGCTTTGCAGAAAGAAGGATCTCTCAACATTCAAGCTGGCTCAGCCTTTGTGGACTATGAGTTCCTCGAAGAAGTACATAACCCTCCTCTCTTTCTTCTTTCACATCCCTTAACAGTAACTCATTGAAATCCAAGTCTTTTAACACTTTTCGCCAACCTAAATCCGCAGGTTAATTCTGGAAAAGTCTCGGCTACCGTATGTTTTCTCTTACTTGTCATAGAAAAGTTCTTGTAAAACAGTTTCAACCTCCTTAGCCCAAACTAAAACTAAAGTGTTTGCTATTCCAAAACCAGATGCTGAACAGATTCTCATGCATTGCTCTTGCTGGTGTAGCAACTGAATATCTCCTGTATGGTTATGCTGAAGGTGGCCTTGACGATATCAGCAAGGTCTCTAATCTTCTAGTTAAGTAAATATACTCAGAATCTACACAGCCCAATGAGACGTTTTAACTATGTTTTGTGGTGTTTATGGAACAGTTAGATGGTTTGGTGAAGAGTTTGGGGTTTACACAAAAGAAAGCAGACTCTCAGGTGAGGTGGTCAGTACTTAATACCATACTGCTACTACGGCGACATGAGATAGCTCGAAACAAGCTCGCTCAGGCTATGTCCAAGGGTGAATCTGTTGGATCTTGTATCCAAATTATTGAAGATTCTATTGATCCATCTGATATCTAGAAATCCAGTGTCTTCTCTTGTATTTTTGGATTAGATTCATATATCAATGTAAAGAAGCATTTTTATACATTAATAAAAGGTAACATCATATAACTAACACGTGTTTATTAGTAGTCCTTTATTATCTTATAAATCACAAGTCACCTAACCAATAATTTTTTTGCACATTGGCTTGGTTTCGTAATTTAAATTACTCCGTAGATAATTTATTTTTGTATGGCATTCTCTCTTCTCAATTCTAATGAGATATTCGCTTGATATTATTTGTTTTTTACTGTATGAAATTTTTCATTTTTACATTCATGATTTTGTAAAAAAAATTATATATGCTACTGTTGTGAAATCTGATTATCATGAGATTTTCAATGCACATTGCTAAAGACATTTTTCCACAAAACTTACATAGGCGCTTGTAACTCAAGGTCCTGATTCAATATCCTAATACAAATACAAGTATATCATCTTATCCCCTAATACATAGGAGCAAAGTAAAAGTTGCATATTGTCCAACAAAGATTAAGACTACATAGATGTAACAAAGATAAATGGGAAAAAGTTTTGAAGACCACACAAAGTCTGAGATTTAGTCAGAATATAACTATTCTAAAAGATGGTAATATGATTTGGTATCTACTGAGAAATCTTAGAGAGTAGAAAATTTATGAACAGTGACGAGAAAATCTGGTGAACTAGTGATTTGAAGAATTGGTTGATTTTTCTGAGCCATGGACCATGAGTTTGTATGTTTGGTTGTATGAAGTATATTTTGGACATTATGTTTAGTTTTGATTATATACATAATCTTATATGCATGTCATTGTCATTAAAAGAGCCTTTAAAGAGTTACAAAAAGATTTTAATATATTATTATAGTTTGCAATGCACAAAGACATATACTAACATTTTGAAGGTGTGAGATTAGACAATGAAAGTGCTCTTTTGACGCATTCTATTTATAGTTTATACAAAAAGGTATTACATCTACCAAAATATAAAAGATATAAGAAATTATAATTACTTTAAAAACTTCTACCTTAAAAACCTCTTAGTCATTCAAAAAAATAATAATAAGCAGAAACTATACTTTTAAAACTTAATTCAAACACTTCATGTCTTTATGGAAACCTAATCAAAGAGTAAGGAAAACAGCGCTTCTGTTAAGAAGATGAAAAGTTAACAGCTGCTGATTCAGAAGACGCGAAAGTTGCCGCTGTTAGTTAAGAGGAAGGGGAAGCTGCTGAACATATGTAACCTAGGATCAAAGCAAAATTTAAGAAATCATTATGTAAGAATTCGTGCTATATATGAGCAATTTTATATAGTATTGCCTATAATAAAATATATACATTTAGTTTCATTGTATTTCAAATATTTTAGTGATTTTGTTCGGTTTTATCATATGTTCTTAACACAATTCAAAAATTAAAACAAATTGTTTTCAAATAGCTTAATCTCCATGTTTAATTGGTACCATATTGTATCAATGGGTTAATAACTTTATGATGAATATATATATCCACAAACACACATGCATATACTACATTAAATATATTTGTACAAACATACCATTTTATAAATTATACACATATGTATATAATCTATAAAGTGTGTTAACTACATCATTTTGAATTCGAAAAAAATTGAGAAAAACAATATTTAATTATAAATTGCTAAGTAACAGTTATAAATTAGGGGTAAAGGTGGAACTAAAAAATGTGTTTGTTCAATTATTTAAATGAAAAAATGTTGTTAGATATTTAATTTATATTTATTTGTACATCATCTATTAACCAAGCCCATGAGTATACCATCAAAATAATTATAAATTGTGGTGTCGTAGGCATAGTAAAATATCATTTCTTTATGTTGTCAGTTATTTAGTTTGTGTCAAAAATATATGTCTCTATAAGTTAAAGACTAGGACCATAAACAATTATATCAATGTATTTTGATTTTGTAACAATAATATTTACTTAAATTCTTTTGAAAACTAACTATTTGCTATATCCTAATTAATTTTAACAATTTTCATTTGCAGTGTTACAGCTACATATTATAATAGTTAAAGTCAAATGTATATAAAACATGTCAAAAGTATTATTATACCATCATTCATTCTTTATTTTCATTTTGATCTTTATAATTCATCTAGAACTAAATGATCTGAATTGATATTTTATTGGTTATAATCATTATTTTCAACCTACCCCTATATTATGTTCTGATTCAATGAGCTTGATGTATACATTATGAATACAAGTATTTGTGAATGTATATTCTAAATATTAAGCAAATGTCTTTGTTTTTTTGTTTCTTTTGCTTAACATTTTTCTAACAAATCAAATTTGAAACACGCTCATGAGTTATTAACATTATATGTATAATAGAATATGATATAGTCTCCTTTAGCTTAATCTTTTCTTGATTCACATGTACATATATATAAATAGAAAATGTATGATACACATTTTGGTTAATGAGAATTTTACTTTTATACTTGAGAAAGTTAATATGAGTTACTCAAATATTGAGATATGTCACTCAATACACACATGAAGAATAGAGAGGCTCATACTTCTTGAACGTGGGAAGAAATCTATATATAGACTAATGATGGTTTCGGAATAGTAAACTAGTGATAACCAACGATTATGGTATTGTAGGTTTCGAAATGGGGACTGAGGTTTCGAACTTTCCAACTACAAGAAAACTGAACTTTAACTTTCAATTTAGGTGGACTGAGATCAAGATCGAGATCCGAAATGTGTGTAGTTCTGGTGCTATATGAAAGTTCTTGAAGGAATACTGATTGTTTTCCCATGATACAGAAGTCGTGACCAATACAACAGATGATGTTCAAGTAAGGTTGTGACATCATTGCTTTCGTTTTTCACCTCTTGGACAAAACACTAGTTCTAACAATATCTTATGTCGGAAGTTGAAACCAAAGCATCTGACGTAAGTGTCACGTAACTTGTTTATCATATCCTCTTCTCTTACACTTCATTTTTCGAGTTCATCACGTAACTCTATTACATCCATTCGTAAAATTGAACTGAAGATTTCACAATTACTCAATTAGTTGGCTTGTCTGCAACTCTGCATCAATTAACGTTTAGCATTCAATGTCCAAGAGTGTTCTCCAAACTCAACTCAGACAAAAATAGAAGAAGCCAACACTGTTTCAGAAAACTTGAAACAAAATACATACATGATACATACTTAGGACAACATACCATTCAAAAGATCATAAAGAGACTGACATAGTTAAACTCATAATCTAATCTCTAAAGTTAAAAATAATAAAACATTGACCTAGTCAAAAATCAGATCGTGGAAGAAGAAGACCTAATTTAACTGTAAGAAGAGAAAATCATCGGATCTGCAAAAGACGACGGTGTCTGAGTCCACCCTGCAAACTGATCAAAGTGGACAAGTGGGGTTTGTGTCTGCATCTGAGGAGGAAACACCATGGGAATGGGAAGATCAAAGTTGTTGCAGTTACTTCTTAGACCAGATCCTTGTGCCCCAAGTAAAGTTGTACTCGTCGATGGGTCAAAGCTAGAAACAGAGTCAGGGAGTTGACAGAAGCTACCGTTTCCATGGTTATAGAGAAAGACTGAGAATTTGCTCTGATGATGTTGACTCAATGATGACGTAGATAAGTCTTGCTCTGTTTTTGTCCATTGTTGATGAGGATCCTTGAAAGAAGAAGACACCACACGACACTGATCTGACTCTGTTTGGTTCTGGGGTTGGAGTAACTGCAGCTTATCTTGTAACATCCGTAGACTACTCTCTAACGAAGCCTGCATCTCCAAGACTTTCTCGTAGAACTTGTTGTCCTTGTTATCGAAAGATGTCTTCTTGTCATTGAGGATCTTCTTATTCAGAAACTGAGAAAGGTTGGTCCTTTTCTTGCGTCTCACTCTCTCGTTTAGTTTGCTGTATCTCTCGGCCATGTCTCGGACCTTAGACCTATCTTCCGGCCATGTCTTTACGAGTTCTCCGTCACGGCCATAGTAAATAACACAGACTTCGATGTCGCAGAGAATGGAAAGCTCCGAGGCTTTCTTAAACATGGTCTGTTCTCTCAAAGACAGATTCGTAGTGGTCTTTTTTGAAACAGAAGAGAGTGACGAAGGTTTCTTGAAACAAGTTTGGTTTCTCACAGACAGTTTGGTTTCCTTCTTCGTCGACATTGTTGTTGTTTTCACCAAAAGAAAAAACAGAGAAGAAGCTAGGGTTTGGTTAGTTTCTTATCAGAGACAAAAACAAAAACTTTGAGAGAATTGGGATGATAGTGTAACACACACGGTTCAGGGTAAATCATATATATAGAAGTAGAACTATATTGTTGTTTTCCATATTTGCTAACCGTTGTAGCATTAGATTTTCCATATTTGCTATACTAAAAACATTAATTATGATATCAAATCTAACCGTTGTAGAATTAGATTTTCCATATTTTTGAGTTGTGAATTTAATTAATTTCCTTTTTGTATAAGAGTATCTTCTCTTCATTAAATGATGAAGATACACTTTTATTAATATAACCGTTGAATTTTCCAATAATTGTATTTATATTTTTTTTCATTTATGTATGAGAAAATCTAAATTGGATATGATTTTCCATTTTACTAATATCAATATAACCGTTGTTGTAAAAAAAAAACTATATTATTAAATCACAGTTAACAAAATACCCTAATACTAGGTTTTAACCCGCGGTACACCGCGCGACGATTGTTTGGACTAAAAAATATATATTAAGTTATATTTGTTAATTTTATTACTTTTTTTAGTGTTTAAGATTGTGTAACTGCATTTTTGATTGTTATTATTATTACTTAACTCGCGGGATATTTTTTTTTAACTCGCGGGACTAAAAAAATTATGTTTAAGTTATATTTGTTATTTTGTTTGTTAACCCGTAAGATAATCCGTAAGAAAAAATATAAAACTCAAATCCGTTAAATCATATTTATGTAAAATATAAACCTTGAATGTTTTACAGTTTTCGAGAGAGATTTTGGTTTTTGTTTTCAAAAACCTCATTTTTAACCAATCAAGATTTTAAAATTTTGGATCCCCTAAAATTTAGTAAAACTTTTTTTTGTTGTAATCTTCCATTCAAGATTTTGGATTTTTAAGTTTCATATTAGTCATATTTATAATGGTTCCGAACCATTGTCTAAAATTTTCTACTCGATGTGGGACGTTATACATATATGTTTTTTCTTTTATCGATTGAGTAATATACGTCCGTTATCAAATTCAAATTGCTAAATATGCGAACAAAATTTGTATTTTTATTATACTTATGTTTTATGTAATAATGTAAATTTTAAAACAAATAAGATCATATAAAGATATTGGAGAGATATTCAATTTATTAGAAAGATATTTTAGGAAATTTTGTTAAATATAATAAATATTAGTTTCTAATTTTGCGATTCTGGTGTAATTTAATTACAAATTTTATCTTAAAAGTTTGTTATTTATTTAAATGGCAATGATTTATTATGCAAATAATACAAAGTAAAAGGTTATTTTCCAAAAGATACTTAAAAATGTTAATATAGATGGTATAAACACTAGTTTCGTATAAATACAATCACAAATTTGACACCTTCTCCATCATATTATTAGCTCTAATCTCACATCATCAGCGACTTGACGAAACTCTTCTCTCTCTGTGTTCCAAACTTTGAATTGACTAACGTTTCTTTCTCTGCAGTGTTTTATTTGATTAGTCTCTTTGTCTTGTTTCGTTTAATCTCTCTGTGTTTGTTGACTCACACGCAAGATGTTTGTGGTCTTAAGTGATCAGGATCAGGACAGCAACTAGCAAGTGGTGGTAACGAAAATGTAGTACATGTATGGGATCGTTCTGTGGCCTCGTCAAACTCAACTAGACAATGGCTGCATAGGTTTGAGGAACACACATCTGCTGTGAAAGCTCTTGCGTGGTGCCCTTTCCAGTCGAGTTTGCTTGCAACTGGTGGTGGTGTCGGAGATATGAGTATTAAGTTCTGGAATACACACACTGGTGCTTGTTTGAATTCAGTAGACACCGGCTCCCAAGTTTGTTCTTTGATATGGAGTCAAAATGAAAGAGAGTTGCTTAGCTCACATGGGTTTACACAGAACCAGCTTACACTTTGGAAGTACCCATCCATGGTGAAAATGGCTGAACTCACTGGTCATACGTCACGAGTTCTGCATATGGCACAGAGTCCGGATGGTTGTACAGTGGCTTCAGCAGCAGCAGACGAGACTCTTATGCTTTGGAATGTTTTTGGAGTACCAGGGACCGTCAAGAAAGCTGTTCCAAAGGTAGCTCCAGAGCCATTTTCTAATTTGAATCGTATTCGTTGAAACTGTGAAGACTAACAAGGAGTAAACCCATTAACAGTTTAAGAAGATTCATTTTTTTATGAATTTTGTATAGTTAATACAGAGCGGTATATGTTCATATGGCAAAAAATATATAAACTTCTCTTTGATATTTTACATAAATTAAGTTTGCATAAACTCTCTGCAAATTTCTAATCAGTGAATCAACAAGAAATTGAAACTACACTACCATTAACACTTCTACATGAACAGGTCATGGCTCGGGTAAGAGGATACCGTCACCACCGTACTGCAAAACACCGGACTTGTTTATGGGTTTGCATCTTTCACCCATTAGTATTCTCTTCTTGCACAGCTCCTCTTCTTAGTACTCTCACTCAAAGCTTCTTTGTCTTCTTTTACTTCTCGTCTTCATCAATCTTTGACCTAAGATTAGTATCTCCATTCGAATCCTTGCGATTTCCCAAAAGCTCTCCTTCTTCTGAACTGGGTTTTGCTTGCTTTTAATAGAAAAGGTCTCATCATCAGCTTTAGTAACATCTGCAGAACCATCTCTCTGTTCTTTGTTTTCACCAGCAAATGGTTTCTTGCGGAGAAAAAAAAGAACCTGTCAGACCGCCGTGCGACCACCCCGGCAAGGTAGAACCGAGCCGAGTAACGATCCTCTACAGCACCGGATGTATCCGAGGACGATCGTGGCCATTAATCACGCTCTGATCACACGGTCATGGTTCATCAACCAAGGTTAAGGGCCTGTCTCCTTAGAAATCAAAGAAACAGAGGTACGATACTATAGAACTGATCCTGTTCAAGTAAGGTCGTGACCTTTGTTGCTGACTTTGGCATAGCACAGTACATCACTTAATTAGGACATATACGGGCCAAGGCCCACGTATTTAGATTTAAAGCCCAATTGTCGTCCATACTCGTTTCCTTTTGATTTGCTCCAACTTTGCAATCGAATGAGGAACTAAGGACAGAAGTCATCATGGTTCCTCTGTCTTGATTTCAAATGGGGTTCTAGTGTTTTTGTAGGCATTGATCTCCTCCTTCTTTGTTTTGTACGAAACAATGGCCATTGTGTTTAATCATGCCAGGCGAGTCAAAAACAAACTTTGCATTGTACACGTTTTAGGTTTTAACCAGAAGTATCATAGCATTGTAACCTTTGTCCCCCAAATGGAATCATGCCATATGCAGAAGATAAAACCTAAAATGATGCTTCGGTTGTAACTTGTACCTATATCTATCGATCCACTCACTATTCTCCAACCCAAAACTCCAGATAGAGGCTACAAAACAATAAGATAAACCCTGTTGCGCGAAAACTTTTGCTCACAAATTTCCAAGAGCCGTCATCCTAAACCCGAGATACGGATGTCTAGACCACACTGTTACAACATCAACTCATTCTGAAACAGATTTACACATTCCATTTTGCATACAGTCAAAATGCAAACTTACAATCTCTCTCTCTAAGCCTAAGAACAAAAAAGCCACGATAATTTCGCAAAAATGTCTATCCAGAAACTTTACTAAAGGTCCCAACTACTTTCTCTAGCTGAAAACAGTATGTTCTTAGCTTGACACTTTAAAATCAAAGAGGTAGATTTCAAATCCAAATAACAAGGAAGCAAAATCAACCCTCCCCGATAAATTCAGAACATGACCAATTTATTATTCCCAAATGTTATTCATACTAAGATGGTACCATAAAGTAGCTATATACAGATATATAAAACACCAGATAATCACAAGATTGTACAGAAGGTTATTAACAATAACATAGGTCCAAACTCCAAACCTCTTTACAGAGGAAACTGGTCTTTGCTACCACCACCATCATTACCACCATCATCATCCTCATCAACGAAAAGATTCAACCCGGTAACATCCCACTTAGCATCTCTATAGTTAAAACTCGACCTGCTCACATAATACTTAACTTCATGAAACAAGTTGAGATTATCAACAAGCTTATGAAACACATTGCATCCACAACACTGCACAAAGACAGTGCCATCAGTATAAGCATGTGGGTTAATAGCTCTTGTAGTTCTCTGACCACAAACATTACAAGTGAAGGCAACACGCATTCGCCTACGAGGCGATTTCGTGAATAGTGACCATGGAAACGTCGAAACCGTCTCTGTACCATCGGGTTTAGCTGGTAAGGATGGTCCTTCCATACCTGAACCTGTTGTCCAGCCTTTAACAGAGGCTGCACTCAACACCAATCCCATTGCTTCATCCTATAAATCACATATCAATCAAAACCCTAATCTTAAATTCGAATTCCCACAACAAAAAAACAGAGAAATTATAAGGGAGATCGAGGTTGATTTTATACATTGGAGAGAGTTCGATTTTGGAAAAGAGGAACGAGGCTTGATGATGAGTTCGATTCAGATTGTTGTGGATCATAATCGTTGTCTTCTTTCTCTGTGATCAAAACAAACAAAAACAAGGATTTGAGAGAAAGATTCGAAAACGAAAATCACGATCTCGGGAAGAAATTGAAATTATACTCTTCGAGAGACGGACGATTCTGGGAGATGATGATGAGTCTGTTCTCTTCTTCGGAGAGAAGATGGAGAGAGGTGAAGATGAGGAGGAGATGCTTGTCGCTGCAGAGCTTAAAGCTGAAGCTTCCATGGTTTTGATCTGTGGAAGAAGAATCTATAACACAGAAATGAGATTTTTGTTTTTTCCCCTTTTGGTTTTTCGAGTTTATCTTTGAGTTTTTGTTTTTCGACTCATGCGTTTGTTTGTTTGTATTCGCTTGTGTTTGAGATATTTTGGGTTCGAATGGTTTTGGCAATTGGGATAATCTACCCATGACCACGGTTACGGTTATAACGGTTTTTATTAACCAACGGTTATAGTTATATATTTTTTTTGACCATTATATATATGTTTAAAACGGTTAGAATTAAGATTATAATTATTTGATGATTATGATATAGACAAAATTGTATAGTTTTTTACCATAAAATTTAACAGCACAAAAATAATATGTAATTATACTAATCAAATATTTATAGTAAATTAGTTAAACAAATGAGTTTTGTTTAATCAAACAAACCTAAAAATAATTAAATTAATGATCATAAATTTACAAATAATTAAATGAAATTATTTTTTAAGTTGATTAATGGAAATGAGTAGTGGATTGGATTAGATTTACAAGTTGACACATTAAACCATTAAAATTTTTTTTTTAATGAAATAATGGATCTTAAAGGTTTTACCATACAATTAATTATGCGGTTAACCGTACGGTTAATAACGGTTACAGTTAGTATTTTTTCTATAACCAAGTCTGATTTACCTTTATATTAACAGTTACAGTTTTTAACCGTTTTACATGGTTACGGTTCAGATACGGTTTGGTTACGGAAAAAAAAAATGGTTACAATTACATTTTGCTTATGCCTACCAAAACGGAACTTTGTTTGTCCTACAAGTAGAATTGTATAGCTACATTATAGTATAAGATATTCATCACAGATCGTTAAAATTTAAACCACTAAAGAATTAATCCGTTTTATCTGCAACATCCTTTGAAAACCAGATTTTTTTTTGTCATCTGAGTTTATTTATAAAAGCAAAGGTACATTTTGGAGCTACAAAAGCCGACGGAAGAACTACAAATCCCCAGAAACCAAACCCGACAAAAGGGAGCAAATACAAAAAAAAAGGAAACATAAGCCGACGAACGATAGAAATGTTCCTGGAGTCACACAGCCGGAGGAAAACGAAATATCCCTGGACTCTAAGCCCTATGGAAAAGGGACCTAAACACTGAATATACAAAGCAAATATTTCAAACAAATACGCAAAAGGCGAAACCATAAACTAGACAGAAGCACTAGGCTAAAACCTTAAGCGGAAAGCGGAAATAAAGACTAAAGAACACAAGGAAACACTTCTTCTCAAGCACCTGAGGATGAAATTTATTTAGGATGCCCTCGGCCATTGAAAATCAGATAAAAACAATAAATAATAAGATTTTTTTTTTTTTTCTTTTCTCACCTGACTAAATATTGAATTGGAATGTTTACAAATATCTTCTTTTATACAATTTGTTCTTTACCAACAGCTTTATACAGATCTTTAACTACACTGCTAACAAATCTGTCATCTTTCACAGAGCTTCTTATCATTTTCTCATAGAACAATATCCCTTTCTCCGCGTTACCATAGCTCAAGTATCCCTTTAGGATCGTGCGCTTGCAAGCACTGTCTGGAGTTATACCAGCTTCAGACATCTTATGGTATATCCTTTCGGCCTCATCCATCATCCCATTTTTGGCGAAAGCAGAGAGCAATGAACTGAAATGGCTGTGAGATAGCGGGATGCCTTTCTCTTGCATGAGAGTTATCGTCTTCTCTGCTTCTGCGTACTGTGAACTCTCGTCATAGGCTTGAACTAAAGTGAGGTATGTGGATGATGGGTCGGTACATCGACCACTTCTTTCCATTGCTTGAAGAAGTTCATCAACCTTGCCATGGAGCTTACTGGTTGCACAAGTTTTGACCATCATGTTGTAACTAGGCTGCAATGATTCTCCCCAGCATTAGCAATACTATCCATTGTAGGATTTTAAGAAATATCTCATAATGTTAAGCCACTAAATAGACCTTTTGAACAATTTGGCTTGATAAAACCTACCATTCCAGGTTTAATCCCTTTCTTCTGCATTTCAGTAAACAATGCCAATGCTTCATTCATCTTTCCTGGAAAGAGAAATTTTTCATTTGTTACTGTAACTAACCAGAATCAAGACCGATCAATGCTACACAAAGGTTTCAGGTCTACGAGATATTGTGATCTATATCATATACAACACATAGATATAATTCTCTCCATTAAATACATACCAGCCTTTCCATAATGCATGATCATATTTGTGTATATTTTCTCGTCCAGATATAATCCCGATCCACGAGCATCACTAAAAATCTCAATTGCTTTGTCCAGCTGCAGACCACGCCCATACACGCTGTATCACCCACCAAGATGGTTGGAATATTAGATGATGACCAACTTCAGTGTTATACATAAGGAACCAGATTTAATGCAGTTACCTGATCATTGTGTTGTAGGTCTGAATCGAACAAGGAACACCTGAGCTACGCATCTGCTCATAAATGTCGGATGCACATTGAAGTTTACCTGTGACAACAGAGGTTTGAGTGTAGGTTTCCTGCCCCATAAACCTCAACTGGAATTAATAAATGAGATGTTCTAATCTACCTGCTTCTAGCATTGCCTTGATAAGAGTATTATATCCCACTGTGTCAAGCTCCATGTTATTTTCAAGGCAGGTCTGTGATATATGTTCTGCTTCTCGGTGTTTCCCTATGAATACAACGGTTTAACATTGCGATTAATACAAACATTGAACGTTTTTTATAACTAATGTCGGCAAGTAGTTGGTTATAATGTAACAGTTCAATTTCAACTGTCATTCAGATATCTTCAGCTCAAATTTCGTCGTGTGCCATAATAAGATTAAATTATCACAGTTGGGGCCCTGAAATTCTCTAAAGTTCTTTGGGAAGATGCAATTTTCCATTTAAGATACCTCGATTTGTTAGAGCATTCACAAGTATGCTGATTGTAACAGCACCCGGATCACAGCCCTTTTCTGCTGATTCCATGAAAAGTCCATATGCATCTTCCAGCCAGCCACATCTGACATAAGCGTCAATCATTGAGCTGATAATAGATTTCCCAAGAGTTTTAGATTCTCCTGCTGCAAGGTAAAGTCGTTTTGCTTCTTTAAGCTTATGTTGCCTCCCATATACCGCAATCAAAGTAGCGATTGTTTCCTCCTCTATCTTGAGCCCAAGTCTGATAATTATATCGGCGAGAATCTCTGCTTTAGATACATCACCTGCATAAAAAATGAACTTAAATCTTCAACAACATATTCAAAGCTTGGTCACAAACACGAAAGAACAAAGAACAAGATTAAACTTTCTACCTTCTCTCACAAAGCTACTTATGACTCGATTTACTGCCGATGAACTAAGATCAGTCATGAACATTAATTTCAATATTGCTTCAGTCTCATTCAAATTTCCCTCTTTTAGTCGCAAATTGAGCAGCATTCCAAGAGCCGTGACATCAAGTCGACTAACGTTTATAACTGCTTCATGTGTATCCTGCTTGTTTTTATCGATATGCATAGCCTCTGCAAGTGTTTGTACAAATCTGTTATCCTTAAATCCTGCCTCTCTACGCATTTTCTCTACCAGCTCTTGAGCTTCTGCTACCATTCCCTCCTTGCAATAGACTCTCATAGCCGTCTTGTATAGCTCTATATCAAAGTGTACTTGATCAGCAATTATCTGCTTGATAAAACCCTTAACTTTCTCTCCTAAATTGAGCCTGGTATACAAATTTAGCATGTCGTTACAAGAACTGGCATCAGGAAGTCCAGTCTTTGATAAAGCTCGAAATGCTTCTTCAGCACAGTCAACATTCTGTACTTTAGCATAACACTGTAACATGACAATATAGGCAAATCTGGAAAAAGGTATATCTTTGGTCTTCATCTTTTCAATTACATCTAATGCTTTGACAACATTTCCCGAATTCAAATGAACTTGAGACATTGCCAAATATGTTTTCTCATCAGCCAGTAGATTCAGACGTTCAGTCTCCTCAAATATACTTTGTGCATCATGGAAAAGTCCAAACTTCCCATATATTCTGATGATCAACCCACGGATAACCTCATCAGCTGGAATTTTAAATCTTTCCATGTCTGCAAAGAGAGAAAGTGCTTTCGGGTAATTCTCAGTTTTGTAATATAAACTTAACATAGAAGCACAAGTATAGTTGCTCGGAACGATCCCTTGAAATCTCATATCCTCATACAACCTAACCGCCTGATCCCAATCACCAGCCTTCACACTTAAACCAATAACTGAGCTGTAAGTTACTTCCTCTGGGACAAATGCCAAGCTCTTCATCTCACCAAAAGCATTCAACGCCTCCTCTTTATAACCCTGTTTAGCATATGAGCTCACAACTACCGTATACGTGAATTCAGTCGGTACCACACCTTCCTCAACCATTTCTAACCATAAATCTATCACTTTCTCATGAAGTGATCTCTTCTGAAGAGACGACAGCATGAAATTATACACAGAAGTAGATAAAATGATCTGCCTTTCTTGAACAGCTTTGTAAAACGTCAACATAGCGTTATGACGTCCCCATCTAGCATATGTACACAACATTGTACCACAAGCTACTGCATCTGGTTCACATCCAACTTCAAGCATTTCCAAAAAAGTTTCTTCAGCCATCTTAATCTTCCCGACTTGTCCATACAAACGAAGAACAATCGTATAGACAACTACACTCGGACGGTAACTCAACTGTTCAACACAAGAATCTATCACCAAAACTTCATTAAACCAAATCTAACAAAACCCTAAAAAAAAAAAAATCAAAACTTTAGAACAGAATCAAACCTGCAATTTCATCCAAGAGAAGAAGTCACGAACTTGTCTCCACCCTCTTTGTTCTTTCAATACAACACACATATCTCTAAAACTCAGCTTCGTTACAAAGCTACTCATCACAATTCTCATATCATCACTACCTTGTCTCCTCTGTGACAAGCCTCTCACCGTCTTAATCGCAGCCACCACATGTTTCCCGTACATCTGACCATTCCGATCATCTTCCAAATACTGAACCATTTGCTCAGGAGTTCGCTTAATCCATTTCGGAGTCATCGCGTGTGAGCCTTGGTTCCTTCTCAACGTGCTTAGATACTGTGCTTTCTTCTTTATGATTCTTCGAGCGTCGTCGTCTGATAACGGATGTTTCGGCCTCTCGAATCTCGGTTTAGGTTTCTCCGGGTTGCCGCCGCTGAGTGACCACGGGTCGGGTCGGACTCCGGGTGAAGATGATGACGTTATTGATATTTTTGACTTTCTTGAGGGTAATTTCGGAAGAAAGATTGAAGGATTGAAGTGCGTTGTGGAAGTGAGGAAGTCACTCTTCATTGCTTCTTCTTCGCAAATTTCTCCGGCCACAACTTCGCCGTCGCCGTATCTACAACTTAGACCTTCGATTATCCGGTTTAATCCGGTTTAATCTGGTTTGGGATGTAAACAATCAAAATCAATTAAATTTCCGGTTTATGTCGCTTGATTACACTAATTTTGGTCTTTGTCGGTTTATTTTACTCTTAGATTGGTATAGTTTGATCGTCCTAAACACTTAGGGGGGGATATTGGATCTATGATTTGGGATGATTTTTATTTTTTAAACAATCTCTCTATATTGGATTGGTGATTTTCCAAAATCCATTAAAAGTCTGCCTTATTGAACTCAGTATTTGTTTAAATGATTCAAAATCTAAGGTTATTCAATTATTCATTTATTAAAATCTTCTCAAATTTCAGGTTATTGGAAAATTGAGAATTCACAATGAAATTGTTCTAATAACGATTTGAGATGATTTGGGTAGCAAATTATAACTAAAATAGATAGCCTGAAAATCACACCTCCTATGATGATATTTGAAAGAATTTTTAAAGTGACCTTCATTTCTTTTATTTTGTTTACAAACTATACGTCGGCCAGTGAAGAGTCGTGTTGCTCCGCCGCAGACAATTCACGAACTAGTGATAACCCGATCTCTATCACCATCATTGCGTTCTGTTTCTTCTCCAATTACGAAATCCCCAAATTGCTTCAATCATAACTATTCGCTCACGTTCTATTCGATCCGAGCTCACGCACCAATTGATAAGAAATAATCTATACTCTTTATTATCACAGAGAGAATCGATACACTGTTTTGTGGAAAGAGCTCTAGAATAACTCTCTAGAATCTAGATCACGTCGTCAACACAAACCGATCGTTCTGCGTCTCTTTCTATCTCAGTCTCTCCTCACCGGTGAAGATCACGACCCTTCTACTCTGTTTACAATCGGTGGAACCTTTCAAATTCTAATAAAAATCTTTTGCCTCTTTTGTTGAATGAGAATGCGCCAGAGATCCCTATTATGTTTACAACGTGGTAAGCTATTAGGTTTTAACACTTTATTTTTTTTTTGAAGTCAATCAGTGTCAGATTGGTTTGCTATGTGTAAAACTAACTGAAAGTGATTTCACAGTGACTTGCAAGCTTGAAATCAGCTTTCTTCGTTCCCAAGTTACTTCATCTTCTTCCTCTAAGCTTTGTTTCACGTCACTAAAATAGAGGCTCTC